TCACGTATGTACGCGTCCTGTTCAGGTCCTGGGAGGAAGCCAGGGACTTCACCAATGCCTGGAACTCGGCGGCGGAGTCGAGGTACCCGACCGTCCGGGCTAAAATTGTACAGTAGTCAGTGTTCGATACTACTGTACACAACAAAATGAGAATGCTGAAATGTGCGCCTTCCAGTGCGCCCGAGTCTCCCCCGATTCGCGTGGCAAGCTGGAACGTACACGGCAATATGGCTCTCAAAATGAAGAGTGACTCGTTCCGTGCCGCACTGGTGAACTTTGACGTGGTTCTCCTCCAGGAGACTCATCTACGGCCGGAGCAGGAAGCCCAACTCCTCCTGCCACCATGCTACGACCTTTTCGTGTGTGGCCGGCCGAACACCCCGTCCATGGGTGCTCCAGGAGGCGGTCTGGCGGCGCTAGTACGCTGTGACCTGCGTTGTGTACACCACGAAGACTTAGGCGGGTCCGAGATCATGCTCCTCCGCTTTCCCGGACTATGGCTCCTGAACGTGTATGTGCCCCCTCAGCAGTCGCACTGGTACGCTCTTTCTGCCCTCGGCCCAATGCAGAAGCTCGCCGAGGTCCTTGCAGTGACAACTTCGGATAACGTCCCACTGGTGATGGCAGGCGACTTCAATGCGCGCACCGCGTCCTGTACACCACACGTCGACTGGATGAGACGCTCGCCCGATGGAGCAGCGGTCTCGCAACACGGGCGCACACTGCTGCAGGTATGCAGTGATTACGGGCTCTGCATATTGAATGGGACTACACTACAGGAACCAGACTCCATACCCCGATTCACGTCCTTCCAGGCGCTCGGATCGTCTGTCATTGACTATGCCGTGGCCTCGCCGTCCCTACTCCGTACACCCGGCGTCCGCTTGCGCATCCTCCCGCAATGGCCGACGTGGTCGGATCATGCCGCACTGTGCATCACCCTCCCGAGAGATAAGTGCGTCGACGATGTAGACACACCTAGTGGTCCTGCCCAGCCTACGGACAATGGTACATCGCCTCGTGTTCCATACCCTCGCGTGGAATACACGTCACACCTGGATGTCATGCTAAACACTGCGCTTGCGAGATCGCTATCTCTTAGTGATGCCTTACTGGCGCTGTACGGACCGGCGACGCATTCTTCCCGGGCCGTCGTCCATGTCTACACGGATGGCTCGGCAGACCGACCACCGGGGGCGCGCACGGGCGGAGCTATACGAGCAGGGTCAGGGATATACTGGGGGCGTGGAAGCGAAAGTAATCGAGCCCTGCTGGCTCCCTTGCCACCGACGAACAATCGGGCAGAGCTATTCGCGATCCTAGTCGCTATCGCAGAGGCGCCTGCATGGAAGACCCTTCGAGTGTATACCGACTCGGAATACTCCATCCGATGCATATGCCACTGGGCTCCTCGCTTTGCGGCGGCGGGATGGCGGTGTGCGAATGCAGACCTCCTTGTAAACATCATGGAGATACTCAAGGCACGTCCCACTCAAGTGACGTTCTGCTGGGTGAAAGGCCACGCAAAGAATGCTGCGAATGAGGCTGCTGATGAGCTCGCAAGAGAGGGGTGTAGACAGCTAGGCCCAATGGCGCCTCTCGTGCCCCTCAAGCCAGTACATACCCCTATGGATGCACATGCTGACGACCTCGTCAAGATGGCGGACGGAACATGCAAGGTGCATACCGACCTGCCACCGCATACGGTGCCTCGGAGCGCGGCTACGCTGACTGTGGAACGCACCTTGCGCGTACGTGATGAGCCCGAGTCGGGACGCTCTGCGGAAGCGAATAACCTCCGCCTAATGCGCGAGCGGTTCGTTCGCGAGCTCCTGGAGCCAGGAAAACCAGTCGCTGCGTTCTGGACAGCATTCCGCGGACTTGTCGACCCGGCGCCACGAGCGGCGAGAGTATCGGTGACTGACCTTCGCGCCGCATTTATGCCCCGGATGAACGCCCCGGTCGTGCTACCGTCCAATTTCGATGCGGTGCGTTACTCAGCCAATCGCATGTGGTCACAGATGCTCCCCGAACGCACGACCCCGAACCCTGACCAGCTGTTCTTCGCGCGCCCCTGGACCCTGGATGAGATCGCGGACGCCAAGGAACACATCCGCAAGCATAACCGACGGTCAGCAATGGGAGAGGATAGGATCCCTTACGACCGTGTGCTCGGGCTGGATAACGAAGATCTGCTCTGCCTCTTCCAGGAGTGTGTGGACTCCCTCGACGCGCCTACCACCTGGCTCACCGCTATTCTGACCGGAATTGCGAAGCGGGGAAAGGACACTGCACAGGCAGCGAACTACAGGGCGGTAGGACTCGAGAGCTGCCTGCTGAAAATGCTCACACTGATGATTGAACGTCGCATGAGGGCGTGGGCGGAGGCAACAGCCAAGATTCCCCCTCGCAGAACGGCTTCCGCACAGGTTGCCGTACAAACAACAACGCGTTTGTCCTCAGGGCTGCGATCGAGAAGGCGCGATCGAGTGGCCGTACGCTGTATGTTGCGTTCGTAGACCTATCGAATGCGTTCCCCTCGGTGGACCAACCGACACTGTGGGCGAAGCTGCAGGACGCGGGTTTCAGTGGCCCTCTGTTCGACTGGTTGAGGATGCTCTATGCTCGGCTGAGCTACGTGGTGCGGCAGGACGGCAATGAGTCCGACTCGTTCCGTGCGACGGCAGGGATCCTCATAGGCGACCCCGCTTCCCCTATCCTGTGGATCCTGTTCCTCGCTGACCTCATCATTTCAGACCACCCGGACGACACTGACCTTGGCGGTATCCTCATGTCACATCTGGAGCAGGCAGATGATATCGTGCTATGGTCAATGTCGCAGGAGGGTCTGCAACGCAAGCTCGACGACCTGGCGCGCTGGTGCTCACTCAACTTCGCGGTGATCAATGTGTCCAAGACGCAGCTCATGATCTTCGGGCCTCTCCCTGCGCAAATGCCATGCCTGTCTGTGAATGGTGTACGGATTGTTCTCGTAGATCGCTACACATACGTGGGCATCCTCTTCCAGTCTACGGCGCGGGACATCTTCGCGGCACACATCGAACATCGAGTAGCGGTGGCTCGCAGGACAGCGAATGCCTGCCTCTCGGTGGAGTCGTACGTGGCCGACCTACCACCTTGGGCGTCGCTCACCCTCTACAACACTCATATCGACTCGCACCTAATCTCGGGGTGCGAGGTCACGATTGACGTACGCCTCGCGGCGCTTACGTCCCTGGCGTCGGTACAGATGACATACCTGCGCCGATCGCTGGGCCTTAACCCACGAACAGTCACCTCGGTGCTGTATACGGAAACCGGCCTATGGCCAATACGATACCGCCGGCTATCGCTGGCGTTGCGTTACCTCCTCTATGTGGTAACGCAGCGCCCGCAACTACCTTTGGCCGCGCTGGCCGAGTCTCGCAGTATGGCTTTGACTGGTTCGGCTTCATGGATTAGTGACCTCCAGTACGCCCTGCAACAGTTACCAGTTCCAGTCAAGTTCCCCATCGCAGACGCCCTGACACCGGACACCGTGAAGAAATGTGCGCAACAAGTCTTGCAGTCGCTACGCTCCTACCTGAGGAACGAAGTGCGTGGCTCAGAACGTCTACGTCTGCTTAGTGCCCGCAGTCACAACCTCGGTATCATTGCCCGACGCAAGTACCTTTCGTTGGACTCCCGAGCGCTTCGACAAGCGATCTGCCGCCTGCTTGCTTCCGATCACCCTTTCGCAATTGAGGGACTGCGCCGGCGGTCCCCACCGATCCCGCGGGAGTGGCGAATTTGTCGCTTCTGCCAAGGGCGGAACATGGTGGAGGATGAGGCGCATGTTTTAATGTGCTGCCAAGCAGATATCCTTCGGTCCCTGCGAGCGCACTTCATGCGCCGAGTGCACAATGCGCTCACGGCCCATGGTCGTGCGATCTCCATGTCATCCCCGAATCGGTTCCTTATGGCGGTAATTGCGGATGAATGCACACAACACATTGTCGCGCAATTCATCTCGGATGTCTTTGGATGCTGTGACGCCGTCCCCCTACTGGTGGTCACAACAATGGAACAGTACCAGTCTTATGCGATATTGTGAGCGGGCCACTGTGGTCCCCGCGTGCGACTATATCACCGCCGCCGCCTGCTCAACGCCCATGTTCCAAAGTCGGCGGCAACGTCGACCGAGGACACTACGCGCCTATACCCGGATTGCTCGCGTCCGGCTCCTACTATGCCCCTGGAGGCCCCTGGACCTTCCGCATGATGGCGGACGGCAGTAGCGCTGCCACGTGGTTCCACCTGGACCATGGTGAGTTATGTCAGTATGGTGGAGAACCACCGCTGACACCTGGAGGTTTTTTCATTTTTTCCTCCCAGGTTTTAGCCATGAATCCTGCTGTGCTTAACGCACGACGCCGGGGTGTTTTTGTTTGAACTGGTGGACAGTATTGTAATTATGCGATAGTGGGAGTCGGATTAGGTAGTTTAGGATTAGGTAGTAGGGGTATGTTGGGTTTGGAGGTAGTCATGTACCTAGTGAGCGCTGTCACACATCGAAAACGCCGAGGCGTCTAGATGTCGTGACTAAATGGAATACCCTCCTCCTCCTCCTCCTCTCCGAGGTGCTGACTGCCATATGGGGAAACTGATGGTGGCGTAGAAGTGCCTCATCGGTCCTGCGGGCGTCTCTGACAAACGCGCCTCCGCGGACTGGCACTTTGTCCTCTCGTCGTCGTTCTCTCCGGCTGGCTTTCGTCGTCCAAGCACTACCTGCGCATTTGCTACGCGTGTTCTCCGTCTTTGAGCCTGGACGGCGCGTGAGAACCCTCGACGCTGGCAAGTGGGCGACTCGAGTCATACGACGAGTGACTGGATTGACAAGACCCGCAAGGTGGCTGTGAATGCGTCTTAGAGGCGTCTCTCTGCTACGCCGCCCACCATTTGCTTCCTCTGTACTATATTCCGCGACATTTTCCTCGAGATCTATCCGATCTAGAACCTCAATGGCCATCCAGCAGCCACCCTGGTCTCTTCCGAAGCGCAAGGAGGATGAACCTGTCTTGAAGATCTACAACTCACTCACGAAGTCGAAGGTCCGTGCATGTTGCAGTCCACACTCCTCTTGGGGTGCTGACTGAGGTCGCAGACAGAGTTTGTCGCGATCAATGGACGACATGTGAAGTGGTACAACTGCGGGCCTACGGTCTACGACGCGTCGCACATGGGACATGCTAGGTGAGCATGGTGGTCAAAGGGAGAGCAGCTCGATGTAGACCGTAGTCAGGAACTACGTGACGCAGGACGTGCTGAGGCGAATCATGACGGACTACTTCGATTACGATGTTCACTTCGTCATGAACATCACGGACATCGACGACAAAGTGAGGATGACCGCTGCGCCGGAAGTTGAGTGCTCATTCAAATCAAACTTTACAGATCATTCTCCGCGCTCGTCAATCGTACTTAGTCAAAAAGTTCCGCTCGGAAACGGATGCACTCTCGCGCGATCTAGTGGACCAACTGGAGACAGCGTGGGCGGATTACGTGCAGTCAAAAGTGAGCAAGGGATTGCCAGACACGGACAGGCCGAGCAAAGGCAAGGAGAAGGAAGCTTGGCCGCAGCTTGTAACGCAGTTCCAAGACAAAGTGTGGAAGCAGGAGGGTCTCAAGAGGGACGAGAAGTTTGAGATGCACTTTTCCGCAGCGGTGCGTGCGCATCTCATTGATCCCGGAATGCTCAGTTGACCAATTTTCTGGCCAGCATCGCACGTACGCGGCTCTTCTAGCGGCGGGAGAATCCCTGCAGGCCGGCGATGCGTCGCAGCAGCTCGCGCATAGGCTCATAGATGACGCACACGATATTCTTGCGATTTCGCTCGACAAGCAGGTACGTTAGCCGTAGCAGGTCATACTACCTGCATAACCATGCCGAAGCATGGCAGCTCCGTGACAGATCATTCTATCTTCCGATCCCTCGCGGCATACTGGGAAGACCAATTCTTCAAGGACATGCGTAGGCTGCGTGTTCGAGATCCCGACACCCTGACTCGCGTGACGGAGTTTGTTCCGGAGATCGCATCGTTCGTTGAAGGCATTGTGAAGAACGGTTACGCGTACGAGGTCGATGGCAGCGTCTACTTTGACACCCGGGCGTTCGACAAGGCGGACGGACATTACTATGCGAAGATCGAGCCCTGGAGCAAGGGCAACCGAGAGTTGCTGGAAGAGGGCGAAGGTGAGGCGCACATTCTTCGCCGATTGTTGGGCAGATCGTATTGAACAAGGACCTTATCTGACAACATTAACAGGTGCCCTGACAGCGACGACAGGCAAGCGCTCATCAGCCGACTTCGCACTATGGAAGGCTTCGAAACCTGGCGAGCCTTCCTGGCCATCCCCATGGGGGCCTGGACGGCCTGGGTGGCACATTGAGTGCTCCGTCATGGCGTCAGCTGTCTTGGGGGATAACATGGATATCCACTCCGGCGGAATAGATCTCGCCTTTCCGCATCATGACAACGAAATGGCACAGTCTGAGGTACACAATACGAAGGTTATCTCCGCCGTCGAGGCTGTTCCTGACCAGCCACGCTCTAGGCCTATCACAACTGTTCAGCGTGGGTAAATTACTTCATCCATACTGGTCACTTGCATATCGAAGGCCTCAAGATGAGCAAGTCGTTGAAGAATTTCATTACGATTGATGTGAGGCCCTGATGGTACTTTGAGCGGCGATCCTCGTTGACCTCGCGTGTAGGAAATTCTTCAAAAATATACAGCGCGACAACTCCGCCTTGCATTCCTGAGTCAGCTGTGGAACGCAAGGGTAGACTTCTCGGAGTCGCTGATGACAGGCGAAGTTCGGAACTTCGAGACAACGTTTAATGTACGTCTGCCTTGCGGCATTCTTGCGGCTTTCGTCATTGACGACACCACTACGCAATAGAACTTCTTTGTCCTCGTGAAAGCCCTTATCACTCAAGCCAACGAAGAGGGTGCCCGACTGGATGGCAGGAATAGGTTCGGTGACGCAGAGCACGAGTTAACGAACAGTTGGCACCGGTCGTTCTATCACCGTGAAGCTGAACCCTGATGAAATCATTCGTCTAGTCTCCAGTCCAGCCAGCATGGTTTCCGAGTCGCTCTTTGCGATTCGTTCAACACGCCGGAGGCACTCAACGTGCTTCGAGAGCTCGTCTCTCGCACGAACGTGTATATCAACTCTCGCGGCAAGGACCTCGAAGTCGGCGTCGTCGTGCGAGTCGCTGGCTGGGTCGGTAAGATGCTCCGCATGCTTGGCTTGGGCGAAGGAGAGACGTCGGAGATCGGTTGGGGACAGGAGCGATATTCGGGAGAAGAAAGCGTTGACGTACGTATCCCCCCGATGGTCGTGCCTCAGCTGAGACGTCAGTTCACCAAAATGCCGGTTTGATTGCAGCGCGAAGAGATTCTCATGCCGTACCTTCGCACGTTGGCCTCGTTCCGTGATGGAGTGCGAAAGCTGGCCATCGCGAAGGGGGACGCAGCTCTGAAGGACATTCTCGCGCTATCGGATAAACTGCGGGACGTCGATCTGGTCCCGTTAGGGGTCGCCTTGGATGATCTGGAAGGTGCGTTGAAACTCTGCAGCGCGTCATCGCGCCATCGCTTATCGATACTGTCTTCATCTAGATGGCAAGGCTCTCGTGAAGCTAGTTCCGCCCGCAGAACTGCTGAAGGCGAGGGAGGAGAAGCGCGTGCAGGCTGAGGCAAAAACTGCGAAGAAAGCTGCGGCCGTCGAAGCTGACCGGCAAAAACGGCTGCAGAAATTGGAGAAGGGGCGCGTGGCTCCACAGGACATGTTCAAGCCTCCCCACGTCCGCGAGGCCACATACGGCAGCTGGGACGAGAGCGGGCTTCCGCTCACAGATGGGGACGGGAAGGAGTTGAGCAAGAACCAGTCTAAGAAGGTGCAGAAGGAATGGGCGAACCAACGGAAACTTCACGAAGAGTTCTTGGCGTGGCAGGAGAATGAGTAGTTATGGGAGTAGACATGCTGTATCCCGTCGAGATATCTATAAGATTACGAGCTTATGTCTGCTACAGTCAACCCTTGCGCCTCATCGATCTGTAACCTGACTTCGGATCTCACACAACGAGCGGGGAAAACGTTCGCGGAATAGGGGTTTCAAATGTGATAAAGAGCAAGGCTCCATGCGTATCTGCTATACATGCTATCGCTGTCACCAATCACACGAGTCCATCACAAGCTGGGCTATTTTCTCGAGACCTTGCTGGTCTTCTGGCGTGAACCCACCGAGCGCGAGACAGTCCAAGTCCAATACGCCCACAGCCTTTTCGCTGTTGTCAGTTCGGAGGATTAAGGGACAAACGATTTCACTCTTCGTCTCCCCGTCACATGCAATATGGCCAGGGTATGCGTCCACATCGCCCACCAAAACGGTCTTTCGGGTGAGGTACGCGTCAGCGCAGACTCCGCGAGCTTTGCCGGGCGTGGTGTTAATGAATTGACACGCAGGTTTCCCGCAGAATGGACCAAGCAACAATCGATCGGGGACTTCATGGCCCTTGTTTGCGACAGTTTGAGCTTGGTATATTTGTGGGGACGGAAAGAGGTCGGACACCACGTAGAAACCTGTGAACATATACAACGAATGAGTGTCTATCGCGCAACGTGCCATCGATAACAATGCAATGGTGGCTCGTTGGAGTACGGGCACGCACCACACCAGTTCACCGTTCTCTCGCCTGATCCGAAGTGGGGCTCATACGCAAGGAGCGAATTGTAAATCAGAGAGGCGACATTCGCTAGGTTGGTCACCTGAAGAGTATGCCAGGAATGAGAGTTTGACCACACCGGCGAGCTTTCGGGAGCAGAGATCGCGCACCCAGTTTCTCTGACCATCTAGAAGATAGCCAAGTTGATCGTATACATGGCCCCAGAATGCCACTTTGTCCAATCCGGACGGCACGAGGGCAGAATCGGCGTGCGGCATGAGGCCAAGTTACTGAGATGAACTGATCAGCGGCACACACGAGAGATCCGCCGTTAGCCTGAGAACTCACGTAGTCGTGGATGGCGGTACGAATGATAGAGCAGATGATCTGCAAATAGCGTCAACCACGCAAGGTTGTCACAACTTGTCTCCGTGCTCACCCACTGACAGTCTGTGTGAGGGATGGCAATATTTGTGCGGTGAATTACGTTAGATAAGATAATGAGCCGCTAGATCAATCTGATCACGGGTGGCTGTGGACCGCCCGCCACAGCCTGCACGCGAGTACCGAACACGTACGGTGCCCTGCCTCCTGCCACGCAACTAGCTTTCTTTCACTCGAGTACTTTCAGGGACCACAGACGTTATGGCACCGTATTTGGAGAGCATCAAGGTTGGCTGATAGCTGAGAAGTTCTTCCAAGGTCTCACCTCGGCCTCAGTCATTTGCAGATGTTTCTGTGACCGACGCTGGCGTCGATACTGTTCAATTCCTGCAGGCCGCGGAGGGCGTGGTCGGACTATTTGGTATGCTCGCGCTGTTTCCAGCAGATATGACGATCAGCTCAAACTCCGCAGATCTCTTGGGATCGGCCGCTTTCACCACTGTGCAGAGTGACCTCAAGGGTAACATCGCCGTAAGTGACATATGATCCGCATGGAGACCTGCAATTTGACGTGGACATATTACGTCGCTTAGAAAGTTCGCGCTCGGTACGACGCAAACCCTACGCTGTCTACGACCCTGGAGCTCCTAGTGGAGAATGAGAAGGGCGAGAAGAAGCGCACGGCCACGGAGGGTCTGATGTGGTTGCTGCGTGGTCTTAGCTTCACATGCAAGGCACTGCAGAACGCGCAGGCAAACTCGTCCGAGGAACTGTCGGTCGCTTTCACCAAGGCGTACGACGGGACCCTGAAGAAGTTCCACAACTTCATGGTCAAGGGCATTTTCGCCGTGCGTCACTCGCTGCCAATTATTACGTCGTTGTCATGGCTGATGGAATGATCTGCCACAGGTTGCAATGAAGGCGTGCCCCTATCGTGCAGACTTCTACACCAAATTGGCCTCGGATCCTGCGGGAGGCCCTGCGGTTCCGACCGAGCGATTGAACGAAGAGCTCAATAAGTGGCTGGCTGCGCTCGACTCAATTGTGAAGAGAGTGGAGGCTTTCTACGAGAAGGGAGGGCACAACAAGGGCTTCTGATAGTCGTAAACGAGCTATAGGTGTGAACTTGCTCTGCCGATCTATTAGGTGCGCTGTATGTACAGTCACCAGTGATACCATGTCGTCCGCTTGCGCACGCGGCTGTCCCTCATTGTTGTGTCGTCCCAGCAGCCCTCGTGAGTCAAGACCCGAAACCTTGACTACATGTGTTATGTGCGAGTGCGGATGCATTCGCGGGATGAAAAGAGCCAGTTAGACTGCACCCGGGTGCGGAGCGCGAGTGCGTAGGACGTCGGGTCGCTGGCCCGTGGACTCTCACGTCCATATTGCCTTGACGTGCGCATCTGCTTATAGGTGATTGCACTGTGTTCTGTGCTCGTTCGGCAGAAGGTACCATCCCCACGGGCTCTGTGTCCCAGAACATGGCACCGTCCGACCGCTCAAAGTGCATTCGACGCACAAGCGAAGGCTTCTCAGCCGAATGTACATTCTTCGCGGTTGTGATATCAGAGTTGAATGCTCACGGCGGCAGGAGGTGGGACGTCTTTGCAAATGGGCCCGCAGCGAGCCTGTCCCGCTTCGTGCGACGCGCTGCCGTACATGTCCAGTTGCCATTCATCAAATGTGGCGGACTCAATGTGGAAACCTTCCCATACATGTGCTTACGGTACTCGTGAGTCCGACACGTGCCATTAGACTTCTGTTGATCGATCCTCAGGCTGAGGCTTCCAACAACGACGGGGCTTCGATGTCAGGCACGACATGGCTCCGGAATTTTGGCCACCAAAGGACTAGACATTCGATGATGGACAGGCCTCAAGACGTAACGACTCCTGCTGCGAGAGTGCAGCATGACCCCGAACAATTGGTTGCCGGCGATCGCGAAGCGTCCAAATATCGGCCTGGTGTCCAGCCGGCTTTGAAATTCGACAACGGCAGTGACTGAAAGGCATTAAACAAGGACGTCTCGTATCGGCGGCCTGCTGACGCATTCAGTGGCTAAATGGGGACCTAAGCGAACCTGCGGCATCATGCTACGTACCCTGAACCTTGTTTGCATCGCTGATACCATCAGATTGACTTGTACATTTTTCAATAAACACAGTCTGGTGCGAGATCTGCAGTTCTCGGGCGCCGTTTGAAGACGGAAATCGACGGACAAAAATGGCATCTGCCTAAAGTTGAGTTAGGTTCCGCGGGACTGTGTCCCACCGCCGAGAAGGGTTCGGGAAGGCGGAACAGGGATACTCTTTCATTTCCGACGCCACAGCCGTCCTCATTACCATCTTCAGGAGAACGATACGACACGACCCTCGGCCTGCAGTGCTCATGGTGGGCATATGGCTGTTCCGTGTGGCCTTGTCTGGCAGTCCCAGCGCACATGATATCGCCAGAAGCCCTGGACTGATTGCGGCCGGGATTCTGCAGAGCTTCATGAGCAACAACGAGAGCGAATCTGTCCGGGCGCGACACGGGATGGGGAAGCGGACTGCGATATTTGGAGAGAGCGCTCACCATAGCCGTGCAGTGTCCAACAGCGCCCGATATCTTTTAGCCCAACGGCCGATCGGCCCAAAGTAGCGTCTGAGAAATCCTCCTGCTGTGGTAATGGCTGCACCGTTCGTAGAGGATGGCATCGAGCCATGAGAAAATCAGGGCTTGGCCAATCGTAGGGGACAGATAGGATTAAGATATGAAGGCGTCCGCAACGGAGGGGGAAATGCGATTTCTGTGCTGGACAGGAAGCGTCTCCCGCGACAGCTACACGGGTCAGCATGACACTTCCTCCGTACCTAAGGTCGCAGGTTCGCGTCATATGCCAACACGCCAGGCTCATTTTGCTGATCTGTCTGCCATCATGTCCAAAGACCCGGGCCAAAGTCGGGACGTAGTTTGTTCCCGCAGGCAGACACAAGGTTGCGTAAATCTGTCCCCATCGGAGCCACCTATCGATCACTGGGGATTGAATATAGAGGCATCGAGGATAACCTTGTCAGGAGGAGCAGGCGACAATCTGGCATGTAGCGGACATTGAATTCTCCGCCATGCGATTGCCATTCGCCGCCGAATGTAACGCGAATAGCGACAGAATTTGATACCACAGTGCATTGACGACCTACCTGGAATGTTACTATACTGATTTCGTCCGTATGGTGAAACTTGTCTTTCGAATGATGCCATCCGTAGATACGGGGTCTGTGCTGAGCTGTCATGTAAGCGGCTCATTGTCTGGGATGCTTTGCTCACGTTGCTGGAATGGTGAAAAAAATGGCTTGTATGTCAAAGGACAACGACCAGTTGCGTGGTTGGCGAATACCTGGATGGAAAGGCAAACCACGAAAGATAGTTCGCGAGATATGACGTTTTCAGCCTCGGTAGTAGGACCCCCGGCCCCGACCACGCCGTCACCACATATGACCGTATGTACGGGCAGCGGTGTCTTCCTTCTGACCAGCCAGAAAGGTCAGCAAGACAATACACAACGAGACAGGGCGGACCTAGACACGCTGCGGCTTAGTCTCCGTTGCAGACCATAAGAGCCGTAGCTACGGTTGTGGTGCCCAGCTACCCTTAGCTGTCTGCAAAGGTTTGATGGCTCCAGTCATTAACATGACGAGCACATCTGTGCCTCCGTCTTACTCGGAGTAGAAGACGCCGCCCCGGCCGATCGGCTCGAGTTGAGTCCTCGAGGATAGCCCGCTACGTCTACATCAATGCTCATGTCACTTTGCGAGCGCGACGATAGTGCGTAAGTACTTACATGACATTGCGTGGCCTGTGCGATCTATGTCGTGGCGATTCAATGTGACTGGAAGGAAGCCTCGATGCATTGAGTTCATACAGCACCTGAATGGAATGACGAGCAGACACACGAGGTCTGGGTAGTGTATATAGCGGAGTATGTCGGAGACGCGCGGACAGGCCAAGGTCTGATCCTCGTACACCGATGGAGGCAATTTTCCTGGTCTTGACGCGCGGTTGGCCCATTGGATAGACGGGGAGTGCCCGTATGAGTCTAGACTGCAGAACAGCTCATGATTCAGTTTGAATGATCATTCGAGACGTATCCCGCAAGAGCTGCAGCTCACCGTGTGACATTTTCTGGACAGTCAACTGCACATGTTCGGACGTACGCTGCCCTGAAGACCGACGATGATCAGCGGGGTGGCTACGTTGTTCAGTGAGAGCTGCGTCGTACTGATGCCAGCGTATGAGAGCGTTCTCATTACGCCGTAGGCTGGCCTCACTCGGATTCGACTTGCCACCCGCCGGCCGCGGCGAGGGATGTATTCAAGCCCCGACGAGATAACTTGGGCGCCTGAGTTAATGGGCGCCTGCGAAACGGGGGCGGGGAAATTTAGGTTAGCAATGGCCAAGAATTAGCCAAGGAATCGAGCACGCGTGGGAAGGGACATCGGAGATTTGGCAGTGGATGTCGGCGCGTGTGCTCGCTGGTTATCAGCTGGGCGCTGGCCCTGGCAGTGATCAGGAGCCGGGACCCATACCGCGCTGCTTTACCCAGTTTGACGTCGGCCTCGCAATACGGCTGCTCTTCCAGGGTTAGTCAGGTTCTGCGGTGAACTTAATCATGTGTGTCGCGCTATAGGTAATTGCCTTGGAGCCATGTCGCGATCTGTTAAGGCTCGCCTCTGTACTATTAGAGCCTTCCCCACCCCGCCTCTCGCCATTCCCGATTCCCCCCTTCGCCGCTATGCCGACGCAGCACCCCACCTGCACCAACCTCCGCATCAGGTCCGTGCGCGATGCCGAAATCATCCTCCATGGCGTGGCTACGGGCCGGCTGCCCATGGTCCACCGTCGACTGGACGACGAGGATCGCCTCTCGCTCACTACGGGCTGCATCTACGTCTGGGAAGAGCGGAGTAGCAACCCCCTTGAGTGTACAGGGCAGGAGATACAGCGCTTCACAGAGGGCCGTAGCTGGGGGCCGTCGCGTGCCCGTGACGTGAGTGCCATAGATCGGGCACCGCATGAAACCTGCTACACGCATGTCTAACTCGTCCTCGGTTCGTCGTAGGACTTCCTCTTATACTACGAGAAGGAGAGCAATAGTCGATCCTCCGTACATCTGCGGAACAACCTCATGGGGTGAGCCACCAGGTTTTAGTCTCGCCGGTCTCATGTCAGACCTCGCTGACCTGGTGTCTTCTCGCAGATCCTCGCAGCTCATTAAGCAAACGTACTCCGTCATCGTTCATGAGCCGGATGGGCAGACTCGGAAGTGGCATCTCAGTATGTGGTCCCATATTCGAATGAGACTACCGACCTAATTCCAGATGAGATGCCTACTATACGCAAGACACCGTCGATCAGCTCAAGACGGTAGACGACATACCCAGCCTCAGGGGCATCGGCGTCCCGGAAGGACGATACGTGTGCGCACGAACTAGTAATACTCGAAGGTCGTCACGGAGCTCCGCGCGAGCTGGCAGCACTGGGGAGAGGCTACGTTCGACAGTGGACCGCCGAGGCGAACTCCCAAGCCAACCCTCCCCTTCTCTCAGCATCTCATCCAGTACGCTTCCCTCTCCGTCTACATCAACGAGTAGTCCGATGAGCCGTCTGCCGTCCATGAGTCGTGCAGTCGAACATCACCCGGAGTCGGCCAGGCGTCTCGCGCCATTGGAGTATTTGCAAGCTCTACCACAGCCCGCTCGCAGTCCTGTTGATGCTGAAGCCCTTAACTCCTTCCGTCACGCCCCTTAACGTCTCCAATACGCACCGCACTAGCCCCTGTCATTGTATTAGAATCATTTCCTACATTGCTTTCGTCCATCTGCTCGCTATACGCTGTCTCGTACGCATTGTTACTGCTTTCCCGGTCCCGTGGACCCTCTACACTTTCTATGTACGACTACACGCGGCGCTCGCATTGTTGGTTGCAAGTTGATTGGCGCCAAATCTCGAAGCCTTTCCGGTTCTTTTCTCAGTCCGTCGCGTCTGCGAAGTCGCACACGGGCGAAGTCGTGGCCGTACGAGGGAAGTACAGTACGTAAAGGATGCATCTTGCGAAGTCGGCTCTGAGCCAAACAGGCCACAGGTGACAATGTGTTATGATTCTTCAGGCGTCATATGGCCAAGGATCTATACCTACCATCACTTCGACGGACCATCGTGAAGCAGAAGTTTAATTATAGTCGAGCTTCACAATTTCACAGACCCATCCAGGTGGTTCGACGCGCGCATGCCGCTAGCTCTGGAAGTCTTTCAGATCTTCAGAGGCGGCCCGGCCAGTTATCTAGTATCGCCCAGCTGCGAGACAGACCGGATACAAATTCTATGTAAGGAACGTGTGTGACCTACACGAATGAGTGGGCGGCGACCGGAACACATGCTGTCCTCGTCGAGGACGAATATGAGTATTGACGTCACCAACATGTTCTGAGGGTGGAACAAACATTACCGTGACTATTGCATCACATGTGTGCTTCCAGCGCCGCTGGGGCGGTGGCGATTCAATACAGTACTTGGATAATTGGATGTCTGACTCGGAAATCACGCGGACTGGCAAGCGCAAACTTACACCGGGCAGCCCGTGGAGTTTCACACCACAACTACTTACTCAGCACGACAATTGCGCACAATAGAGTCAATTCACCCGGTCTCGTTGGTACCTTACTGGCTCGCACGCAGACCGGTGGCCTGAGAGAAGTGCCAGGGGCTGTCAGGGGGAGCATCCTTCGTGAGGCCAACTCCTCCCTTGACATCAGATCAGGAAGGAGCGATCTTAGGCTTAAGTACTAGCTTCCTTCTGTGATGGGCGCGCCGGCTCTTTCTCGGGAAGCCTATCAGTGCCGGGTCTCCTGAAAGGATTTACCATACAGCCGATGTCGGGCTATGCCTACGACCGCAGCGCTACTGATGAGTTACAGTCTAGACTCCTGATCATAGTTGCAGGCTGAAGAAAGAGATCATCGAGCTCGCGAACGTGTGAAGTTAGGCTCTACATGTCTCCTGCGGAAGCATCTTCGGCGGATCTGGGCGAGGTCACAATGGACCTGGGAGCCAGCTCAAGCCAGTACTATCTGAGCGTTACAGTGATGACCGTTAGGCATGCATTAGTGACTGCTTCCATCATGGGACGCTCAACAAAACTTACCATGACGGCGCTCTGCAACTGCGTGCAATCATACAATGCTAGACTGGAGTCTAGTCGGGCGCGCGCGGGGTATGTTGACACATTAACGACGCGATCGCTATTCACGACCGTCGCTGACAGACTACAATGCGAGCGCCGTAACAATAATGTAATCTGTCGATGACATGCATGGAAGTCAGCCGCTATACAAATGAAAAGGACGTAAACAACTGTCCTGATAGCAACACCGGCGGTTGTCCTGGGTCGAATGTCTCTGTTAGTAGTGACGACACGCGAACCCCAGGCTACTTACATACAGTACAGGCCGATGCGTGAGTACCGCCTATGATAAGTCTAGCCAAGCCTACGCACCGCGCAGCTCCTTCGCGGGCCCGTGATGACCGTATAAGGGGTAACATCGATGGTTCGAAGAATGTGCCTTCGCCGAACTCTACAGCTAGTTGCAGAACATTAGGCGCAGACGAACGCGCGCGACATACGATGACAAATAAGCGCCGCGCCACAGTTGACGTCGGTTCATCCACTTCTGCACCATTATGTTTTTGCGGCTTCAAAGCTTCACGGTCGTCTGCACTAGCACCTGTACCGAGCAGTAGCGACGCGGTCACGTTCCTCGGACACCGTACTAATGTGTTTTACTGATCGAGACTAGTAACAATGCATAATGCCTCCCCTACACGACTGCTTGCAGTCAGCTACAATGGACGAGTTCGACAGACGTCGTAGACCTGGGTGTAGGGGGCAGATACACGTTCAATTGTCTGCGGGCACTGGCCGGTACTCCTGCAAGGCGTTCACGGGATCGTGTTTACTGAGTCGCAAGACATGCCTCTCATGACGGCTGCTGCAGGGACAATCAATGCAACGCAAAAACATGGTGGTGCGAGGTGTGGTGAGGTGGGTAAACCGACGTCTTCGTGTGGATAGCGCCTATTTGTCATCATATGTCGCGCGCGTTCGTCTGCGCCTAATGTTCTGCAACTAGCTGTAACGCAGCAACTTGACAGCGACGTATCGGCGATGTGCCGGCTAGCCCGAGCCACATCAGCGCTCCGGAACGGCACGGAAGTATTTACGAGAAGGAGCCTAATTCAGTGGGGTGAGATCCGGATCATCTCATATGAACTGGAAAGGCAAGGCTTTAGCGACTAGAAAACGGTTAGCATATGAGAAGTGCTTACGTGAGATATACATCCGGGTGACAGGGCCTAGCGAAACTCAGTTCTTGCGTCTGTGATCGTCCAGGGACAGGCCATACGGTGCTGCCAGTCGACTGTTCGCTCCACACGAGCGACTGAAGCTGTGGACGTGGGTACGAACTCTGTTTGCCATCGAAGATGGGCTCTCAGGCCAGACGCACCTCAAAACGGGGCCAGGAGTGCGTCAAAGATATGGAATTCGACCGTCTCGCACGGTAAAATTGAGGGGCAATGTTGGACCGTCCGTAGGTATGTTTGGTGATTATGTTGCGACTGACGTGTCCGCTTTGAGGAAGACATGCTCAGCCATGAGCAGGTCACATCCATCAGCGGATGCGTGATGTGTGAAGGCTAAAAGCTAAAGAGATCAAATTATCTGAACTGTCCTAGTCGTGGCTGCGCACGCGTCACGGTTGAAATGTGTGGAAAGACTTGATAACTGAACTGCCTTAATGATATATGTGTATTCTGTAGGAGAAAAGGAAGTTAGGTCTATTAGTCGCGCGCTTCAAGAGATCTCCGAAACGCCGCAACCAGGCCGGAGAGCCTACGTCCCCCATCGTGACAAGTGAACGCAAGCCGCAATGGAGCCGGGGGCAAGGGCAAAGCGGTATCCTTTGAAGGAGCCTGCTAAGCAATGGTACGTCGATTGTCCGGCTCAAGCAACGCATATGCCATCGCGTCGCTACTGTGTCCGGGTCAGCACGAATCGTAAGCACGTCGGCGAACGTGATTACCACTATACCGTTTGATGCACGAGTGTACAAGAGCAGCTGAATTGATATAATTGTCGACCGTCATTTCCCAAGCTCTGCCGCGCTGATATATCTCACTCACCATTGCACTAGGTCTCTCCTGCTCCCTAGGGGATGCACATTCCGCCGTGCGGTCAGTGTAGGGTGCTCGACTGTGCAATGGCTTACGCGCTGCGATGTGGAGATTCTCCGGACATGAACATCAGCGCTGTGTTCCAGAACGCAGCTAGAATAGCGCTAACGAGATAGCATGTAATGATCATCGTGGATTGGCCAGGAATACGACCAGTCTAGACCACCCCCGTTCCTCGCAAAGGCTGAACGATCAGAACATCACGGAACCGCGTACAAAGAAGCTATTCAATTTGTTGCTTACCAGGACGACAATTGACGAACATACCTTGCCGTTGCAGGGTCGGCCGACTGCGCGGAAGTCGGAGAATATGTGAAGAAAGAAAGGATTAGAATAGCAAGACAGAGCAGGTTGTATGGTGCAATATCGAAATCTAGAACACCGAGCTTTGACAAGAGATGAGTCCTTCTGGCAAACCATATCAGGACCTCAAGGGTTATCCAAAGCCACTGATACGAGCAAAAACCACTCACATGTCAGCTTACAGAGGATGACAAGGTCACGCACTGCCAAGTCACCAGGCCTCTGCTTATGCTCATCTCAGGCCATCATCATTGCAGTGTAGGGACGTTCGCTAGCTTCTCTGCATCGCGCGGTACCGCCTAAAAGGAGATCGCTTGCCGAGTGGTTCATCAGCTAGATATCAGGCAGCGAGAGCACAATGCTCAAGCATAATACAAAGTTATGCGTAAGCATAACCCGGAAGTAACAGAGGCGCTGTCAGTAGAAACCTAAAAGGTGCGGGACCCAGAACGAGCGGTTAGCTGGTCTGGTCTGCATCAGCCAAGGCAAGGACTTGGATATCCTGGTCAGCTGAAATTCGAATGCGAAAAGGGCGTAGACTTACTGCGTGCGAGAACTTGAATATGACGCATGAAGGAGGTACCAAAGCTATTGTAGGCATGAATGTGCTGCGTGGTATGATTGACGGGGTCACTTGTATGTTGCACGTGCAGGATCCTTGCGCAAGAGGTCTGGCGGTCGATTGTGTAAGTGTCTGAGGTATGCACAGCCTAGCCTACAGGGGAAACAGCATATGATCCCAACCTACTTAAGCTCAGGCGGTCGTTCTACACACCTTTCCGATAGTCTACAGAACGTGACTGAACTCCCCGAAGACCTTCGTTTGAATTTCCAAGATGCGTCACCAGAGCGGACAAACGCTGCCCAATCACAAAAACATAGGGTCTCACCTAAGGTTCTGTAGCAACCCTTGAATTCAGCCAAAGACTCGGGCCCAAGGCGCTCGAATCCTCTTCTCACCCTTTCGCAGACCCCATTAAGCGATTCATCGAGGGTACTGCATGTTCTGTGAGGTAATGTAGGCCAAGGGAAGGACTAAGCTCCGGGGAGAATGTGGCTCGTCATGGCTGTCAGGAAACAGTCGATGGATTGCGAGTAAACCCTCGCCTTATGCACTCGGCGGAGAAGAGAAGAGGAGAATCTCTATTTGAAGCACCAGTAAGGACAGGGACAGACACCTTCGAGAAGAGTCAAGTGCAGAGATTAGTCCGCTGCTCTCGTGGATAAGCCATCTCGCAGACCTGGGTCGCGAGGGCGCTACACAGCGAGGAATTCTGTCACGATCTGCATAGCCTTCTCCTGGAACCCTGTGGCAACGTTCCACAGCCTGGAATGGTCTATCGCGGGAGACGTTCGTGAACGACGGTCATACCTCGCCGCACCTGCCGCATCTACAACGTCGAGTGCGCCCCCATCGTACGTGTTGCCAGCACAGAGACGAGGTGCATGTCAGAGGGAAGAGAAGGCGGGCTCCGTGGGTGTATGACTCGTTCCTGAAGCGACGTATGAATAGAGTTTGTCGCCGGCGAACGGAGTCTATCACGGATTCGTTCCGAGACAAAAGGAAGTCGTCTCGGTCAGTCTCGCCAGGCTTATCCTCCTGATGGCCGGCTTTTCCACCGTATAGGCGGGAGCTGCATGACGGGAGACGGCTCTGGTTGTGCTGTCCGCACGGAGGGCGATGCCAAGATATGGTCAGGAATGTCGTATCGAGTGGCTTTGTCATGCGCTCCAGCGGCACCGACCAGTGCAGAGGGACGCATCTTGAGGTCCTCTGAACTACGCCCCAGGGCTCCCGAAACGGATGCGCGAGTAAGCAAGGGGTCCAGCTCAAGCGCTTCGTGCTTGGCAACGGAGTCCAAGAGAATGCGGCGACCCCGGTCGCGCGTAAACGTCTCGTACCGGCCATGTAGATCGTCCTCATGCGGACGACCTTCTCCAAGGGATGCCACCCTGACATCCTCCAACTCGTGTCCCCAATCGTGGTCGTCGCTCTGCGTTGACGTCGTCCCGCTTGAGTCGAGAGATAATCGTTCGGTGAGAGTACTCCTTGCCGTAGCAAATAGGGCACCGAGACTTCGGCCCTGAGGCCGGCCGCCGAAGGAAAAACCAAGAGATGTGTGAGGTGCGCTGGATGGCGAAGGGAAAGCTGTACTACCGGTCGGAGAGTCCACGAAAGGAGGAAGCGTCGGTCGCTGCGGCTGGGAGCCAGAGTATTGTGAGATCGTCGGAGCCTCCGCTACTCTGAGATACTTCTCGAAGACAGCGGAGTAGACGGGGGAGGGAAGAATGACATCTGCGACACCGGGATGCGGACGACGGTTAAGGGCGGCTCCCGTGATCATCCTGGTCAACGACATTATGATTCGCTGTCCCCACGATGTTCTCAGCCAGTAAAGAGGCTGGGCTGGGAGCATCAGCACCACCGTCTACCTCTATTAGTGTAGTGTGGAAGTGTTTCACGTGTCGTGCTTTGTCTAGGGGAATGTAGAGCACTTTGCGTAGATGTACTGGATCTGATGGCCAGAGTTGATTCCACCGACGAAGGTCGGGAAGCGATACGCCGTATTTGAGGGCAACACCAGGAAGAGAATCGTTCGACGTGACCTGCAAGCCGCGGTGCTTTAGTCACTCGTCTACAGAATGCGAACTGGGCGCACCTCATGTAGAATTACCACCACCTCCTCCTCTCTAGTCTTCGGCTCTATTGCCTGGTCGTCAATTGCGTCCGAAGACCCATTCCCGCTGTTTGACGGAGCCTCCGTGTCGCTGAGGACGCGTTTCATGTGTGGACGGGTGTCATGAGCGGACAGGAGGCCAGCGACAAAGTCTTTGACCGCTCTGCTACTACTTGGTGATGCGAGAGGATGGGAGCTTGTAGGCCTGGTCACGTCGCCATCCAATGTGCGGACTCGCGAATGCGCAACACGGTGTGGCTCGTGGTCGTTCCTACTTCTCCGTGCAGCGCCGTCTGACACGCGCCGCCTCACTGTAGGGCGCGTCTCCTTCGACCTCACCGCCGAGCTGAAAGACGACTCTTCCAAGGATTCGCTATGGTTGCGAGTGCGTCATGACCGGTCACAACACCACTCTCAAGAGGCATGGGTCCGTGTTCAGCACTGTCTTCCTGTCAATAACGTCTCCAGCAGAAACACGATTCCTCACACACCATATGGCAGTTGAGCGAGAACACAATTGTAACGCGAAAGAATGCTGGCAGTAAGGTGTCCACTAGGTCCGTTGCACTGCTTGACTACTGCTGGTGTCAGTAGCAGATCACGTGATCACACCCGCTCCCGCCAAATCGGACGACTTATTGCCCAGCTATACTTGAGCTATTATACTTACATACATACTCCCGAGTCGATTCTCGACAATTGCTGGAATTTGAAGAGAACATCCTCAACGGCAAATGCTCCTAGTCCGTCTGTATGTATTTTGCTGCATGCATCGGCCCTCCCTTTGCTACACGTGCGTGATCTTCAAGTACTGTTTCTGCAGGCGCCCACTACGACCTGATCAGGCTCGCTGGGCTCGGCTCTCTGCCTCTCCACTACGCAAAACCCTGACACCGAAATTTACAGGCCACCTACTTCCCGAAGCTGAGCTTGCTTCTTGGAAATCTTGTCCAATCATGCTCAAAACTTGTCTGATGTTGCAGCGATAGGTAAGTAATCGATTCGCCGTGCTCACGGCACGTTGGCCAGACGCAGTTCGTAACGATCCCGCGAATTTGCCACCACATAGTGAACTGAGACCGCATCGCTATGATCGCCATGGTTCTTTATGCTAATCTGAATCTCATATTTGTATGATCCTTATGAGGTACGGCCGGCCTTCAAAATTCCGGGGACCAAGTTGACGTAAAATGAGTGATTGGCCTACTATTGTGGAGTCGATTAGATCCTCGACTCCTTTGTCCGAACGTCGAATCCAGGTAAGTAATAATGCAGCAAACTGGGCAAGTATCGGGGCACAATCGTATGTATTGTCATGTATTTATGTTCGAGTCCTGCATGGCAGAATAGCCCAATATTCTCACTACTCCCCAACGCTTGCGCAGACTCGGGGATCGGTTCGCATGCACCGTTCTGACGGACACTCATGGCCAGGCCAGCAGTATGACCCGATTGAGTTTACTCCGCTGGAGGATCTGCGCGACTGGGCGCGGGTGCAACTCGTACTCACGCCGACAAGTCATTCTCAAGACAAGTCATTCTCAACTCAGATGATTCGTCCACTGATGGCACGGTTGCAGGGTCTCGCGACGAGGTATGTTATAAACCTCAGCAGTATACACAGCCTCTCTCGTGCTGTCGTGCGAGTGACGGCTATTGCGAGGCGGCCCGCAAACGTTGCAATCGGATGCGAGTTCCTAAGTCAACACAAAACAGCCGTTACACAACTCATCACATTGGCGAGACGAATGCCTAGATAATAGTATGTAGTGTCAGTGAGTACTTCGACCATCTATCAATGCCACGTAAACGGCAAAGGGTCCAGTGGAAGTAGTAGGCACGAGATCTGTTTTTGCAGTCAGTAGCCCTCGTGCGGTCATGGCCAGTCTTGACGCAGACTGTTCTTGGAAGCTTCGATCGCACGCACCACAGTTGTACGTACATCGGGGTATGTAAACACACAATGTCTGAAGAGCGATGCTGCTTCACTTCCGCCTTGCTTGGGTCTAGCTACAGCTAGAGACGCCGCCTAGACGTCGACGGCCGCATGAGTTGGGCCATCAATTCGTTCGCTGGGTCGATATCTGCTCTATCGATATCGACGGCCTCCAAGGCCCACACGCGGTCTTAACGGCCTCTCCGAGTCAAGGACTCCGCGGCGATCGGCCAGCATCGGGCAACATCGCGCCCAAGACCAGCTCAAGAACCTGCAGACGGCACCTACGAGGATTGTCATGCTCGCGAGTGAGTCGGTGTTTGTATCCTGTCTACCACTGACCTCTTCCTTGCCTCAAACACACGCCTGCCGTCACACCGGAAAAATCTTGAACGCTCATACACACGGATCCATGTGGTCGAACATTTGGGATTGGACTACTCGACTATGGGATACAGGGCTGGGAGAGATGCCGGCATGAACTTGATACGGACCATACACATACGCAACATATCTTGTATACACAAGCTCGCGGCAACGACGGAACCGGTTACAAAACGTTCTGAAAACCAGGCAAGTAGAATGAGAAAGGTAATAAACACGCGAAATGGCACACGTTACTGACTGACAATATACCCTCTTAGACACTCGATACACTTTGATCCTGCGCTAGAGCTTCGCTCTCTTCTCTAGACCTCTTCGCGCCTACGACGCCAGTCCCTTGCGGCTGCTGCACGGCGCCCGCGCCCGTCACGCCCACCACCAGGCCCTTCAACCACCCGTTCTCTCTGCGGAGCGCCTCGCACTCCTTCTCCAGCTCCCCCACGCGCACCTCGAGCTCCTTGGCCTTCCGCTCCAGCGCCGCCTCGCGCTCCTTCTTCTTCAACCTGAACCGGGCAGACGCCGCAGTGTTGCGACGTCGCTTGTCCTCCGTAGGAGTCATCGACGTCTTGTCGTCCGACTCCGGACTCTCCGGTACAGGTGTATCGGCCGACGAGACGGACATACGAGCAGTGCGAGGACGCTTCGGAGCAGGAGCAGGGGTCTGGGACTGCTGTCGCTGCTGCTGCTGCTGCGTCTGGGGCTGCTGGGCGGGCTGCGCAGGAGCGGGCTGCGCAGGCTGGACGGCGGGCACGGAAGCCTGAGGGTTCAGCTGTGGAGGGAGGAAGCTGGTCGCTTGCATCGCGAGCAGGTGCGCGATGGAGTTGGCGTTCGCCGCTTGGTTTGCTGGCTGCTGCATGACAGGGGCCATGAACGGGTCGATGCCGAAGCTCGCGAGGATGCTCGAGATGTCCATCGGCATCTGCGTCCCAGCCGGGACGCCGCCCGGCGGGTTGGCATGTCCGTTGTGGGCGACACCGGTGGGAGGCAGCACGGTCGGGGTGACAACGTTCTCGTGGGCGGTCGTCTCCGCGATCCCGCCCCTCGACCGCCCCTCGTCGTCCTGATCGTTGTAGTGATCGTAATCGTCCGCGACGTGCTTGCCCTTCGATAACTCCGCATTTTTCGCCCTCTCGATGGGGACGAGAGGTTCATCGGACTGGAAGTTAAGGTTCGTCCATAGCTCGAGCTGCGCGTTCAGATCGGGTATGGGGAGCGAGAGGAGATCTGCGTCGGACAGGTATGGTGTTGCTGGCGGCGAGGGCTGGACGATATTCAGTCCCTGCAAGTGTGATGGCGCCATTGCTTCTTGCGGTGTCGAATCTCAGGCTATGAAGCCTGGGTCGATGTCTCTGCGTCGACGACGTGTAGGTCCACCCCCGAGGCAGGCGGGGGCGTTCGCGGGTAGGAGGAGTAGATGGAAGGAAGAGCAAAGTCGTGGCGATTTGAAGGATAATTAGTTGCGGCCGTGGGGCAAATGGAGGGCTCGCGAATGGGTGACTAAGATCGGACCGGCCGCTACAGACGCCCAGGATCCCCGAACCCCTGAAGGCCCCATCTGATGGCGATGCGCCGAGACGGTGCGTACCCTTCGCTTTCGACAAAATCGATGCTCCAAGAAATATATGAACTGACGAAGATACGGCTAGTTTGATACAAAGACAAGTGTCGGGAGGAAAAAGTGTACGAGTCCAGTTGGATTCGCTCGATCGGAAAAGGAAAGATCGATAACTTGCGATACCCGCGTCCGACCGACCTGCCAAGTGTGGCGTGTGTCGGGATCCAATGGACCCGGCTCAGTTAAGTATAACCGGCTGCGTCGCGAGATCACCCGAATGGGTGGTGAATGAAGCTTTGAAGCTTGGGAGAGCATTAAGAGTCGAGCAACGCGCACGAAAGTCTGACTCTCTACGGAACATCGTCCACGGTGGTGAAGAAACCAAAGTACCATGCTACAACGGAGTGCGGTGGCGAGGTGCGACTCCCTTCAGCGGGGGACGAGACCACTACAACTGGATCGCGGATCGGGGCCTGGACCTCTCGGATGGCTTGCGGATGCGACAAGTCTACTTGAAGACGTCCAATCGACAGAGCTGATAGCTCAACTTCCCAATCTGCATTGGTTGGAAGACACGTTAGCCAAACTGAATTGGAGTAGAGTACTCTCATCGGGTGGCCTGTAGGAGTAAAGACGTTACCATGGTATGATCCACGGGACCCCTCGAAGGCACAAATTCGTTCACATGATCGGCGAGAGATAACTGAAGAAGCAGTTCCAATTGAAGAGAATGCTTATCTCTGCAGTCGACCGCAGAGAAGCCTGTCATCCAGCCGCGGTTTGTACTGCAACAGATTCGTCAAGGGTAGGCAGAGTGAGAGCATCTCGCTGCCTTTTGACGCAACTCAACGGATGCGGCAGCGAGCAAAAGACGGTGTGAAACGTACCGCCAGTCAGGACAATGCAGCGTCTATGCTCACGAGAAGATAAAAGACCGGCGTCGACCAGCCGCTCATTGGTTCCATGAGGACGCGTGTCATCGACGGCGGTGAAGAATGTGACTCACCGACCTGAGCGGGGCCCTCCGACCGGGACACCTCGGCGGCAAGTTGGCAAGCGACAAGGAGAAGGCTTGCGTGGTCCAACCTGTGCGCGTCACGAGTGAGCATTTGTGAGATATCTAGATAGGTGATAGGACGGGACAGAGAATCTGCGAGTATCGCTGCAGTATCTCCGTGGTCCCGATGCTGCCCCGATTGCGGCCGCTCACAGCAGGGATCGTCGTGGGTGTGCATGACAGAACGTGCTGTTGAAGCCTGGATTCGGAGTGCGACTACTCACCGAGCGGTCGAGGCTGGGGATGTGAGGGCCACAGAACCTGATGTCCATGTCCAGTGTCAGTGCGGCTGAGTCGGCGACGAGGGGCCAGAGCCATGCGCTGCTTCACCTGTGTGAGGATTGAGGCTCAGATGCCATAGGTAAGCCATGCGACTACCAATTCCTCGCAGTGTCCTCTTCTAGATGCCATCTAGGGCCCTCCGGCGGATGTCCACTCCATCTCCCATGCTGCTGTTCTGAAAATCTGGCGTGAGCAGGACCTAGACCGCAGCAACTGAATGGAGCTCCTGGGACTCTAGAGTCGCAGAAGCAGACGATCGACCATAGGAATCTCGATGCTACTTGGCTTCTGCGCTGAGAACGAGCATTCATGGGAGTTCCGGGTGCGCGTGTGGTGACGCCGTGGCATCGAAAAGCAAATACGAGTAGCATGCAGCGGTCTGGATCTTGTAGGTTCGAAGCAATGAGCAAGCGGTGAATTAAGATGTGCGTCGCGCGGGCATGCAGAGGCTAGAGTCACTTGAGGTCCGAAGGTTGGTTGTTCAACGAGAGTGGCAACCGCCACCGATTCACAACGTACTCAGCTTACTCAGCCTGCCTTTCTTGGTCATCATATTGAACACCAAGCTCAGCGCTTCCGGCCAACCACCGAGTCGGCGCATTGCTTATACTCATCACTGCTAGTTTCCATATTACCTACGGCCAGGAACTTAGACGTCTGCGCTGAACACCATGTCGTCAACACCACAAGTTACCGTGCCGTTCTTCAAGAAGAAGGGTCGCCCAACAACTACGCGCAAGCGGTCTGCCTCGCCTCCAGCGACCGCAATGACCGTGCCTGTACCGTCGTCCTCCAAGTCGGAAGTTGTACTCCCCTCGCGGAAAGCGACTGCAAACCTTCTCAGCGCCGGGACAAAGCGCACCGCATCACAACGGCAGGAGGACGAGTACAGCGACGACGCGCCCGAGAAGGAGGGCCCCGACGTGAAATGGACGACCGCCGGCTCGCACATGAACGCCGCGCTGGAGATCATCCAGGGCGACGAAGCTGCGGAGATGCTTGCGAAGCGGCAGCGAAAAGAGGAGGGCGATGAGGAGGAAGACGTGCCCGACGACGGGTTGTACAGAGGCCAGAAGGCGTACGCGAGCCACGTCAAGAAGAACAAGGAGGTTCCGAAAGCGATGCGCGTGGGCCCGCAGAGAGCGTCGGGGAGCACGATCCGCACGGTGACGATCGTCGACTACCAGCCGGATGTGTGCAAGGACTACAAAGGTTCGTCTGCCCTGTCTGTGAGTGGGTGCAGTGTCTAACGCTTATTCGTGTAGAGACGGGCTACTGTGGCTACGGTGATACGTGCAAGTTCTTGCACGACCGCGGAACATGTGAGTGCTCAATTCTTAGGCCCGTGCACGCATAATTGACACTGCATCACAGATCTTGCCGGCTGGCAGCTCGATAAGCTAGCTGCTGACCCGAAACGACAGGTCGAGGACGTCTCGGACAGTGACTCGGACGACGAGGACATCCCCTTCGCGTGCCTCGTCTGCCGGAAGCCTTACACCGATCCGGTAGTGACGCGCTGCGGGCACTATTTCTGTTCGCCCTGCGCGATCAAACGCTTCGCGAAGACACCGAAATGCGCGGCGTGCGGTGCACCCACGGCCGGCATCTTTAACCGCGCCGACAAAGTCATCGAGAAAATGCGGAAGAAACGCGGGGACGATGAGGCCGAGGAAGGGGGCGACAGCAATACGGCCGACGTCGAAATCGAGGGGCTGCAGGGAAGCGACCAAGACGGCGGAGATGAAGAGGACAGTTAAGGCACCCCACTTGCTTAGCTCGACGTGGGCATTCCTCGCATGTACAGGGCATCACTAAGTACGTTTGCTCTATCCATAGACTCGTGCAATTGAGTTGTTTGTGAAATGCGGATGCAGGCAGGTTCTAGACGACTCAGATCAGAGCGTCCGAGATCCACGGCATCGCAAGCGGATCCTCCAGGCCACTTTGAGCTGATCTTCGTGACCAGCTTACGCCGTCCTCGTGCAAGATTTGGCAGCGGGAGGCGAGCAGGGCGCAAGTACTCAACGCAGTTGATGTCACTGGGGGACCGTTCAACTACTCCATGTGGAACGGCTTTTTCAAGCAGGGAGTACCGACGTATGCCGCGGGACATCGAGGATGGAAGCTCGCAGTTTCCTCCTCAGGCTGCCTCAGCATACGTAACGGCTTTCTGCGCTACCTTGGACATGACGTGTCGTTCGCGGGAATATGCTCTGTAGTCGGGACCGGCACTGTACTGCCCATCATGTGCTCTTACATGGCAGAGTGCTGAGGTAGCGGCAGATCGTTCATTATGGTAAGCGTTGGACGTCTCTGATGTCCGTTTCACTCGCCTCATGGGAACGTCAACACTCTGCTTCAGCAATTTCACAGGCGTCGTCTTCTTGATCATCATCTGCTAGCTATCTGGTTACTCGATGGAATGCGACACTGAGACGCTACACGGAAGCGCCGGTACCCCAAAGGAAAGCTGCTTGCGGGCTATGGTGACTTCTCCGCGCGATGGCTGCAAGAGAAGGTTACTATGATGCAGCTTGTATCCCGCTCAATTGACTACCCATACCGCACGCGCTCCCCACATTCGCTTCCTCGGAAAACGTTCAGTCTGGTTGAACCATGGCGGTCAGTCCGACTGGCTGGCCGATAACTGGGAGACCTACAGGATTGGCTATATATCGCGATTTGCACGGACGTGCCGCGGCAGCACTGACGCCCGTAGACAAGCCCGGAACAGAATCGTTCTAAGTAAGTATGCGCCCATCGAGTGCTAGGAAGCTGCGGGAGCGTTGTCGGTACGTGCACGGACTGCTCTCTTCTGGGCGAGCTCTCACCTTTCTGCTCGATGCTCGGGTTCGTCATCGTTCAGCGTGTCTGTTTTGGGCATACCGGTGATCAGCGCAGGCCATGGGGACCGGCGCCGATTCGAGGCGTTCTCTGCTATGTATCAACCGGCCATTGCGAATAAGAAGCCTGTCGTAGGGATTTCTCGTGGGCCACAGCTGTGCACGAAGTCTGTCAGAGCGGTATTTGTGATGGATCCGTGAGGCATGTGTGCTGTACGGGAACTGCACCGTCGGGCAAGTGAAGCCATGCCTTGGATGTCCTTACTAAATCCAACTGCCTTCCGCAGATATCTCCACTGTTCCCCGGGCCTGCTTCTTCAACTGAACCGCACGAACGCATGGCGTCTGCCGGTGGCACTGTCCATCGGCGATTCTATCGGGTCACGTACTCTCACCGTACTCATTTCGGACGACCAGCCGCAGCCATGGACGTGACATGATCGTCCATGCTTGATCCATGGGGAGGAATGCTCAGCGGAGATTCCTGTCATAGTCCGCCTCCATGTGTGTCGAGTCTCTGCGCGAAGTAATACATTCTTCAGACGACAGCGACGAGCGACGGGTCCGGCCAGGCCTGTTGACAAGGTGACACAACGTACAACTATCCTCGATGGGACTACATCTCGGCAACGAGCTACACGGAACGCTCTTTCAATGCACCGGTGCTCACTCTAATCGGCAATAGGATCGCAAGCGCCTCGTGAGGCCTAGGAGATCTATTCGGTTGCGATGGAGTACAGTGGGGTCGGCCGCGGTGATACAGACGTGGAATGAGTGTTCCAAGATACAAGACAGCTAATACACGTCGGGTTTACGCTAAAATAGGATATAGGCTACATGCTACGGGCAGATACCAACCGTCAAGTCGCCGGACATCCGGTTCACATGGGCATCTTGTCGCACCCATTGTCGAGATGCCGCTTCAGCGAATCGGCGCGACTGAACTCCTTCCGGCAGTATTGGCAGCTATGCGACGTCTGCAAATGCTGACTCTCGTAGTGCCGCTTGCGATCGTGCGGACGAGAGAATGTGCGGTCGCACTTGTCGCATGCGTACCTCTCGACGCCGGGGGAGGGGGAGGATTTCGGTGGAGTAAGCGCGGAGCGGGAGGGATGCTGCGTCTGGTAAGTCTGCATCGTCTGCGCAGGGGTGGGGATGTATCGAGTGTCGTGATGGGCAGCCTGGGCATGATGCGCCGAGCCATGGTGATATCCCGCCTGGGCGTTCGCTGCGGCGAAGTGAGGAGGATACGAGGCTCTGGCAGGTGGCACCATGCCTGCGTATGCGGCGTTCGCCTGCAATTGCGGCTGTTGCATCCCGGCATGGTGGGCGTTCGTAAACGGAAGATTCCGCAACGCTTGTCCTGGAGCACAGGTTAGAATGAGGAACACCAAATGAATGGCTGCAACAAGCGAACATACCGCCATATTCGCCTCGAGGATCGCCAGGCTGGGCGGCTGACATGTGGCTGGTGGTCGCCGGCGGGTACGCCGCGTACTGCGAGGATGGATGGGCATAGGCGATGGGTTGCGGCAATGCGGAAGCTGGGTAGCCTGCCCCGTGGGGCTGCTGGTAATGTGCGGACATGTCGGTTGTGGAGGACAACGAGTGCCGGTGCTGGCCATCTTGGCCTCCGGGTTGCGAAGAGTTGTAGTAAGGGTTCATATTAGGTGGACTCAGCGCGGTGGGTAGTCTATCTCGCTGTCGACATACGCTTGGACCTTTTATGAATACTCGCGGCGTCCATCATCGTCTTGCAGTGAAGACGATTTAATACGGGGCCTTCCCATGTTCGGTTCATAGCATACGTAGTATGTACCGGTGGTGTCATGCATCGAGATGTCCAGGATCAATCGAAGCGTTGAACACCGGGTTTCAAATCCTGACTGTTGTCAGTCTTCGATGGTAGTCCACTTGCCGTGCATATCGGCCAATGATGTATAACTATACTCGGCTCGGAGATCTGTCCAGTGGGGTTAGATCAAGAGTCTGCCAATTTTCTTCAGCTGAAACGGCTCGAGGAGACACTCCAACTGTACAAAGCACTGATCCTCCGATTCTTCGATCTTCGCGGGGCACAAGTTTGCTGCGTCAAGTGTTGCAACTTGGTTGTGACGTTCCGCGCGTGTCGGGAAGAAGGCATAGCGACGCCGAAAGCCACGGCTCACGGCTCGCACCGGGGCAGAGCAGCTGTCCTGTACCGATGCAATCTCTCTAAAAGCAGGTGAAGAATGAAGTCGTGGGACGCAGGGATCACATCGTTCGGTATTATCGCCGTTACGTAAGTGGGTTGTGAGTTACTCGCCGACTAAGGAGACGTCCGTTCCATGCATGGACCTGACGCAGCCCAAGAACCTCGAATTCGACCGCCGAGCGGGACCGCGGCCGGGCCCAATCGCCATTGGATTGTGCTCGTATGCTTCGACACTAGCCGGGCGCCATTGGTTTCACATAGGTGACAGGCACGTCCTGATGCACCGGTGAAATTCATCTGTGTCTGAAGAGGACGTTAAGGGGACGGGTGGTGATGGAACCTGAGTAAGTTTCCGATGGCCTGGCTTGCGACCGCGGCGCTTCTGCGCACGCAGCGTAACCTAACACTCACCACGGGCATTTGTTCAGAAAGGCTTAGAGCTGGCTTTGCTCCACTCCTAGTCCATGTAAGGATTGAAGGATAAGTTGTTGGAAGCATCTCCGTCGTCCGAGGCACACAGCCATCATCCTTGGGGAACTGTGTCACGATGTCCATGTGCATCGCGCGGTGCTAACGTGCTCCGGCCAACTCCTAAGCTAGCCTGGTCTGGCAAAAGACACTACAACCGAATACGTCGATGCTGCATGGGAGACACATTGAGCATAAGAGGGTGGCCAAGAGCTGCACGGCGAAATGCCGTGGCCCCGGACCAGCGTCTATACTCTATAGCTTGAGGAATCTGGCCGCCGTGTCTGCAAATGATCATCGAACCACGAGGATCGCCTGGCCACTGCTTCAGAGAGAAAAAATTATTGATAGTCGGCTAGCTATTTCGCAGTGCAAGGACACTTACCTCACCTTGACCATACGATACCAAGACGACACCGCGTCGGAGCCAAGGGATTTCCGCCGATTCCGAGGCCCCAATATGACAGATTTTCTTTGCTAACATGCACCGCAGTGAGAAGATTCAATTGACGCTGTGTGGCAGCAGCTAACGACAGAGCTTGGCAGAGGAAGATCGAAAGTCATACTGAATCCACACAGACAGGTGTATATAGAAGGACTGAGCGTTGATATGTATGCAACCACGTCCTGACTTCCATTTGTGGAAAACGAAGCAAGCAGACGCAAACACCACCTTCGCGAGCCGCTGCGCCGAGGCGCTTACCAGTCAAGAACGCTCGCACTGACATCCAGGTTCATGGCGCCTTTCGATCTCGACGCTTGTATCGAGCAACTACTACGGAAACAGCTGCTGCACGAAGCACTTCTGCGGGAAATATGCGAGAAGACGAAAGAGGTGCTCATGAGGGAGTCCAATGTGGTGCATGTTAGTGCACCTGTTACAGTGGTCGGCGACATCCATGGGTGAGTCACCGCGTCCCTGCAGTAAGCCAGGTCTAACTCATGCTCAAGTCAGTTCTATGACCTTATTGAAATCTTCCGCATAGGCGGATTTGCACCTCACACGAACTACCTCTTCCTCGGTATGTTATGATTAGTCAGAACGCGTACATTCCAAATTCATGCACCCACGAGGCGACTATGTCGATCGCGGACTCTTCAGCGTCGAGACAATATCCCTCCTCACGTGTCTCAAGCTACGATACCCCGACCGCGTCCAGTTGATTCGAGGGAATCACGAGTCGCGTGCCGTTACGCAAGTCAGTGAAGCTACAGTCGTGTGGAACCTACATTCATGGGCTCTTGCTAGACTTATGGCTTCTATACCGAATGCGTCCGCAAATATGGGACATCCCACGTATGGACGTACTTCACCGACATGTTTGACTTCCTCACGCTCTCGGTGGTCATTGATGATCGAATATTTTGCGTCCACGGCGGTCAGTATCATACGTAGTAAGGTTGCTTCACGCTTTAAGTTTGCGACCATGCAGGTTTGTCGCCGTCCATACATTCCATCGACCAAATAAAGGTCGTTGACAGATTCCGAGGTTAGTCCTTCTAAGTTGTCTATCCTTACCTACATCTCAACTTGTCCCAGAGATTCCCCATGAAGGCCCGATGGCGGACCTGGTATGGTCTGACCCGGACCCAGAGAAGGAGGACTTTGCAATATCTCCTCGGTATGCTCCATGCAGTAGAGTGTCCCCAGAAGACTGATTAAGTGTGCGGTTCCAGCGGTGCAGGCTATACCTTTGGCTCAGGAGTCGTCTACAAATTCCTCGAGACCAATAACATGTCGCACATCTTGCGCGCACACCAACTCTGCATGGAAGGTTACTCATCACTATTCGATAAACACCTCTCCACGGTATGGTCCGCGCCGAACTACTGCTATCGGTGCGGCAATTCGGCGAGCATATTGGAAGTAGGGCCGGGAGAAGCGATGTACTTCAATGTCTTCCACGCAGCGCCGGAGAATGAGCGGGACGGGCCCAGCCAACAAGCGGCTCAAAATGCAGGTGGCAAGGTGCGTCGTTCTGTTCGTTGAGGTGGCGTGGTGGTACTGACGGTGGCCTGCCCTTCCAGCTGCCTGAGTATTTCCTGTAAATTATGCTAGGATTCATACCCGGTCGTCGTGCAACAGTATTGTATCAACACGTCCATCTATACATAGAGCCACCGGCTGTGCTTGTATCGAATGCGCACGTTGTAATATCATCTGCCCATGTGTTTCACCGATGAGACGGCCGCTCCTTTGTCAGTCACTGATGTCTGTCTGCCCGTCGTAATCACGAAGGACGGCTTCATGTATGTCGTGCCGCGCATTGTTCTCTCTCCTTTGAGCTCACAAAAACACCTACAAGCTCGCACACCCAGACGACGGAAGTGGATCGACGGACATCAAATGTCGGACCGTCCTGGAGGTAGGATTGACACGCCACCGCCGCCCCCTCATCGGAATGGAATTGTAAACGCTTAGAAGCGAGATAGACAGTGCCTCCATGCTTCACTTCGCTGTCCAACATGCAGACAGGAGCTTGTACAGGCATTGGCGTGGTACTTGCCCGCCTTACGTGGCATAAACTCCTCGGAGACTCTGGCAGGGGCGCCGAGGGGGATCCAGGATGTCACCTATACATATTGGATGTCGCAGGCATCCTCGCGTTGATATCTAGCATTACGTCGTCTCTGACCGTGTACAGGCCGCAACTCGCAACTCAAAGTAGATGGCAGTCGGCCACTGATCGGTAAGAGTGTTCCCCTTGGTTGAGGTCTCTGAGCTATTTCTGTCGGAAGTGACTGCGCTGAGACCTTGCCCAGGCGATGCAGCCCAAGACGAATTCTTCTTCGCTCCATGAGGGTATATGAGCGGAGTGGTGCAGATTTTAACACTGAGATCTTATTCAACCGGCGGACGCCGAGGTAAAGAGAGGTACAGATTTCGCGGAACGCGACTACGCATTCCCAGGATCGGGGCTTGGGTCTGTCAATCTGGTCGGACACTGGTGAATATATTGTCATGCGCAGACGATGAGTAATGTGTTCAAATGGTCATTGCACTAGGCAAATGAAATATCGTCGCGGATAATATTATTAATACAATGAGCAGACTGGTTCCATGGCTGTAAATGAATGCAGATCATGAAGCCATTCAGCTGTGATAAATTTGAGAAGGCCGACAGCTGACCCATACAGCCCGAAGCCTCGGTTTTCCCCTTGTCAGTGACTACTAGGTTCCACCACCGGCCGATGGGCTAACGTACGCCTGGGCCGGTCCCAAGTAACCCACGAAGCATCGTCGTCAAACTCGACGTCTGTGCACGCATACTAAAGGCGAATCGTGTCCTTCGTGATATACGAACGACGGCAACAAGCACGACGGCTGCTAGGGCCGTTACGAGGTGTATGTGCCAGCGCGCCCAGAAGAGCCACGCGAGTGTGCGCAGCAGGTCTCGCTTTCGTCGGCGGCCGTGCCGCAGAGTCGGGATGGGGGTATCGTGAAGAATTGGGTATCCGTAGTAGGGGCTGTGCTGTGGGGCTGGGCGCGATGGGGGGACTCCCATCATAGGAATTTCAGGATCTGCCGCCTCCGAGTCCGATAGGGTGTCTACACTCTTGCGCGCAGGGCCGGCGTCGGCGTCAGCATGGCATTGAGGACCAATTCCATCCGCAGTTTTGAGGGAAGTCCGCAAGGGATCCTCCAGTTCAGAAGACGGAGGCAAGAGACCACCGAAATCTCCACACGAGAGGTGAGCTTCCAGTCGGCGTAAGGCAAGAAGAATTTACCAGATGGGAGACATTCTGGCGGCAAGTAGTCCAGGAGCTCTTCGCGGCTGGGGAAGAAGATACGTGAACGCGCTCTCGGGGGCAGGAGCCGTCTGATAAACATAGTCAGAAAAAGGGTGACACGATGCCGCTCATGAGAACACATGCTTCGCGAAGTTCCATGCTCCGGAGAAGGACCATGCGTAGTTGAGCACAAAGACTGCGTGATGCGATCCATCAGTCGGAAGGTAACCACATGTACGAGGCGCGCTACAGGTACTAGTGGCAGAGACACTCACCCGCCGCGATCATGCCAGGAAACGCGGGCAAAATTTGCTGCGCGAATTTTGAGATGACATCCATCCGTCCCTATGTCCAGGCGGTGAATTCGAACGCCTGGTTTCTGAAAGATTACATGGACGTACAGCGCTGGTGATTGACACGCCTTCCATGTCCAACAGGGCAATGTACTGCAGGACAGGTGGCTCCCTGACATCGCACTTGGAGTTGAGCTGATGGAGGCGCACGCGCAAGGATTCCATAGAGGTATTCAAAATAGACGGAAGCTCGGGTGACGAGAGTTGCAGCCCCTTTGGCCTTATGACGATGATTGGTCGACCGAAAGAATCAACTGAGCTGAGTGGGAGACAGCGTAGGAACTGCGCGACATCCGTTCGTGGCCGAGATATAGGGCTCAGGCGGCCGAGCATGATGCGCCGGATATCTTCAAGAGCCAACGATGCGACGAACTTGTGGCGCTATGATTCGAAGTCAGTTGGGGCGAAGTAGAACCGGGCAAGCAACTCTCTTACCTTCAAAACGCGAAATATAGAGGCTTCGACACGTCAGTAACCACACCTCAACCACAGTTCGTACTCACGGATGTCTGCTGCCCAGTCCACAAAATTTTGTCGACCGCGCTCATCGACTCCAAGCTCAGCGACCATGTCTGGTATGACATGGTCAAGCAGGAGATCGTGCAAATCCAATACGGTGTTGAGTTCTTTGCGATACAGCTCATCTAGCTTCTCCTTTTCGCAGCGCAAACCATCGTAGACCTTCATGTGTCTGGCCTATCCCGTTCAACTTCGTTGGAGTCGAGGTCAACTCGCTGCTGCCTGCGGCAGCGACTTGGAGAGTTGATTGGCACGTTGGAGGCATGTGATTCGGACGCGCCGGGCGCTCGTACGCGTCTGCTGCTGTCACGAGATACGCGTCGAGTTGTTTTCCACTGGCTCGTCCGACGTCCTCCCAGTCCAACACTCTAAACACATTCACTGCTGGATCCTGCTCGCGTCCAGGCGATCTGAGCTCAGAGAAGATGTCTTCAGATGACCTGATTGCGTGGTTCAAGTCCAGAAATGGTACTGTCGACACATCGTCGATGGGATTTGCAGAATACCCTGCTTGCGGCCGCGGCGCCGTCGCTCTGAAGGACATACCTGTAAGTCGTACGCATCGCAGTACGAGTCAATTTACCTATGTGAAGTGATGCAGCAGGGGCATGTCCTGTTCACCATCCCGCGCGACGTTACACTGTCTACGCGTACATCCTCCCTCCCCTCCCTGTTCGGCATGGAGGCGTGGAAACGGCTCGGATTGGACAAGGGTTGGGCGGGTCTGATTCTTTGCATGATGTGGGAGGAAGCACAGGGAAGCGTATCAAGGTGGTCCGCGTATCTCTGTAAGTCGTGAGCGACGAACTGCATAACCATAAGTGATGCATTGATATATTCCCGCTAGCTTCCCTGCCTTCAGCGTTCGATACGCCCATGTTCTGGCCCGATGATGATATAAAAGAGCTCGCGGGGACTGCAGTGGTAGGTTCGTCTTCGATTACTCTCGTCACCCCCCAGCGCGCTAACGCTCCAGTTCCCTGGCGTTCCACAGACAAGATAGGCAAGGAGGAAGCCGAGCGAGATTACGCGGAGAAATTAATTCCTGCTATACAGGTGGTTACAGTTATTCACGATGCTTTTGCTTCGATTCTGACATTGCATGCTCAGGGTCGTCCCGAGCTATTCCCTGAGGGTGCCCGCCAGCTTCATTATTCGCTAGAACGATACCATATCATGGGAAGTCGCATTCTGTCTCGTAGCTTCCACGTCGAGCCATGGTCTGGTGACGAGGAGCACGATGAAGCGGCCGAGGATAGCGACCCAGAAGGTCAGGCCATGGACGTGGACCAACAAGAAGATACACAAGGCGAAACTGCGATCGGAGACACTGAGAGGCCGCCAGACGACACGTTAGAGGTTGACTCAGCAGACTCAGACGATGAAGGCGCTGAGGATTCCGCCGTCGTCGCAATGGTGCCCATGGCAGACATGCTCAATGCTCGTTATGAGTCGGAGAACGTAAGCATCGATGTTATCCTCGAATCATGCAGCGCGTCCGTTGATGTTGCCTCTTAGGCCAAGCTGTTCCATGAGGCTAAGGATCTGCGCATGGTCACTACGAAGCCTATCAAAGCTGGGGAACAGATCGTAAGTACCACGTCGACTTCGTCTTTAGCGACTGAAGGTATCAATTCCATCTCAGTGGAATACATACGGAGACCTACCAAACTCGGATCTGCTTCGCCGATATGGTCATGTTGACCTTGTTCCGGTTCCGCAGCCCCTTGGTGGCCTTGGTAATCCTGCAGACGTAGTCGAAATCCGTGGCGACTTGGCAGTTGCGGCCGTTACGGATGGCCAATCTACATCTTTGGGCGAACGGGTCGACTGGTGGCTCGAAAACGCCGACGATGAGTTGAGTGTTTCACAGTCTATCGTTACCAAGAAGCTCACGATGTCCCCTGCGGCAGCACCTTTGTGATTGGGACAGATTGCGAGCTTCCAGAAGACCTCGTGTCTTTTGTGCGCCTCCTGCTGATGCCCCTTGACGAGTGGGGGAAGACGAGCGGGAAGGCAAAACTTCCGAAACCAAAAGTCGATCTCGGCGTGCTCACCGTTATTGAGAAGACGCTGGCAAGACGCATGCAGGATTATCCAAACAGTCTCGTGGTATGCCTTCATGTGCCTTGACCTTTTATGCTTGCTCATGAGCATCAGGAGGACGAGCAGCTCCTTGAGTCTGCGAATGACGGTCTCTCGCTTAATAGGAAGCACGCGATCATTGTTCGCATCGGCGAGCAGAGGATTCTACGAGGCACCCTGCACAAAGTGCGAGCGACAAAGGAGAGTATGAAGCCTGCGTCTTCGAACACGAAAGACAAAAAGCGGCCCCGGGAAGCGACAGACTCAAACCCGCATGGTAAAGGCAAGAAAAGTAGACGTTAGTCCATAACTGTCTTGTTTGTCGTCCTCAGTAGACAGGAGCGCGCGAGGTCGTGTCTAAGACGGGCGACCTCTGGTGCAGCCTGCGAATCCTCAAACATTCAGCCCTAGTACTCCAGTATGCGGTACGGATCTCATGTATTGTACACGATAGTTCTATCCCGGCTTGCTGATCCGCGTTGGATACGTTCGCGTTCAACCTGTCGAGACCAGACTAATGTCTATGCCGCTGGTGTACAACCACTAGTGTCTACAAACACCCGAGTCGACGGCCCCAACGAACTTGGTCTCGTACCCATCCGTGTGGACGCACCCCACCAGCGCTCCGACACGGTGCGTCCACACGGATGGGTACGAGACCAAACGAACTTGGCTCAGGTGCGATGCGTGCCGATTTCATTGAGTACTCGTTTCATTTACCCTGCTATTGCTGTCACAACCTTTCACTCGACTAGTAAGTTAACACACTTGTGGTGTTCAACGTTCAACACCGGAACCTCGTTCAACGACGTGTCATACCGTGCCGTAACGTCAACGAAGAAGCAAGTTCGCTTGGAGAAATGATAGTCTATAACATTATTACTCCAGTCCGGAATGATACTCAAGAAGCTCGGTGAATGACAGTTTGGTTCATGTCCGAGTCTCGAGAAGCCCATTAGTGCGTGCCCTCCATATGGCTCCATGTTTCTCTGGGATATTGAGGTGTACTCTCGAGATGTACACTGACAAGTGTCAGCACTGCATTCCTGAGTGTACTTACCTTCCAGCTCATTTAGTTGAGCAAACAACGGCGTAAAGATCGGCCATCGATGTCACGACGCAGTACGGTGCCATGGACCGTTCGAAGTGAGCAAGGAAGGTGCAACTAATAGCATGAATAATTGCGCCCGAGCGTCGCGGGTCGGCAGCACGATCCTGAGGTTGTCGGATATGTTGTCCTAACCATACGCCGCCGTCGCGGGACAGCTCGAATAATGTATCTACGGCACTGTCGATGGGTACATAAGTGCAACTCAGCGACGGAGGTAATAGACTCACCTCGGGCTTGGCCCGGGCATCTCGCGTAGCGTGGATAGGCGCCCGGGCAAGATCTACGTACTTAACCACAGTTAAGTTCTTCTCTCCAATCCGTCTCGCATCCCGATGTTGGACCCCTCGCTCCTTGCTATGTTTGCATCGCTACCTCCTGACCACCGATCGATGTCGACCTCATCAAGCATCTCAACAGAAGATGCTGATCCCTTATGGGAGAGCTTCAGTACCTGTGATACAATGCCCAGCACTGTCGACAGTGCGAGTGTTACAGATTCATTGACATCGGAGCAATGGGACATGATCCTCACACACGTCCACCCCTTTCTCTTATCCACGGCATCCGATCGGTGTATGAGGAAACCTTCGAGAGCACGCTGGTGATGCCTGCAAATACACAAGCCAATACGAAGGACAACCATCAGTCGACGTCGACGGTTGCAGCCGTAGTGGAATGTGTACTCACACATCATGCTTCTTATACCAGTCTTCGCCCACTAGCCATCTTCGGTACCAGGGGTACGACGAGCGATACGAGGGCATGCATGTCGCGGGCACCCCTTTGCCAGAGTATGCACCTGCCGGTGCTAGTCCAGACGACGCATCAATCACCGGTAGCTCGCTGGGGAGCGAAGCGATGGACCACGCTATAAACCACGCGGTGCTGGCCGTAGAGGGTTCTGTGCCTTATGCGGACTACGTCGAGGCTTGGAGGCAGGAGGCACAAATGTGGGCATTCTGGGACTTCAGGGAAACAGATGAGCCTGACGAGATGGACTCGCCTGTGGTGGTTGCCACCCCGCTCGACGTTCAAATGGCAATCCCCGAAGGCACTCCAGCTCCGCCCTTGGAGGGTAACGCAGCGGTCGACGTGGGGCCGGATTTGCCAACGTTGGCTGGAACTCCCGAGCTCTGCGGATTGGAGGACGAGACCAGTCGTTCGTTGATGAACGAGATCATAGACACCGCGATGGCTGAGTGGTCGACGAACAACCTCGACGCGGTCGTCCTCGATCACGAGCAAGACCAATGTGGAGATTAGTATGGAGAGGGGGTGGATGTAAAGCGAGGAGCTCCGAGTGAGCCGCAGGAGAGCTGCCAGAGGACCACAAGATTGCGCGAGACATTGGCCTGCAGACAGAGACACACACACAGGCAAATAAATGCGCAGCCAGCGAACGAGAGCTTACTGACCAGGCGGACTAGTGCACAACCTTCGAGCCGTTTTATTCGCTTCCGAGTCATCTCCTCCGTGGGTATGACGAACAGGTTCCATGTGCGTGACAACGGGTTTGTCCTCCAGCTAGCAGCACTGCCCGAGGCAAGAGGGGATGCCGGGTTCACGATAAGGCGTTGGGTCATGTATATCGAGGTAAGGTAAGTCAAAGGCAAGTTGCAAACATGGCAGTCAGGAGGGCGCCAGCCACGTCGGGACAGTCCGATTCGGATATCGCGCCACAATCGGGCGCTGCGGACGAAAAGGGTATGCACGGCGTACGCGCGGCACGGCGCACGTTCTATCGGAATATAACTCACTCACCAGGAGGTTCACGTCTTCTGGGTTCCCCTTTCGCTATGTTCCAGGTGCTAAGTATGTGATTGGCATTGCACAGCACAAATTCCGTCTAAGCACCCTACGCTTTGATGCCCAACACCCCGAGTCACTTCAAGTTGCGTGGCTCGGCGACGATCTTCTGCATGCGACAGGACCGACGGCAGACAGTATGCTACGACAAAATCCAAATGATATCGATCATGGCTCTGACCGCAGAGTCAGTTACTGTTTGAATGCTATCGGTGGCCCCGGCCAGTGGTCGGCTTAGACTAAGTTACTAGTACTATGCCACTGGAGCGCGTCTCGGGTGTTTTAGTGGTAGTACTATAGCTACCACAGCAGAGCGGTCACTGCAAGTCCGGCACAGATGTAACACCTCCCTTCATACCTCCTCACATCCAGGCTAACTTACTATCATGGTCAACAGAGTCGCCCATCTCCTACCCATCACCCCCGTTTCGCTCGTTATTTGATCCCACGGATGGCTCCTCACCGGGCCGTCCTCGTTCACGACATCTTGCTCGAAATATTCGACCATTTCCATTTACCACCGTCGACGAGCATTGACGACCAGAGAGATCGTCCGGCTCTTCTCAATACCGCGCTGACGTGCAAGAGGTTCCTGGATCCTGCATTGTCAATTTTGTGGCGAAGCATAGACGATTCCATCCCTCTTCTGGCTCTCTTCTCGTCCTTCCAGCCGGTCCCCCTCCCGGAACCCGAGCGGCGAAGTTCGTACTCGTATCACGCTACAGCCTATGTGAGTTTTCTATTTCTCCATGATGGCGAGATAGGTCCAGGGTCCCATATTGAATCATGAGGGTGGATGATTCTGGGATGATGTTGTCCGTTACAGGCTTTGTCTCAGAAATGATCCTGAATTTATCTCGCTGTATAACGCAGTATAATTCTAACACACCGTGTCTGACAGATGTTCTGTGGAGACCTGCATGAATATGAGTGGCGAAGGTTCCGTGTCTACGCTGGTCGTGTCCACGCATTCACGAATGCAGGACAGCTGAATATCAGCCCGTCGGTCTTCCGTGAGCTTCTTCATATGAATGGTGACCGCCCGTTATTTCCTGCGCTGGACGAATTTCGGGGGAACATTCAACTAGTGCACGCAACCCCCAATCACTACGACATCGACGACACGGAGTTGGTGTCGGTCACGTCCCCCGCCCTGCGTCGGCTCGAGATCAGGCTGCACGACACAACTGGTCAGCTGCAGCCGCCCTTCCCAGTGTATGACGTCCCACATATCCTCCTCGAGAAGCTAAGCTCGAAGCTTCCACGCCTCGAGTGCCTGCGCATATTTTGCCGGGGCATTGGCCCACATCTCCCCACCTCCCGCGTGCTGTCTGCCGCGTCGATGTCTGCCTTCACGGAGCTGACCACCGTCGATGTTCTACGATGTCGCTCTGCGTGCACTCCGGACCTCCTTCGTCATCTCGCAACACTGCCTACCTTAGTCAATCTCTCGGCTGAGATCGGTGAAACAGACGGCGGCACTTCGATCGTCTTCTCGGGTTTCCCCTCGCTCCGCAGGCTGCACGTCAAAGGCACGGTCGACAGGGTGCTCGCGCTCATTGCGACTGTCAATTCGCCGTACGTCCGGGCTGTCCAAGTACAACACGTGCCAGAGGACGTCGGCCCGTACTTTGAACAAGAGTGGTGCAAGATGATCGACGCAATCGCCTCCCGCTTCGAAAGCTCCCTGCGCGAAATCAACCTCGCGACCTCCTTCCAATTCTGCGAATCGACGCAGCAAGGCCGCAGTGGGTTGCGCTTCCTGCGCGTCGTGCGTCCGCTGCTCGCTCTGCTGGAGCTGGAAAGCGTCATTTTTTCCTGGGACATCGAGCGCACGCGCCTCGATATGCGTGACGAGGACGTACTCGAGATGGCCAACGCGTGGCCCAGGGTGAGGACGCTGGTGCTGCGTTTCGTGAACGGCTGGCAGCTCCCAGTGGAGACGCTTTCCCACTGGGCTCGGCTCTGTCCCTTACTCATTCGGCTCGTCTTGCCTGAACTCATGGATCGCGAGCACTCAACTGTTGAGTCATTCCCGGCGACGTCGCATGGGCTGCGCTATATTCAATTTGAATATGAGCCCCGTTCAGAACGCACGACGAGGATACTCGACCGGCTGTTTCCAAATCTGGACACAGCGGATAACCGGCCGAGCAGAAAACTGCTAAGATGGACGCAAGTTTGACAATTCCAGCAAGAACGACGGACTGCGAGATCCATGTGAACGGTTGTCCGTTGGTTGGGCCGTTGTATCACTTGCATGCCACATATGATGTCGGGGGCACAGACGGCGGTTCAAGCCCAGTGAAAACGCCGAAGTTTCAGAGCGATCCCTGTAGATTGTCCGGTGTCAAACCGCTGGTGTTCGACCAGAATCGACATCAAAAGTAAAATGAGACAAACATCGAACGATGTCGACTTCCATAGATCGTGGTCGACCTCGGTCCCATGATTCTGAGTCGTTCGCTCCCGACAGACAGAAGGCGCCTCTTATCGACGTAGCTATCGTAGCCAACGATTCTGGTAGATTGTCATAGAACTCATTCAAGGCCATGCTCCTCGAGCAGTATATAATCCCTTTGAATGGCGTATATTCAGCAATTCGTAGCAGTGTAACAATCTACATCACAGTATACTACTACTAGTACTAGTAGCATCAAGCCGCGAGCATCGAGTAGCATTGAGCAACGAGAACCTGCACCCCATTAGTCAATGTACTAGTTCGTGGCTCACTGTAGAATATGTGTCTTCGTAGACCATTCTATCGCGAGTCTGAGTCACCGAGCCTTTGCCTTGCCCTTTGCATTGGTGCACTGTTGGCAACATGCCGTGTTAAACTCAACTAGCATCGCCAATGAGAGACCTTGTATACATACCTTCAGCTTAGCCACGCAGTTTTCGCTCTTAGAGCCTACCAAGTCCGAGATGAGCAGCACATCTGTAACACAGGGTCCACACGCACCCGCTTGCGCACCCACCCCATGTCCACTCACACACACGCTCGCCCACCTGCTAGCTGGCCGGCTGGTCCGCCCGTCTGCCTACCCATTCGTCCGTCTGCCATCCCGCTTTGTTCCTCTTCCCTGCTCGCCCACTCCGAGTCGTGTACGTTTTCCCGCCTGCGTGTGCGCTTGGTGACCTTATCTGCGCGTGACGTCCGAATCGCCTGGATGTGGGTGCTCGCCCGCTCTACCGCCCGCCTGTTCGCCCGCCTGTGTGCGCCTTCGTCGGCCGTGGCTGCACGCTGGGCATTTGGCCAGCGTGCTCGTAGTTGCCACTGCGCAGCGATGAGCTAGCTTGCTCGTCCGCTCACCTATCCGCCCGCGCGTCTGCTCGCTCGCGTCCCGCTCGTCTGCTCGTCCACGGTAGTCCACCTATTCTGAATACTGACTCACCTACTCTTGTCTGCGCTCATGCGCGCAGCACCTGTTCCTCGGCCGTGTCTGCGTGCTGGGCATTCGCCCATCACGCTCGTGGTTGGGGTGCGCGTGGTGTTGGTCCATGCCAGTGCTCGCCCGCTTCTGCTACCGCTCGTCCAGTCGCCCGCTTGTCTGCCCGCCCATTCGCACGCCCGCCCCCGCCCCGCTGGCCTGCCCGTCCGTCCGCTCACCTGCTTGATTGCTGTGCGTTTGTCCAGCGCGTTCGTAATCGACGCGTACTGCCGTCCGCCCGCCTTCTCGCTTGTCCGCTTGTCCGTCCGCCCACCGCCCGCTCATCGGCCGTGCCTCCACTCATCGGCCGTGCGCTGCACGTTGCGGCGTCCTGTTACTGCGAATAGCGAGCTGGCTCTCGTGTGCGCACGCTCACCCTCACTTGTCCCTACTTGTCCTCGCCAGCCGCCCGCCCTCCCCCGCAGTCCGCTCGTCGTCCACGCCCGCTGTCCGTTCGTCGCTGCGCCCCAGACCCGCAGTGTCTTCATCAAATGCGTTGCGCGGGGCCTTTACCGTGCGTGTCCATCTTCCGCGTATGCGTTGTGTTGCTGCGTCTGTGGCCGTGTGCAAGTCACCCTGGTGGAGGGAGACGGGGGCATCCCTTTCATCGGCATCTTCAAGGTCTTCGCCACGGGTGTGCTTTGCACGCGGAAATCAAGCGGGAGCCCTTAGTGTAGGGTCCGGAGGTGGGATGTGCCCTGCTCGAATGTCAGAATCACGCTGTGAAATGTGCCGGTACTGTACCAAGTCGCTCGTGTTCGCCAGCAGTCGTTCTTCTATTCGCGCACCCACACAGGAAGTGCTCTTCTTGACTTGGATTGGTAAGTTGCAATGCGGGAGCTGCTGCAGATAGTGCTGAAGTCGACATGGGAGGCGAAGAAGACGAGGAGGATAGTACAAGACGGTAGACGACACGGAGACGCACGTCGCGCTCGCAAGAACTCCGTCAAAGTCTTAGATCACGTGCTACGGTGGATGTGCCGATGCAGTGTGGCTGGTAATGCAAACGTGTTTGCATTACTGTCCTACACCCGCAACTTGAAGCTACCTCGACTTTTAGCCTGATAGACTCAGTTTTATACATCTTGAGCACACCCTTGAATATTTCAAGGTCAACCGGAGGGCGGGGACATGCTGTTTGCATGCCTGAAAACGAGCGACTGGTTTCGCCCGCCAAAATTGGCGCGGCGAAATAGGCGCCGAAAACGCACCTTACGATTTTTCCAGGGCTGCAGAAAGCAGGTAGCTCCTCTTGCGTCTGTGAGAATAGTAAGGTGACATGTAGCAACATCATGCGATTTTTTCTGGGTGAAATGATCCTACGTGCAATAAGGAAAACGGTCGTTTGCATACTGTACCAAATTGCATTACCATTGGGTCAGCCACAGTATAGCTACTATCATTATGTGTTGTCCATTCCTCGCGCACTTTATCTCTGATATAGGTTTCTACATAGATATCATACCTACTAAAATCAGTATATGATGTGCTCATGAGGGAAGATTGAGGCATACACGGAGGATAATCGACTTTCGTTCGGGGGAGTAAGTACATGCTTATGTAACTTACTGCCATATACGGAATAGCCCGATGAGGCTGCGGTGCGCGGTAGGTTCGATCTACAAGTGCGTGTGAGTGCACGGGCAGCACAACCACAACGAAGTGTGATATTTGGAGACAAACGATAGCAAACGATAGCAAGGGAATGTGCATCGAACACTTCCAGCCGGAACACGCACAGAGCAGTCGTCCACCAGTGTGGGAATCGATCCCGCGTCTAAAGTGCGCGCGCGTCGACAGCAATCGACAGCATTAGTGAGGTAAGCGACACAATCTACACGGACCGCTCTCAAAATTCGGCGTTTTCACTGGGGTTCAAGTTTTGCTTTGTTTGACACAGTCCCATATGTCATCACATCTCGGATTGTTTTGCCAGCCTCCGTTAGATGTCTTGTTGAAGCGTACACTGTAGTCAGAAACGAAGCCCGGTATTACACTCTGAATGGGTCATAATTAGTGGCTTCACTCACACTTCGCAAACAGAGCGATGCAGCGACGCGGTGACAACGTATGCTCTCTATGACGTCCCTGGAGCTAGTTTCTTCAAATTTTCGATACCATCTTCTTCGAGCCTCATCCCCATCCACTCCGACATGGCTGCTGCGCCCAGCTTCTTCTCGTAGAAATCGATTGAGGGCTGGTTCCACTGGCAGACGCAAGATTGTCACTTTCTGTAATTCACTACGCGCATTGCGCCACTTACCTTGAGCACAGACCAGTCCATACGCGCACAATTCTGCACATAGGCATCAAGTTATGATCTCTCTTCAACGGCACAGCAAACTCGACGTTACCTTCTCCTGCGCGACTTTGGCCAATTCTGCGAAAAGTGCCTTTCCTACGCCCTTTCCACGATAACTTTCATCGACAAACAGGTCCTCGAGCTGCATCTCCAGTCAGCAATCAGTGTATGGCTCAGCACGAAGTACTCACGTAAAGACCCGGTCTGCCGGTCCACGTCGAATAGTTGAAGAAGTACATCGCCATTCCTATCGCCGTTTCTGGCGACTCCGGCGTTCCCGCAAACGCTAGAAGCGTGTGCGCATAGGGTGTATCGAACAGATTTTTTCGCAACTGTTGTGAATTCAGTCTCCCAAATTACCCGATGAGAGACCTTTCGCGGGGTACTCACGAGCTCCGGAGTGGCTTTGACAGAGTCAGACGCCTTCTCGTATGTTGCCTACGGAGCTCCTAAGTCATGAGTCCGTGCACCATAGCAGTAGACCCTTACGAGTGCGATGATCAGCTGCAAGATGCTGTCCTGTTCGAGCGTGAGGTCATACAATGATCATGGCGCAGCAGGCGGGAAATCACCTACCACATCCTCAATCGTGGCTTTCCGGATAAAGTACGACATTGGGAGACAATGTCAGGCAGGAGTTGCGTGTATGAGAGATTCAAAGAGAAGGTAAGTACGTAGAGGCTTTATATTTGCAGCGGCCCGCTTGCCGAGTCACTTGTGTGACCAATGGAAACGCTTCATCGAGAGGTGCACCGCATGGAGGCCCAGTCCGACCTTGTTGCGGACGGGTACCTAAATAAACCTTAGTAATTGACACCGCACACAAGCAGAGGGTATCACGAGTCTCGAGATGACCAGCGGACTGGCTGCGAACATTGACCACGAAAGCCGAACTTGCAAACATGCCTAATCGAGAACACCAGTCGCATCACGGACTTTGCCGAACATGCTTCAGGAGCGTGCGCACGACCGTGGCCACGCGCAACGACCAACTCTCGACATCCGCCATACTCACCTTTCCCTCTGCGCAGGTCCTGCTTTCATGAAAGCCATAGCTGTATGCGCACTGCTTGCAGGGCTGACGGGCGCCGTGGATGTCTACTTGCATCCAGCGAGTACGGTAGTCTCGAGTCGCAGTGCGTCGCAAGCAGGTGCCGCGCTCTCGCGCCATCTCGGGCTTGAGTACCACGAGGCCCTGGGAGATGACCTGGAGTTGACAGAAAGCTTGGGAAGGCAAGAGGCATTCGTTGGGAAGGGACCCGGGAGTGCTCTGCTGGTCGGTGTCAACGAAGAAGACGCAAAAGGTGAGTCGCCTAGCCCGCAGCAAGTCGACCGTGTGTTGACGGCCCTCCAGCTGCCATCCCAGCTTCGTATGAGGAATCATTTTCTCTGTCCTCGGACTTCTCTGCAACATCTCTCTCGACTCTCATTCCCACGTATCTTGACCGCGCTCGGCATACCTACTCCAACATATTCGCACCCGAAACGCTACCCGAGAAGACACCCCGCATAATCGACATCTTCTCTGTTCCCTCTTCCGCATCACAAACATTCCTGTCACAGATGACCACTCTCGTCGACTTTGTGGAGTCTGACGACATTCCTACCGACAAGTTCGCGGCCGTCCTGCTTACGGGCCTCTCCGAGCTTGCTACAGAGCATGGCCGCCAGAGTGAGCAGTACAAGCTCGCCGCCGAGACCATCCGAGGCTTCCTCTCCAGTGTAACGGAGAAACGCGACCTCAAGCTTGCTGTGGTCACCCTTCCTTCCACAGTATCGCAGGCGAAGAGACAGGTCAGCTCTGCGCTTCAGCCACCGCAGACACCTTTCCCTCCCCCAAAGCCTGGCCCCGCTGAGCCTATCGACGCGATTGCCACGTGCTATTCAACGGCTGAGACGTGCGGTAACTCGACCAGCTCATGCAGCGGGCACGGACAATGCGTGCAGGCAAGCAAGCAGGGGCGCACGTGCTACGTCTGCGCCTGTTCGGCAACCAAGGATACGAAGGGCCAAACAGAGGATTGGGCTGGGAGTGCATGCGAGCGCAAGGATGTCAGCGGGTGAGCTAATCGTGTCCGGCAAAGCAATTGCGTCGCTGACGGTACTCGTTAGACCGTTTGTATTGCTTTCTGGGACAGTGATTGCCCTAATCTTGCTCGTTGGCGGATCAGTCGCGTTGCTCACTGCCATTGGCGAGCAGGAGCTGCCGAGCACGTTGACAGGTGGTGTCGTACCGACAAGAAAGGATTAGTCGCAGTAACTCGCAATTTCATTTATTCAGTCGATTTGCCCGCTTTTCGCACAGCTCTGACCGGCGGCATCGGAACTGCATTCAAACGGCTTCAAGACATGTGTGGCTTTCGCAAAAGCTTGGTTGGTCGGGCTCCGCTGCTACAGTACGCCTTATTACGACTCCCACCAAGCAACGATGCTCGTTTGCCGTCGGAACGACCGGAAGGTGTCAGATAATTGGCGGTTTTGCGAGTATCTTGCTACGCCGAGGTCAAAAAGCGTCTGACAGTGAAATGGTCGACAAGAGATGCCTCCTGGCGCTTCATCATTACGGTGTGTCTGACTACTTTGGATTCGAGTCTGATATTACTTGTACAAGTCATGTACTTGACATGTACCTATGCGGCATAGGGAGACCGGAGCGGGACTCAGCGCTGCCTCGACTATGTAGTACGCAGCTGCGCAGCTAGAGGCCTGTGCGGGCGCTGATGCCGACATCCCATACCCAACGTAAGTACTCGCCGTGTTTTATGCGCGGCCAGTCTCGGGTACGTGGTTCACAATTGCTGATGGGCCCTTCCGCTGAGCATCCCAGAACGGTAGCAGATGCTAGCCTATGTCGTAGAATCTGGGTCATTCAACGCGCAGCTCATACTGCGTGGTGTGGTCCCACCCGCTTTTCGCTGTACTGCCGTGCTGTTGATCGTATTCGACCACTGTACATAAGTACAGACCATAGCAGTCGGAACACAGGACAAATGTTGCTCACAGCCACGCAGGCGCTTAACATTTGTTCGCTGCCTTGGTCACGCTCAGGGATCCCCGGTACAGCCATTCGCGTCTCTGTACGACAGATGCGTACTAACCGACGTCTCATGTTGTCAGCCACGCTCCCGAACTACATTGCGCGGTCCCGCCTGGGTCTCGCGTAACCCACTACTCACTGCCGTCTCGCAATGTGTTCATCCGAAGTCTGATGGCAACCGATTGAATTGCTCGGGTAGTCTTCACGTATATAAGTGAGCTCTGCAGGAGGACCACGCCCGCCCGTCCTTTTCCATAGCCACGCTTTCTCCTAGCCTTGGGTCATGACAGGAGCATTGCGGACGAGCGCTTTCCTACTTTTGGCATTGTTGGCGGTGGGCACGGGTGCTCTGTCCACGAAACATAGACCTCTCGGAAGGAACTTCGTCAAGAGAAGCGAAATACAACTGGACGCAGCAATTGTGGATCGCAATGGGACCGAATTGCCGCCTCTCAACACGACATACTACTTTGATCAGTTGATCGACCACACCAATCCCAGCCTTGGGACGTTCAAACAGCGATATTGGCACACATGGGAGTTCTATGAAACTGGTAAGCACTTTTCGAGACTCAGTGAATCATCGCTGAAGAAGGAGGCATAGGCGGGCCAATTATTCTGACCACACCCGGAGAAGGGAACGCAGAGGGTGTGTGTCCTTGTTCGTACCAATCGAAGGGTCTGTGTTGAACGCATTCCGTCATAGGCTACGAAAGCTCTCTGGTGAATTCCACGATCAATGGGATGATCGCCCAGGAATTGAATGGATCAACAATCGTTCTGGAGCACCGATTCTATGGCTATTCGAACCCATATGATAACCTTTCCGTCGAGAGCCTGCAGTATCACACGATCCAGCAAGCGATTGACGACTTCGAGTACTTCGCATACAATGTGAAACTGCCGATGCCTGGTGGCGACCATGTTACACCGGACGAGGCACCGTGGATTCTCATTGGGGGGAGTTATGCCGGCGCGTTAACCAGCTTCACCAAAGTCAAGTGGGTGACCTTGCACTCTTCCTTTGGATATCTGATGCCAATCGCTCTCATCCCTGTAGTAAACCTGACCTGTTCTACGCTGCATGGTCCTCATCGGGGTCGTGGAGAGTATTGTGTACGTTATCTGGCTGCATTCTCCTCTCGGTCCTGTTGATGAGGATCTTAGTAACTACTGGGGCTACTTCGATATCATTCGACAGCATATGCCACAAAACTGCTCCGCTGACGTACAGGCGGTAATCGGGCATATCGATTCTGTATTCACATCTGGGAACGACACTGCCATCAACGAGATCAAGGGTCTTTTCGACATGAATCTTACACACCTCGATGACTTTGCGAGTGCATGTGCGTGTTGTTCCCCTCTCGGTTTCAAGAATGCGTTAGCGAACTAGAGGAACGTCTGACGACACAGTGCAAAACCCACTCTCCGAGTGGCAAGGTCTCCAACCCTCGTCTAACCTGTCGGACTCTCTATTCTTCCCCTTTTGTGACGCGTTGGAAGTCAAGGACAATCAGACTGCACCGTCGAGGGATGGGGTCTTGAGAATGCATTGGCGCATGGGTGGGATTTGGAAAGAGACATACTATCCTTACTGTAAGTTCACTTGTTCATCCTTCGCGAAACATCGTTAAGTGGAGGTGTTCTCGCAGATTGCAGTGATCAAGACGCTGAGTCAGTTCAGGTTCAGGTGCTCATATCATAAACGCATTAGCTGACATTCCCGTTGCAGAACGTGTTTGGGGACATACAATGCAAGCGACCCGTATACACTGGTCTTACTGTCAACAACGCGGATCGATCATGGTACTGGATCGTGTACGTTGTTGCCCAGCCATGATTACTACCGTTGACAAGGCAGTGCACTGACAACCTTGACAGTTGCAACCAAATGGGCTTCTATCAAACGCAGCGCCTGATGGCGAGCCGACTCTTGTTTCTCGTTTGATCCAGCCAAGTTACGGGAGGTTAGTCACGTATACTTAGTGACCACACGAGGGATCTAACCAGGCATGCTCTCAGCGCCAATGCATGCTATGTTCCCGGAGGCGTTCAGCTCTCCACCAACGCCAAGGTGAACGAGACGAATGCGGCGTATCAAGGATGGTTCGTCAAGGCTGATCGCCTGTTCTTCGCGAATGGAGAGAGTGAGTAGAAGTCTGACTATACGGCGAGCCTGTCGCTTATACAAGCCTGTTCAGAGGACCCATGGCGCGACGCGACTATCTCCGCTGACGGGACGAACTTCCAGAGCACTAGCACGCGGCCTATCGCCATCGGTGATGGCTACCATTGCTCGGATTTGGACGCCGCGAATGGAGAAGTCGATTCGACAATCGCCGCTGTTCAAGCTCAGGGCTTAGCTGCGATGAAGAGCTGGCTGGAGACATGGGAGCCCCCAACCCGTCGATAAGTCCTACGAGACGTACTCCCTTGTAGCACCGGTGATCACTATTTTGGACTTGATATTTGCGATGGTGAAAGGGCGTTCGTTCGTTCATCGAGACGTCTTCTTACGGTCTCTCTTTGAGTATTACGGTAGAACATTATATAATAGATCATTATATGCAACTTATACGGTACAGTAGCTAGGACCGTGACGTGACGTGTATCGATCAATTGTTACGCGTCACGCATCACGAATCGAGGGCCAGTATCCGCATTTGAAGTCCATGTTCACCAAATGTTCACCGCAGTCTCTCGGATCCTGCTATTTATCACTTGGTGCTCTGTGCTACTCTGGACTGCTTGAGTGAAGCTTGAGGGGCTATGTCTTGGGAGCATGTCGCGAACTAGCGCTAAGCGTGAGACGCATATGTTCGAACAGACACAACTTCACGAAGCCGCAGGTGTACTACGCCGAACAGAACCCACTAACATTGGAGGCCAATTCTGACACATGAGGAGTTCATAGAAAATTTCGCTAGTTCGGGATCTCTCGGTACGCAATATCGCTGTTACCATGATGATTATGTCGTCGTCGGCGTGGCCGTGTCGCTTCTTTGAAGTAACATCCGAAGTACTCATACGGAGGTCTGCCACTGGTCTGCTCTTCATCGACTTCTGACTCACCGGAGGCGTTTTTAGTGACCCGATAGTGCCCTACCCTTTCGCTAATGGAGGTATGCGGGCTCCCTTCGCGCGCCCGTGTGATATACCCGCACATCCTCAATCAGAGACCCTTACACATCCAGCATCTTGCCTGGCCTTCAATATCGCTGTGAGTCTGTCTCGTATTGTCTGCACGATGGCGCTGCTGTTCTACTACATGAAGTCCACCAATGACCATGGGGTTAATACAACGAGAGCGACGTACGATGGTCCATTTCTTATCAATGAAGGCCAACCGCCTTGATATGAATGGAGATAGTGAGTTCAATTCACATACAATATGCACCGGACTCATCACCTTTGGAGTCTCCTGTAGTTGCAAATTACTGGCGGCAGCCTGCAGGAAGCAAGGGTTCCCACTGACAGGGAGCGGCTTACCTGACTGTCGCGAACATCATGTCAACACGAACCCGCCTCTGGTGCAAGATTGGTCTGACTACATCAGCATAAGCCTGTCGGGAATGCCAGTCCAGGAGTGGTGCTTCAAAATCGAGTCCATGATCCCGAAATGCCCGTCTACTTGCATCCCGATGAACGCCGCCATTTGGTGATGAGCGGCGGGTTCTCCTTACTTACCATTACAGGTGCTCTTCATGCGCCGGGAGTGCAGACTATCGAAGTGGATGTTGAACGGGACGCTCCAGTCAACGTCTGATTGGCACGGACAGAACTCTGCGGTATCCGAATCTCTGCGAGTGTTACGCGCCTGTCCGCCGCTGCATTGGACTAATCCGCTACTTATCAGACGCGCTCATCGTCAATCCATGGACGTAACTGTGCTAATGAAGGTAAGCCGAAGCGCGATGACCAATGCAAACCGTTGAAGCTCAGGCTGTCTATTCTCCAGACATAGCGCAAGGGCATGCAGCACTACTGCAAAAGCCGACACCAACGACTCAACAGAAGACAACGGCTACTAAGTACTTGAGCAGGCTACTCACGAAGGATGTCAACGTAAGCCTAAGCATTGCGGGTCCTGTGTTCCGCTTCTCTCGGACTTACGATAGTCACTTAGCCGAGTGCTTGAAGTCGCTTTTTCAATTGGGTGATCTCCGAGGAAGCTACTGCACAGCACAGGCAACAAACATTCGTGAAGAGCACAACATGCGGGTGATGCCTACGATAGTGTCTGAGCACTAGGCAAGCTGTGCCGGACATATGCTGTCAGTGTATATGTACACTGCGCTGGACATGCAGAGTGGACACTCTAGCCTCTCGTGTCCATAATCGTGTCCATGAACTGTGACGCGTGACGTCTGGTGACTCTGGTCGGTCTCCTTTCATTGGCTCGCTTGTTCCACGTGATTTCATGTTGTCTTGCATAGGTCTTCTGCACCCACGCCTCAGCGGCCTCACCGACGTGCGGAGACGAATCCTGGTCCCGCGCATCTTCACATAGCGACACTGGGGCCAGATGACGCCCTGCAAAATCGATAGTGAGTATATCCCGCGGCCCTGAAACCCTGTGCTCACATCGCTTGACAATCAGCTGGACGGAAACGATAGCTGCTCGAATTTCAAGGCGACTCCTGGGCCTTCTGGCGCGCGATGCACTCTATTTCCACGGATCGGGTTCTCGTCTAGCCATATGGGAAACCGGATGACAGGTCTTAAGGAAAAGTCCAAGTCGTGCGCTTTCGGCCTGCGTATCGCTCGCCCAGTGTCATAAAGCGCGTCTTGCCCACGAGAACCAGGGTTTGCCCGTCCTCTTGTGTAGCCTTCAACATGGCTTCTCACCCTGCTATAAGCTCTGCCCTTGGCTCGGACTCACCACCAGACCAACTCCTCAACGAAAAGGAGACTGAGTTGAAGCTAGAGACAACATCGTACGAGCGTCCCGCGTCCGATATCAGCACATTCGAACTGTTCTCGTACCATGAACGCAATGCCGGACGCCTCGTGATCGATCCAGAGTATGCCTCCTGTCTCCTCTCGATTGGGTATCTGTTGCTGACGTTTGGCACCGTTTCAATCAGGGAAGCGAGACTAGAGTTTGGCGACGAAGTTGCGAAGAAGCTGAAGTTGTCAGAAGACGGAACCTTAGTCCTTTGGCCACAGCCAACAGATGATCCTGAAGACCCCCAAATGTGCGTCGGGATTCACAATCCATAACGTTCACACTGACGGAGGTCACAGTGGAGTACTGCACGCAAGAACTTCCAGCTACTGGTCATCACGTTAGCGGCTATCGTGCCGGATTTCGACTCCGGGATAGGTGTGTGGTATTTGTTCAAGGAGGCATTTCCATTCTGACGCGCCGCGACTATTGCAGGCGTGGCGGCTATCTATGGACTTGCCCGTCAATACGACACCACGACAGGACAAATCAATAACTTGACGTCCAAGTGAGGCTTCCCTCGTGCCCATCGTAGTCGCTCAGTTCTGATATCGCATCCTGCCGTAAAGCTGGAGCATCTTTCTACTCGGTATGTTTCGGTCGCTATCTGGAGAGCAGTTGCCTTATGACATCTCACTTAGCCTGGGGGACCATCTTTGCTGTCATGCTGATCCGTCGCTTTGGTCGACTGCCGGTACTTTTCTGGTCCCAGGTCTGTTCAGATGAAATAGCAATGGGAGTAGCCGAATTCATCGATATCCCATTAGGTACTAGCGCTTGGGTTTCTGGTAGGATGCACATTCGCTCCAAACTTAGCAACCTTCACCGGTAAGCAGATCAATAGTTCGGTTCATATGGATGCTCACAAATGTGCACATACAGCGATGCGCTGCTTGACGGCGTTCTTCGGGTACGTACTACGACTTTACTTGCTACACAGGTCAACCAATTCACTCGCACTTATCCTCAGAACGTGTCCGCAAGCATCTGTAAGTCAGCGCTTGTGATTGTCTGCAGATGCTTCACCGGGATCTGTCGTATCATCACAGGGTTTGTACGCTGTGACCGACATGTACCCCTTCCATCTGCAAGCACGTAAGGTAGATCCAGTCCCTTGTTCGATGTCCACAGCTGAGTCATGTCGCATACAGCTGAACATCTGGACCATGGGGTTCTTAGTATCACCGTTTCTATCGCCATTCCTGTTCGGCTTCTTATGTGCGCGTACGAGGTGAGTACCGTCGCGCAGTCCCATTGTGTTTGCTCATAACCTGTGACAGCTGGCGCTGGGCATACGGGATAGGTTCAATGTACAGTGCTATCGTTGTGTTCCTCATCGCGGTGTTCGGCGAAGAGACGTATGTATCCCGATCATGTGCTACCAAACCAGAGATGCTGATTTGTCCTATACTTAATGTTTCTGCGCATAGCATGTACGACCGCACGTTACGCAACCCATGCCCAATCCCGCGCCCGAAGTCGCGCCTACAGTGGAGAATAGAGACTCTCATCGGAGTCACAGGCGCTAAGATGGCGCGTTTCCGTGCGAGCTGGCGAGAAGCGGTGCTTGCGTGTGCAGATCTCATTTGGAGGCCGCACTTGCTTGGTGTTCTACTGATGGAGGTACGTGTTCTTTGCACAGGCATATCCAGTGTCAGGTACAGATCGATGTCTAGGGAATGTTATTCGGGTTCGCGAGTGTAGGACTGAATGTGCGTGATGTTCTTCTTTACGTCAATGCACTGGTGTCTTGATGCTGGTTCTTCTCATCGCTGTCAGACGACTATGGTAGTCTTTCTAGGTCTTCCCCCTCCTAATGGTTACGGGTTCAGCGAGATTGGGATTGCGGGCACGTATGGGACACCAATAGTGAGTTATGATTACTTCATGCGCAACGAAGGCCGTACCGCCGATCATGCAAATTTGCACTCATTTTTGTTTCTAGGTCGGTGTTCTAATCGGCGAGCTGCTAGGTCGATATTTCAACGACTGGGTAATGAATTTCTGCACTAGGCGCAACAAGGGCGTCTTCGAGGCTGAGATGCGACTCTGGTGCGTAACTAGTGCTGCTGTCTCTCTAGCCAGCAGTCAATGAATTTATCTCAGGACCATTTACGTCGCTATTCCCCTGTATATCTGTGGCTTCGTGACCATAGGCGCAGCCTTACAAGAGACGCTGAGCGTCGGGGCGTTGGTCATGGGATGGGGTATTGCCATGGTATCGAACATGATCTGCACCGTGGCAGTCTGTACGTCTTCCCTTGACTAGCTTCTTGCCTTCTACTGATCTATGACATCAAGATGCCTACTGCAATGACTGCTTCCCCACGCGACAGGTGAGAACGCCCGTCCCCGGTCATTCATTTCACTAACCGGACTCGCATGGCTATGACAGGGTGAGATATCGGCCCTGATCAACTTCGCGCGTACAATCGGGGGTTTCTCGGTCGCCTACTTCCAAGTCCCATGGGCGGAGAAGAACGGGGCGTTGCAAACCTTCGGCGTGGAAGCCGCGGTCGTGACTGGCCTCTTTATCTTGATTGTGCCTGCATTGCAGCTGAAAGGGTCCTACCTGAGGGTATGTCACACAACTTACCTTGGTTCACTTTTGTTCACTCACATCTTTGCCATCGGTACAGAGGAGGTTCTCGGTCATGTGAAGATTTTCTGGAAGTGTGTACTTGGACATCTCGGTCGTAACTACGTCCAATCTCCGTACCTCGTACATATATGATCCTCAGGCCAATCTCATGAACTGGGAAATGGGCGTCACGATAGATGCTGTAAGGCTACCAATGATTGAGTAGATCATCACATAAGGATATGATATGAACACTATGGGCTATGTAAGCCAGTGGGTCCGTCTTCCGAGATGACAATCGATGTGATCGAGACAAGTACCGTGACGACAGTAAAGAAGTGTGTATACGTAGGACGTGCTAGGTGTAAGGCTCGAGAGGTGGTGAAAGGGGAAGTGCTGGTGGGGCCAGGCTTCAGTCATCCTCTGAAGTAATCGCTGAACGCGTCCGGGTTGAGTTCGGGGCCCTCACGGGCTATGTAAGTACCCTCCGAACAAGTCAGACACAGGTGCGAGTTCTTCGCGGGCGAAGTATGCCACGAACGTGTCGGGTGTGGGTGTGGGCTCCTCGTGGACGGGGTGGTCTCCCCGCGTGATGGCGATGGTCCACGGACCACAGTCGCGTGTAGGCGCGTGGTCCTCACGGGTATTGTGGGCACTGGCATGGATTGTCTGCGGACTCAACCACGGCGTGCAGAACGTCACAGCATTCGTGGGAGAGCAGGGACTCGTATAGGTTGGCAGACCGAGCACAACGGTGTGCAGGTAGATTGACGTGAGTATCAGCAGTTGATACATGTCTTCGGGTGCGAAGTCCGATGAAGAACTGGACGGTGAGGGGAGGTCCAAGCCTCGTCTGTGGTTTATAAAGGAAGTTGTTTTGAGAATCCCGTGAGCCGCTGAACTATGAAGTCTGATAGCTGTCCGGGAAGTGAGTAGAGATTAGTTGAGGTGTATGATCCAAGACTCGGAGGCTGTCAACAGCTCAATGCTTTCGCAGCGGGACCTTTGGCGTGAACCACCGCCCCTAGCGCGCCGGCCACTTGTTATGGAGAGCTGTTTTTATAACGTGATTGCATTGAACTTACTGAATATAGTGACATGAATGAGTGGGTCGATGATTCCATTCTAATATCCGTGAGCCGGATGCCACATGGTCAGTGCCAGTGGAAGCACAGAAGACGGCGTGCTGGAGTCAACAGCATTGCGGTAGTAGCTGCGAGTGGCACGTAGAATTGTAGAGCTGATCTAGTATGGCCGGCGTGTCACTGGTATCAGCGACTTTCCAGCCTGAGTAGAAGCAATTAGCCTGAGCATATTGTTCTGAAGTGGTAAGACGGAGTTTGTGGTATATGATGACCTCACCTTCCTCTCGAGAAGAAACGCCAGCATGGACCGTGCACATAAACTGTGTAAATCCATTATCTGAGCCGCTATGTGCCCGAGTCAGCTGGCGGAAAGGAAAGGAGTTGGAAACGCTTATAATAGTCCCTAGACAGCCAGCGCCGCAGCCGAGTGGTTCAAGCTTCCACGCAGTCGCACAATGTGTTGGTAAGGGTGCGGCCGCGACTTCACTGAGACATTCAGCGACGTTGAGCACCGCATGGTGGGCCGCTGCGAGGATGGTCCAGTCGTACAGCCGGGATCGTGAAATTTCACAGTGGGTCCTGGCCCCCGGGGTCGTCGCCGTGCCACGCCGCGGCCACTGGTATGCAGTACCGGTGACCAATAGTTGCCAGTACGCCCGTTGTGAACTAAGACAGACATTAGTACATACAGATGATCGTCGTTGAACGTTAAAAGTTGAGCAAAGACAGAGCACGCATAAGTGAGAGCAATGTACTAGGAGTGTAGTTTTTATCATGAATTTTACGCCGCAATATTGTCACCGATGCGATCTCTGTGTGCCGGCCCGGGCCGCCGTGGCCAAAATGAGGCGAAATTATAATACAGCTTTCAAAGCTTCATCCTCCCGTGTATACCAGTACTCCCACTAGTAGGGAGCGGCCTATATGCAGTCCGTACGTCCATGAAACGAAGATAAGACATGGGAGCATAAGCTGACTTGTTTAACCTTCGTCCCGAGTCCCTCCCGCTCGACGACTCCGTTGAGCTTCAAGTTCTCAACTTCCGCTGACTGTCCGGAATAACGAGAGTCAGTCCTCATGTCCGCTGCACACCACCATAAACACAGCGCACGATATCCGTCAAACAGTTTCACTCTGGTCGGAGGCGTGGCCTCTCTGCCTACGGCAATTTCTCTACGTTCCTGACGACACCATTCTTAGTCACTTTCGACTTGGTCTGGTCCTCGGTGAATGACTTACCATGGCTATGGCATGATCACCGTGGGGGAGCGAACTGGCGCCAGCGATGAAGAGAAGGACGAACGTGAAGGAGAAGATCATCATGGTCGGTTACTGCTGTCGGCTGCTTCCAACCGGGTTTATATGTTGCTCATGTTGACGGCCCATCATAGCCATCCAGAAACAGCAGTCATCGTTGACAAGCTACGCAGAGTGATACTCAGACAACGTGACATGGTTGTTATCATGACAGTAGAATGTCCCACCTGTGCAATAACTCAAGTATGTAAAATTCTCGGGCCGACTCGCGGCAGCCTCGTCTAGATTGACTCCAGACTGAATAGGTTAGTACATGTTCGGTGGGCTCGATAGTAGAAGCGTCTTTCTCTCGATAGGCACGAGAACTAGCACCTGTCGTACCAACTTACAGGCAAACAGTCTTCGGGTGTATGAGCTAGACACGTTTGTCACGACGTCGAGCGGCGCCACATCACCGTAATAAACATGCACCGCTAAGTACAGTATCATCGCAACGTCGTCATGGCTGTATCTGTCATTCTGACACACCTCGCTGATGTTATGCAGGGCACAGGATATGCCTGGCAGCTTGAAGCGCATCAAGAACAGCAATGATGATGAGCCACTAATCTTGTTCCACTAAAACCCAGCGCTGCGGTCAAGGCAGTTCATGGCGAACCTCTGCGGAGGGTCCATGCTCGACTGGTCGCGATCTAGACGCTTCGTCATCTACGAGCAGAGCAATTCTTCTTGCTAACTAGCCCTCGAAGTGCACTGAGAACTTTCACGGCACTCACCATGTATCACCAGATATCACCCGAACGATTGATGCGAGTGTGCGAGCAGTCTAGCATGTGCATCGTAGTGGCCTGATCATATGGCCATGCACTCTGCATGCTACTCATGTCATGTATCGCATGCAGCTGCACCTGTAATCAGTGTTGTGCATGGCCTCGATACCAACCCTGGGAGGCCGTGCCCTCCATCGGTCCAGGTACGTCTTCCCCTGTGGGCTGTCTACGTTCCCGCATCAAGAGGACTTGTCTGATCGGCGGGCCGTTATGATCTGTTCCGCTCCGACGAATGCTTGCTATGTGCCTTGCAACGACCAACGATCACGTAGAGGCTGATACAGATTTATCTTGGGCTATACAGACCCTATATGAATGGCATGGCGTACTTTTCCGTATTGAACTTCAATGATCCGCGGGTAGTGTATCACCGAAGTAAGGGGTGTAGAGTATGGTGTACATTTTGTCACGCACGTTGTGTAGTGCGAGGCGCTGCGTTCACTTCGTAGAAATCATTTTCATACATCCTCGCAGCCCGTTGGATCTGGATCTGAATCCAACTCTGTTGCTCTTGCACCGTAGAAGTCGACCCTCGTCGTGAACAGGCCCCTGGAGGAGTCTGGATACCCTGTGTCGGTGTACGTGGTGAGCTCCGTATCGCTTTCCCGCGACAACCCGGTCTTGCGTATATCGAGTATGAACCGGGATATGAGGATCGTCATAGCACTGCAGGATCGTCAGACGCATTACACGGAGTAAGAATGTCAGGACTGACGGGACTATGAATGCTGCGCCGACATCAATCGACTAGCGACGTGATTCTCAGTTACGGACTGATATCAGCCTGCACTTAACACTCACCGCGACGTAATCCATGAACAGCTGGAGGCAATTGAGGCATAGCAGCACTCTGTGCACATAGTCAACACGAAGTAACAAGTCGCCAAGGGAAAGCGCACATGAAGTAGATCGCCCCTGTATGAATCGTTTGAGAGTGCCGTCGGATACATGACATCGTACGGTGACTGACCGTCTCTGAGAAGCACCCCCATCAGAGTTTGCTTCGACCCCTGGCACGGAGACCCAGACGCAGAGTCGTAGGATCTCCATATGGTGACCGATAACACCACCAAATCGGATGCGATGGCGAATATTCGTGTGACAAGCACACCTAAGACTGTGAGCGACTAGTATAGGGGAACAAAGTAGAATGTCACCTCTTATAGGTTGTGTTACGTGTGAGCCATTTCCGAGTTGTCATTGATTCACTTACTTGCGCTCAACAGAAACCGAAAGCTTGTTCACCGGGGTGCATACCGTCAGCCCCGGTATTATTTCCACCGCTAAGTATATGAGGCGACTACAAGCGAACTGTGCCCAAGGTAAATCACTTCGCATATGATCGTCATGGAGTCCACTCACGAGGTTGTATGCCACAGGAACCAAAGCGAAGGCCAAGGTTATGGCGGCGGCGAACCACCTACGAGGATTGACAACATAAACGCGTAGCGCCGACATAGCTAGGTTTCGACCAAGTCAGGACGGTATACCAACGTAGAAGTCAACCTACATACCCGCCCACTCTAGGTACGTCATAAGTTCCAGAGCGACGTACGACAGGGAAACGTCCCGGCAACTACAGCAACCGAGCAGATTCTGTCAATTCATGCACACCGGCGAGTCAACAATGCTATATATCACCTCTGATCGCGATTATTCAGTAGGGACGTCCGGCGATAAAGAGTGACAGGTACTCACTGCGTTCGTTGTCCATTGGTACATATCTAGCATGTTCGCCACAATAAGACCAATCATGATCAGACGATTTAAGCAGCATATGCCCGTTGACGTCGCCCTCCTTCCCCAAACAAACTGAGCCTCATCTTGCAACGTGATTGCGTACTCGTAGGTGAGAACAGCTCATGCCAGAATCAGGACGGAATACAAAACCCCAAGGCCTCAGCTGTTACTCACCGATGATTGCTGCTTGGGCGCAGTCGTACTGAAAACTAAGAGAGAGCTGTCAGCATGATTATACCCAAGATATCATGAACGAACGCTCACTTTTGCTGATACAAAGTGACAAGGTCTGCCGTAGCATACTGGGACATAGTGAGGGAGAGAAGACGTTGGTAAGAACCCCAGCATCCCGACGCATCTATGACACCTCGCTCGAGTGTGCGTGCAGAGACTGATCACGGCGACCGCGCCCCGGCTGCGGTGGGAGGAAGAAACCTCCGAAGGTCCATCGCATGACAAGACGACGCTCGGACGGTACCATCCCTACGACACACTTCGCGAGCTGTCAATTGCTGTCAATCTGTCAAATGGATGGCTTGATGAACAATCTCACCGTACGGGACCGGTCGATCCTCTGCTCTGCCCCGTGTGGCTGACTCATGGCGCAATCAAGGCTCGATGCTTCTCGCGTTGCGAAGCGCGGCGGACTGAGCGGGTGCGGGAGTAGGCAACAGGAGAGAGTCTACGCACACGACCTTGAGTTCGCTGTCAATGAACAGATAGATTCGTGTGAAGTATCACAAGATGTCCACTGCCGACAGCGCGCGGTCCGTTGGCCACAATCTGAGGTGGTTAAGGTGGCAGACAAACGCTCTCCGTGTTACTGCCCGGAGAGAACTAGTCTCCCGTAGGCAGACTCGAAACGCGACCTCTTTGTGTGGGGGAGGACAGTCTCATAGGAGAGAACCTTCAAACTGCCATCGTTCGGACTGGTTGACTCGGATTGATGTAGACAAGGTTGCGTCTTAAATGAAACGAATTCACTGCACCAGCCCGTTGCTGTACTAAGTAGACTCTCGCAAACGTGCCTGACGGCGTGCGGACGATAATGGCGGCTGCTGCGCCACTCGTGTCCACAGGGGGTAGCAGAGTGGCAGTGAAACGGTGTCCGTATGTATGTCCATGCTCCGCTAGCGAGATGGCTGGAGCATGTCGAACAGAATTTCTACGGTTTGATGGTAAACGACACCTTGGCGTCACAGGGAAGTTAAGGACTTACATGAGTATTTATAGCAGTACTTAGTCACGACCCGGGCGAACAAGTGAAACAGCGCGATGACACCTGGTCAGAAAAACGCCAGGTAGTGACATTCGCTGTCGCTGCGGAACCCTGGCAGGCAATACATCAGCCTTGGGAGAGAGACCTGAAATGGCTCGTAGAACATGAAACTTGGTTCAAGATCGCGACCTAGTGACCATTGCGGAAGGCGGGGCGTGTCACATCACCGCATTTTCACTCAGATGTCAAGCGGCGCGTTCCACCAACGAACCAAGGCATTCTGGGACTCCGCCTGTGGATGGTCGGATGCGTGTCATTACAGCATGACAAGAGGTACAGATGATGATACGAATGCAAGAGAAGACACTAGTCGAAGAGACCGAAGCCCTAAGTGACGCGTCAGTAGACAGTCCTTGGACGATGACAGCATCACACACCATGTCGTCGTCCGATTCCTCCTTCTCCTCCTCTTTCTTCTCCTCCTCCTTCGGTGCCTCCGCTGCGGCACCAGCACCACCCGCAGCCGCTGCTGATGCACCAGTAGCTGGTGCAGCACCACCAGCACCGACGTTGGAAAGGAGGTCTTTTACGTTCTTGCCCTCGAGCGCCTTTGCGAGGAGGGTGGCCCAGATTGGCTCGACCTCAACATTTGCCGCGGTTGTCAGTGCGACGATTTTGTCAGACTGCCCTTGGAATTAGCCCCTCTGAAGCATCGTGAATTCTGGATGTACTGACGGTGATCTCAACGCCATCGTCGGCGAGGATGAGAGCGGCGTATGTTGCAGCAAGTTCGACGGTGGCCTAGAGTACAAAATATGGATGAGCATGCAGTCTTGACCAGAGCGCTTGAGGCTTCCGGTGCATCTGCAGACCAGTGACACCATCCAGCCCACAAACAGGTGGAATTGGCTGCATAACACATCCACCCCGTAGTCCAGCAGCACAGAAATACTCACCATTGATGCGGTGGGCGACGACGAGAGTCTCGAGGCGGGGAGGGCGTGGATGTGTTGCGTGGATGCCAGACTCGAGAGGGCGACTCTGGTGAAGCCGGCAACTGCCGACTACAAGCGCTCAAGGGGGCGCTTCTTCGATCGCTCGACCTTCGCGCATCCGACCACGCCAGGTCTTGTCGAATTGCCCAAGATGCGAATGGTACGTGTTCTTGCGTATAGCGATAGATGGAAGTATAACATATGGACGCTCAGCTAGCACAGGAAGAAGAGAACGACGATAATGCCGAGGTTACCTGGGGTCTGCACGCTTGTCTCCAATTCCGAAGATGTTGAGCTGATCTGACCGAACAGAGGACCAGCAGCACATCAACTCTTTCTCGAAGCTGAACACACGTCTACGTGCAATTGAGGGCAAGATGGAAGAGCTGAAGGTCACTACGCGTCATGTCCTTGAGGTATGTGCGTGCGTATTGACATGTTTCTTGCAGCAAGAGAAGGAGGCCCTCGACGACCTGGCGATGGAACTCGAGCTTGCAGATGAGGATCAGCCAGTCCTGTACGTCCCACGCCCTGATCACCGTCATTCCCATCTCATCGCAGCTTCTTGGTGTAGGTACAAAGTAGGCGAAGCGTTCATACACCTCCCACACCGACGCGCCATGAAACAGCTCGAACGAGATCAAGGGCAAGTCAACAAGGAGCTCTCATCACTCACGGAGAGTGCAGAGCAGTGCGAAAAGACCATGAAGGGACTTAAGGTCATCTTGTACGCCAAGTTCGGTCGCGCAATCAATCTGGACGAGTGAACTACTATGCGTCCCCGTCGTGAATCCGCTCGAGGTATACCACAATTGTATCAATACACACAAGAAACACCATCGCTCCGCTCCGGTGGCAAATCGAGTTCATGAGAGTCGGAGAGCAGACTCATTCGCGGTCATTCCGTGTAGAAGTTAGTACTACTCGCCCGCCCTTTGATGTTCGGCAACGGAGGTTAACCATCTCCAACTCGCAGGGTGTATCACTCTCGTACTTGTATACTTATCAGTAGCATTCACTCGTGGTCAAGTTGATCGCGCTTGTCGTCGAGTGAATCATTGCGCACAAGTATATGCGGGGACGTGATATCTCGCACAGTCATATGCATGTTCGCGCTCAAGTCTGAGGTGACTGGAAACCTAAATCATCGTCGAGTTACGAGTCCAGCCGATGTTCGAAACTCGGTCGATCATAGCCACATCAAGGCCCTCAGAGCGTAATCGCTGTTGAGGGTTGCGTACGAGGGCAAGCTTCTAATGACAGAGGACTCAAACAGGTAGGAACGACTTCACCAAATACCATCTTATAGGTAGTAAATCATCTATGTAGCAAGCACGCCCCTCCCATATCTATCACAGCCCGTTTGTCAGGTCAGCACTCATTCTACACCATCGGTGTTGATCAACTCCAGCAGACTCTTGTCTGGCTGCTTTGCGTCCGCGTTGACAAACACGAGTAGCCGTTCAAACACTTCGGTGCGCTGTTTGAATCGTGCTGGCGAAGGTCGCGAGCCGTCCGTAGCTTCCTGCGAGTCTTCGTCATACATGACAGCGACTTGCTTCGCACTTTGCGATTCCTCCGTCCTCGTCGAGTCTGTCATCTCTTCGTCCTGACGGGGAAGAGGCGTGCTTGTGGACGAGCTCGCAGGCGTAGCGCTAGCTTCGGCCGTCCTAGCCGTGGGTGGTGTTCCCCCAGGCGGCAAGGAGAGGAGGTGCGAGAGAAGACTTCGGAATGCCTCGGCTTCCTCTGTGCTGCCGTGGTTCACCACTGACGACACTTCAGCCTGTAAGAAGGCGAGCGCCTTGACTGCTGGTGCGTCCTCGCAGAGCTCACGGAATCTGCAGAGATTATGAGAGTGCACGATGGCAAAAACGAGCGGACTTACTGCTGCTGGCGGATCTCGTAGATCGCTCTACGCGTGACATCCTCCACCGGGGGTCTACGACTGAACATCAAGCTCCACCACTAACCGAAGCGCGCTCATCGCTCACCGCTCGAGTGTCATCTTCCAGAAGTCGTCCAGCCGGTTCTCCTTCGATACATCCAGCGCGTCCAAAATCGCCCGTCCACGTCCTGTCTCCGCGTCTGTATGCAACCCACCGCTTCCGTCATCTCTGATGATACCAGAGTTGCCCCCATGCATGTACACGACCTTGCTGCTCGCGTCGTAGACAACCTGATGGGCGTAACGCGGCTGCGGGCCTGCCGCTTCCGAGTCTGTCTCAGGGGCAGGAGACGAGTCAGTGGGCTTAATGGTAGCCCATCTCCCTGGACGATCTGGGCGTTCGTAGCGATAGATCCAGTACGGCGACTCGTTATCGAGGACCGTCAACGAGCCGTGCGGACTCCGAGTCAGTCCGCAAAACCTAGCAGAGGGCAGTTCATCAGGCTCAATCCGATCTACACAGGTCAGAGACAGAACACGCTCACAGATAGATCTCCCGCAACTCGGGATCGATGACGGCTCGCTGCGTGAAACACGCGTCGGGCCCACCGGAAGTTGTGAAGTTCGGGAATAGTTCTGTGACGGTGCCACTTGGAATATGGTAGGCGAACATATCGGACAGGTACCTGTCGTCTCGTTGCCCTCCGAAGATCAATAGGGTACGAGTCCCCGGCTCTAGTACCATAGAGTGACCTGGCGACAGGCCCGATGTCAGCAAGGAGGTGATCCAGGTGGCGACTCCTTACCGAAGCGCGCTGTGATCGCTGTGTTAGGTCCATTCGCGTCGGAGGTCCTGTTGAGATAGTGTTAAGCGCCGTCGAACAACGTAGCAAGTAACACTCACTGCAGCATCTGCCATGAACCAGTGCGGATGTCATAGGCGTACAGACCCGAATATTTGCAGAGTTCCCAGTCTCCATCCACGACACGGCCGCCAGAGATATAGATGACCTGTGCCTCGCAGTCCATGACCATCTGGTGATCGAAAATGAGAGGTGGTCCGCCGGATGTCTTTGGTGACATGAGTAGGATTTTAGTTGGCGTATGATGCACTTCACTTTGCTTACCGATGTATCGAACGAGAGCAAATCCCACTTGCCTTCGTCTAATCCTCGTGTATGGTAGCGATAGAATTCCGAACAGTATGCCGTCCACGGAAGTGGAGTCACATTGCCCTGTCTCGTCGTTTCCGCAGGAGGCGCTGTACCACCCGAGGGTCGGGGACTAGTGGACGGAGCAGGAGCTGCCGTCGTAGAGCTAATATCGGCCCTCGCGTCAGTGTGTTCCAGCGCATCCTCACCAAGTCTTCCAAGGACGTATATAGCGCCTGTCTTCGAATCGAAAACCATCTTGTGGCACGCCCTCGGGCCAGGGCCGTTTTTCTCTCGGGACGTCGCCATGCTCAGCATCCGCCAAGTGTCTTTGCGCACGTCGTACACCCAGAGGTCGTCCAGGTTCTGTTGGCCATCCCACCCTCCTAGGAGATAGATTAACCCGTTCTGTTCATCCATACACATCGCGTGACCACCCCGTCGACGTGGGATGTCTCCGTCAGCGTCTGTGCCGTGTAACCGCGTCCACCGTGCTTGAGGCTGGCAAGAGAGCCGATAGGCATCGAAGAGTCCAGCGGAAGAGGCTTGACGGATGCTTTGTTCGGCCGTAGCCCAGTCACCCTTAAGTACGATACTCTCGTACATCGAGGAGACGATGGGGTGCTCGAACTGGACTCCGGAGCGAGACAGGATGTCCGCGAAAGGAGTCAAGAATCGCCGTTGACGCAAGTGCTTGAGAACATAGCGCAATACAGAGGCTTCACGATACTCCATAGAAGGCTCAGCTGTAGACATCTGAAAGCACGTGCCGAGACCTACTTCGTCATGTTGTGCTTTGACTCGCTCGACGAAAGCCGAGTCGATGATGCCTGCCATTGCAATGTGCCATATCGATGTATGGAAGCTCTGTCCATGGGCGCTGTTCACAGTCAGATGTGAGTCAAAGACTTCGGCATCATGTGCGGTTGTGCTTACGACAAGGGCAAGACCTTTACATATCGGGTAGGGAAACAGACACCGGCGTTATTACAGTGTCGTATCGAGAAGGTCTCCTTCGTTGAGTCGTTCCTCAAGCCCGCATGCAGAACCTATCAATAGCTGAGGCTACCATGAATATCGTTTGCTGCGCATAGTGCTCACTTCGGTCATGCTGTCCTCGGACATACCAACGTAGACCTTAAACTCTTTCATGTTACATGGATGTGCTATGTAAGTGTCGAATAAGCATGGTGCACAGACTAGTCAGATGTGACTTACGTTTGTGGAACTACAAAGGAGTGTTCAGATACAGTTCAATATGCAAGAGAAGGTGACGTCGCCGAAAATACGGAGCGTACCTTTCCAAAGGTGATACTTTCTACAACACGCAAGTTAGTTCCCGCGACGCATGTCCCAGTTATAACTCAACTAAGTACGGTTACGTCCTGTAAACGCAGGAGCATCCACTGCTTCACATTCGGCGATTGATATGCGCCGCTCCATCGACTGGTCTGGTCGAGAGGACTGTCTTCGAGAACGTTCTCTGCCACGTACTTCCCACTGTGCTCAGAGCACCCCGCTATGTGATACCGGAGCGGGACCGTTGGCGGTTCATCCATCACGCTCATGATACTTGCATGCGTATGCGGGCGCTTCTCAGGAACGTCTAGGAACGGACCTATGCTTTTGCTCCGCACGCGTTGGTGCAATCAGGAAGAAGTTCTGGGTAGCCAGCAAAGCTTCGTAGGACAGGTGAGTAGACCACACCTTCAGTTGGAAGTCACGGTCAGTGCTGAGGTCAAACAGCGCTGACAGTGACGACGCGTCGCCGGGTGCGTCTACCGGGTTAGGCAACTGTTGTATCGTGACACTGAAAGGCGCTGAGGCGCGCCCACCGTGGTCAACAAGTTGTCAACACGAGATCGCCATCGAATCAACTCAGTCTTGTAGTTGCATTGTACCCGGAGGAATTCTAGGACACCTTACATCACGAATTGAGCACATCCACAGTTCGTTCGACCCGTGCGCTGACAGCGCCACTAGACAACAAATCTAACGGGGCGTTGTGCGACAGCTGGGCACGCGCACTAAACGGCACGCCAGCTCTCGGTCAATCGGACGGGGTCGTCAGGCTCTAATTAGGGGCCGGGTTTAGGGCGGCGGAGACTCGAGTGCTCTGTTTGTGGATAGCTACTGAGGAGCGCTCCCGGTACGCGCAACATCGCATGATGACACAGGAGCGATGGAACTAGTGCCATGACGCCAGCGTTGGCCCGAGCGTCCACAACCACGCCTCCGCGAAAGTCTGTGCGGAAGTTGTGAGTGTTCAACGTTCAGGTGGAAGGTCTACCAGAGCTTACAAGCTAATCTGGCCCCGCGGCGCGGAAATGATTGTGGGCCTGCAACACTTGAAGATGATAAGGATATTCAGCGACAATTGTGACAGAAACATAGTGCTCCAACCTCCGCAATCGGCAGCAGACTCGGAAGGTAGCGATAGCATACTGAAGGGTGTCGTGAATACGTCCAAGTAAGCACGAATATTGTGACGATGGGGGTGGCAGCCGTTTCACGATGTATTTAGCCGTTCGCAAGATGTGCCCTACGTCGTAGATGGCTCACTCAAGGAGGAGCTCGTCTTTCCGTACCAACCTCGACCGTAGCTTCCACTTCGAGAATTGCGGCCCAGGCTCTCGTCAAATCAGGTCTCCACTTCGGCGATAGTAGGTCGCTTCGCCGAATCGCTTTGTACCATGTCGGCGACTAGTCTCGCATGAACTCGAGACCGCGGTAATTCTGTCGGTCACTGACGGTGAGACGAAATGAATGTGTGGTTGGTACTGACAGTGATAGGGAGACGCACGGCTGCTGGTGGTCGGCGGACCTACAATAAGCGCTTGTCGGCAACGAGCGCCCTTTCACCGGGATTCACCGGCCTCCTCGTCCGAGTCGGTGGCATCGCAATGATGCTCAAAACAATAGAGCTTGGGGCTAGTTCTGGCTTTGTGCGTTCATCTTGAGATTCTCCAGTCCCTGCATATCTGGTCTTCATGTTGCGTGCCTCTGCATCCTCAGCACCTACCCCCGAGTCCTCCGAAAAACTGGTTGCTTGGATTCTGAGATGACTGTAAATTCGCCGTCAACTGGGGATACGCTGCCTCCACAGGGCGACCGATGGGACAGCCTAACGAAGGATGAACTCTACTGGTGTGATCGTCAGCCGTGGCTGGAGGAGCACGGTTACATGTTGCGCCCACGGTATAGGCCGGGCTGGAAGCCATTCGAGGGCGAAACTACTAAGTTCCGCGAAGATAGTCATTGGTCCTTGGTGCGTAGTTCACTCGTCGAGAGTATGTGACTCCTTTTCCAATGCAGGTCTCAGGTTTCCTCCATTATGGACGCCACCCGACTGTCGGATGGCTACCTGGTCACTATGAAGAAGATCGAAATCGACATTCATCCATATGAATTAGAAATTGGTCAATTTCTCTCGTCTGACCAGATTACCTTCGGCCCGCGCAACCGCTGTGTACGCATCCTGGAGGTCCTTCCTGATCCAACGGAGAAGAATATCTCTATCATAGTGATGCCTTACCTGAAGGCCTTCAACGACCCGGACTTCTTGACATTCGGGGAGGCTGTCACATGTCTCAAGCAGTTGATCGAGGTGCGTCTCACGATGCTAGTTAAACTTCTCATCAACGAGGACGAAGCTGAAAATTAGGTTCACAGGGACTGCGAGTCATGCATGAGAACCACGTAGCTCATCGGTACGATTATTGCTTGTGGGTCATCTCTGACCGTTCTAGTGGCACTGATCACTATGTTGCTAGCGATATCTCCGACATGAACATCATGATGGACGCGGCGGTGATGTATCCTGGCATGTGGCACCCTCATGACCCGCGCTACAAGTATGACCATTCAGGGTGGGCAACGCATTACAGTCGGACTGAGCGACCGCCAAAGTACTACTACATTGACTTCGGTCTCTCGCGCAAGTACGACCCCACCGACGGACCACCGAAAGAACTACCTATTCTCGGCGGCGACAAATCCGTTCCGGAGTTTCGAGGAGAGGGCTACGACAAGCCTTCCATTGTTCCAATCCTTTCCATACGGACATTTACTACCTTGGTAATCTCATGCGAACCGAGTTCGTGATTGTACGTCTCCCTATCAGTACGAGCGATGTATCCGTGTCTTCTCACCGTAACTGACCGACAGAGATTTCATGGGTTCGACTTCATGCAACGGCTCGTTGCCGAGATGGTGCAAACCGATCCGGCGAGGCGGCCCGGTTCGACAAGAGCTTCCGTGGACTCTCGAGGTGCAAATTACGGTCGAGGTTGGTGCGGAAAGACGAGGTCGTTCTCGAGCGAGTGATCTACGGCGTCGGGCATATCTTTCGGACAGCAAAATACGGCGTGAGAAGGCTGCCCCCTTTACCGATTCCATCCTAGTTCCAGGTCTACATGCTCGCTCGATGTACTCCTTTACGCTATTCTATTGCTGTGTCCCCAGGCTGCGATTGGGAATGCGCTCGCCCTGAAATTCCAGAATATCCATAATCTCATCAGTGCCCTTGTGAGTTGCATAGTATCCTTGTGTGCGAGTACAGAGGAGCAAAAGATGATCCGAAGTATTACTGAGTTATGCACGAGTCAGTCGTAGTGTACAGATCACTTTCGCATCCGAGACGCGCGAGTAGCATTGTGTCAGAGAGCCCCGAGGGGAGGCGAACTCGACGGAGCGGTCCCAGTAGCATTCTGCTTGACAGTCAAAAACGAACAAATACGCACGGATGACTCGCGCACATGTGTAGAATCTCTTTCTACTTCCTCCGCTGATTCATCTTGGGTTTGCGAACTTGAACCAGGCGCTGATCCGGCTGCGCCCAGTGGTCCCTCAGACGAAAGGACAGACAGTTCGAATTCTTCATCAGATGTCAGCGATCGCAGCTTGACAACAGCATTGGCGCCATCTTTGAAGGGGTTTTCATCCGAGGAATCGGACTCGCTGAGTTGAAGCAATAGAAGCCGCTGATCTCCAACATCTCCGGGATCAGGCGTGGCGTCGTCTGCTGACGACGTGGTGGTCAGATACCAGGGTATGGGAAATGCCTACAGCCATACCTGGTACTGGCGTAGATTGGTCGTGTGGTTCGCCTACACCGCCCGCAGCAGGTGAGTTCGTAGATGAGTTGCCAGAGATGTCACGGTCGTTTGAAGTGCCAGTGTGCACATTCGATGAGCCTACCGACAACGACAACGGAGATCAGTCCTCCAAAGTAAGTCTCAGCCTCAGCACTCTCACCTGGGTTAGGCGCAGCCGGTTTGTGCGATTTCGGACGGCCCGATTTGGCCCCCTTCTTCCACAAGAGATCACTCCGTGCCTGATGTGAGGAAGTCTGGGAATAAGTTGTCAGGAAAGGGTCTACAGCAACTGATACCACGGTACACGTACGACGGTAAGCTCTCTCAAAGCGACAGAACGCTTTTTGTAATCCATAATATCGTCCCATTGCTTCAGGCGCTCCATGACGTCTCTGCTTATGTCTTTTCTGTGAATGGCGAGCCTGCGTAAACAATGACTATAATTAGACATTGATAGAGGAAGACGAACAACATGCTTACACCTCGTACTGTCCGTGCAGAGTGTTGAGAGTGTCTCGAGACATGATGTTGTGTGTCTTTTCGAGTACTCGTAGGGTCACCAGTTGAGCTTTATCCCCTTTAGCAAGAGCAGACGAGGCGCGAAACGATCCGGTTGCGAGTCTGACCAGCAGTAGAAGCGGATTTGTTGCCTTGACTGTCGTTTCGCCGACCTGCATCAGGTTATCATACGAAGTACAGCCGTCGTCTGAAGACATAGTGGACGAAGGTCAGATCAGAGTCACGGTAGCGGTAGAGACAAGATAGGTAGGCAGGCAGTTGAGGTAGCGTGCTCACCGTAGCATGATCCCACCTGTAATTAAACACCGTGCGAGAACAATACCTCAGATCATGGAGCCGGACACCCTAGATACGGGGACAACGGGTTTTGCATCCAGCCCTGATACAAAATCAGCTTTACGTCAAGATAATCTGCAAACGTTTGGAAGCCCTACACCGACATACGTAAGGTCCGAGTCTTATCTTTGTCCAAATGTCAGAGAGGCTCAAGCAACGAGACAAGACGTTGACTGACCTTGACGTGCATACTACAACGACCCATCATGATGCTTCCAGGCCATCCTTGTTTGCATGGGAACGAGCTTCAGGGAAATGACGGGTCATGCCGGCTACAAGATGTCGAGCTAGACATGGAGAAAGTAAGAGCTTCAACGAACAGCGTGAACGTTGTGAACTCACTCACATGAAGGTCAAGAGTCGGACATCTGGCATCGGCCGCGGCGATCACACTCCGAGTTGTCATGGTACAGCTCCTGTACGTACTTAGGCGCCTGTTACATACCACATGCGCTTGCGCCATCATGTACTTATGGTAACATGAACAATAGGTTCGTATTGTTCGTCCTGACGGCCTCAACTACATAATGTATACGCAGTCAACTTGAATATGGCCCCAGAGTCCAGACCCTCTCCCTTGCGTTCATCCTTGTGCTTGACCAAGCTTGAAACACGATGACTGCCACTACGTCCGCTGACACGCCGGTCGCACAGCTCGATCACCTACACGGTGGATATTTCGCGTCCGAGATCTTCTGGCGCGACCGCCAGCCATGGTTGCAAGAGCGCGGCTATCTGCTTCGCCCGCGATATAGGCCTAACTGGAAGCCTTCGTGGCGTGGTACAAGAAAGCACTTCGGATTTTGCGAGGATGGTATTAGTCCACTGGTACGTTGCGACCCACGCATAGTTGTGAGCCAAGCTCACCTTTTTGCGCTGTTAGGTCGGTGCCGTTATGGACGCTACCTGCTTGTCAGATGGTTCGGTCGTGTCACTGAAGCGAATTGATACGACGGTGAACCCATTCGAATTGGAGATTGGGCAGTTCCTGTCATCCGAAGTGATCACATCGGACCCACGCAGTCGCTGTGTCCCCCTCTTAGATATACTGACAGAACCAACGGAACCAACGGTCTCCATGATCGTGATGCCGCTGCTTAGGAGATTCGACGACCCAAGGTTCCTGACAGTTGGAGAGGCAGTCGCCTTTTTCAAACAGTTGATTGAGGTGCGTCTGCATAGGACCTTATACGCGAAGCATCCTGTTTGACGACTACTATTAGGGGCTACGTGTCATGCACGAGCATAATGTAGCTCATCGGTACGAAACACTCGTGTGACATGCCTGTATTGCTGACTCGGAACTTCCATCCACCAGCGACATATCCTCAGTAAACGTGATGATGGACGCACGACCAATGTATCCTGACATGTGGCATCCTCAGTCTACCTCGCGTAGGCCCGACTATTCCGGTCAAGCAGAACATTACAGTCGCACTGAGCGGCCCCCGAAATATCTATACATCGACTACGGCCTCTCCCGCAAGTACAGCGCTGAGGACGTCCCACCTCAAGAGCTACCCATCTTTGGCGGCGACAAGTCCGTGCCGGAATTCCAGGAGGATGGCTATGACAAGCCGGCCAATCCTTTCCATACCGATATATATTACCTCGGCAATCTCATACGAACCCAGTTCGTGCAGGTGCGTCTCAACCCGTTTTTGGGTGCCATATCCGTTGCTTCATTTTATATGCTCAGAAGTATTGCGGGTTCGGATTCATGCAATCACTTGTTGACGACATGGTGCAAGACGACCCCGGCAAGCGACCGACAATCGAAGAGGTGGATTCACGGTTCGACAAGATATACAATCGACTTCCATGGTGGAAGCTTCGGTCGAGGGTGGTTGAGCAGGACGAGTCCGGGTTTCTACGCACTGTTTCAGGCATAGGCCATGTCTTCCGAACAGCAAGATACGTCGCCAAGCGACTCCCTTCGGTCCCCATGCCTTCATGATGATCTACGTACATGCTATATTCATTCCCTTGTTTCTGTGCCGTCGAACTACTGCAAGATTGTCAGTGAATTTCATGGATCTGGTGAGGTCGCTTTGACGTGCATACTAGTTGCCGAGTAATTGCTCGGTCTTTAGTCACAGATGTGCTATAAACGGCGTGCTTTCTCTCTAGGGAGAGCCGCGGATGGTCTTCCATTCTTAAGCATGTAATCCTGTCGTATGGCCCGTGAGACTTGCGCCGAAACGTACGAGTATGCGCGCATAGCTCCCGTGTTGCCAGACACATACCAAAACGGTCTCCTTTGTCCAAGGCAGAGCCGTTGTTAATTATCCGTGATATCCGTTTAGTACAACCAAGGAGTCTTCGAATGGACAATGAGTGTGATAGTGATAGGGCGAAGCAGTGTTTATACATTCCTATCCTCGTGGTCCTGGACCGCCTGGTCGACACCATGAATACTCAATACCACTAGGACGTACAGGTGCTATACACATCCCATATGGCACCTCATACGGTGTTCCTTCGCACTGCAACCGTCGCCGCAGTTGCCTCGCTAGGATCATCGAACGGACTGATGGTGATCTCAAGCCGTCCGTCTTGAGCCACGTCATGCAGATTCAGCCTCGAAACAACGACGAGGACGCTGTCGCCATCGACAGAGCCCGTCTGCGGCCTTGCAATATAGGTGTATAGTTGGTCGCCCATTTCTGCAGACTCGATCTCGGGTGAAGGGAAGCCTGTAGGATATAATGTTGAGAGGCTACTAATGCATGGATTTGAGGAGCCCGTACGCACTCGTCGATTGGACACTGCCTCCGTCATTCTCCGGGCAAGCTATAGTAAGCGATATCAAGCCACTGCAGCGGAAAGCCGTGGAGTACACATACTGGTCGATTGATCGTTGTTTCCGTCGTCATTTAGAAGAGAGTCGACTGCACTCAAGAACGACTCGGCATCATTCAAGACAGAATCAACGCCAGAGAGTGCCGCTGATAACGAGGAGATCAGATATAGACGACGCACAACATGAAATGGCTTACTCGAGTCTATCGTGGATGTTAAGCTGGTGGTCGACGGTGCCGACTTAGCTTTCTTCCACAGTACCTTACTGCGTGCCTCTAGAGATGAAGTCTGTAGCGTGTACCGTTATTCAATGATTACCTGCGATTATTTTAAGCGAGACGAAGATGACACACCGCAGTGGAGTAGTTTAAGTTGAGTGAGCCCTTTCTGTATTGGTAGATTTCTTCCCGATGCTTCATGGCCCGGAAAAATCCGCCCTTTATATTCTTCCTATAGTTGACAAGCCTACATCTGGATAAGTCGCCCACGGTTTGGAGACGAAGAGAAGTCTAGCTTACAGTTCATAACCATGGTGTAGAGAATCGTGCTGAGGTGGATCCATAATTTTCCGATGTTTCTCGAGCAGCCGCAGAGTCAAGGCCTGAGCTTTATCGCCTTCCCGCAGTGCGAGTGAGGGTATGACCGGTGTCGCAAGCCTAGCAAAGTACATAGATGGCTTACTCGCGCTGGCCTGCAGCGCGTCGTCGAGTGATGCAAAGACGTCGTTCGAGGGCATGTCAATAGTCAGGTATAAGACAGCCCGGGGAGATGTTTCGAGGGGGGGACTTGAACTCGGACTTGTCCATCTAGTCACCTTGATATAGTCCTTTGCTGTGCCAAAATAAGAGCCTATTGACGGTGGGAGGCAAAGCCCCTGGAAATACAACACATCGCGAGTCTCCTGCGCGACTCCAGGCCTTACATCAGCTTGACATAATGTTGCCAGCCAATGCACGCATCTGCCGCTACTGCCTAGCTTCGGAGCAACTGAATGCGCACATCCAAAGCACCGTGTTCGTGACTTCCCTGACATCAGTCGGAAAACAATAAACCATCCGATGGGCTCATCTGGTTGTCCTTGTCTGGCAAGCGCTCCCCCCCCCGGGCCTCATGCTTCTGATGTACACAACTGTTGGGTGGAGTTAGCAACTCTGAGGACAGTTAGCGGCATTTTTTATCATCAAGTAAGCTCGTTGCTGCATAGGATGAGCCAGGTGTGATGATGAGAAACGAAGTGATGAGTCGACAGCTCGAGTTGAACGGTACTACTACTGGTAGACGCCCACGACACGAGCGCTCGTTTTAGAAAAGTTCCGGCGGACCCGCCGCGGCGGTCGCATCGGGGTCGCATCACGGTGATTACCCGAACAATAGAGACAGCTTGTTCGCCCTTGTTCGCCATGGTACGCCCTTGTCGTCTGCTCCCACTCACGCTCCAGGATCGCTTCACGACTGCCCTCGCGCGTCCATGACGGAGGGTGGCTCAGTGACCTCCCAGCCACCTACGGCCGACACGCCAGCCTCACAGCTAGACTACCTCCATGGTGGGCTGCTGCCACACGAACAGTATTGGCACAATCGCCAGCCATGGCTACAGGAGCGGGGTTACATGCTACGTCCGCGATATAGGACCGACTGGAAACCGTCTTGGCTCGGTACAGACAAGTACTTCGGGTTCTGTGAAGACGGGCGAAGCACGATAGTACGCCTTCATCTTGTCTGGTATCATCTGCACCCATTCACTCGGTCGGCAGTCACCGGTTATCATGGACGCTACCAAAACTTCTGACGGCTTACATGTGACTTTGAAAAAGGTCAACACACAAGTTCACCCGTTCGAAGTGGAGATTGGCCAGTTCCTGTCGTCCGAGGAGACGACATCCAATCCGCGCAACTACTGTGCACGCATACTTGACGTGCTACCAGATCCTACCGAACCGAATACAACGGTCATTGCTATGCCTCTTCTCAAAGCCTTTTACGACCCCGACTTCGTGACTATCGGAGAGGCAGTCGCGTTCTTCAAGCAGATTATCGAAGTAAGTCTACAACTACAGAATCGGCGTGCTGGGCCGTGTTCACGACGATCGCGCAGGGGTTACATTTCATGCACAAGAAGCATGTAGCTCATCGGTGCGCCATTTCGCATGGGCTATCGTGAGGAGCTCACCATTCCGCCAGCGATATATCGATGTTGAATGTGATGATGGACGCAACACCAATGTATCCTGATCTATGGCATCCCCAAGCTACAGTATACAAACGCGACTTCTCCGGGCGCGCGAAACATTTCAGCCGCACCGAGCGTCCCCCGAAGTACTTCTACATTGACTTCGGTCTTTCACGCAAGTACAACTCTGACGACGGGCAGCCTCAAGAGCTTCCCATTCTTGGCGGCGACAAAACTGTTCCAGAGTTCCAGGAGCAAGGTTATGACAAGCCGGCTAACCCCTTTCGCACCGACATATACTATCTCGGTAATCTCATGCGAACACAATTTTTGAATGTGCGTTCTCGCAAAAGGTCGACCTATGCGTCATCTCAGCCTGTCTAACTCGAATAATTTCTTCCAGAAGTATCGTGGACTTGACTTCGTGCAGCCGCTCGTCGCCGACATGGTTCAGAATGACCCTGAGAAGCGGCCGACGATCGAGGAGGTGGAATCGCGGTTTGACGGCATATCCTGCCAACTTTCTTGGTGGCAGCTGCGGTCGAGGTTGGTTGAGAAGGATGAGAACGCCCTTGTACGGACTGTGTTTGGGATAGGGCACATCTTCCGGACAGCGAAGTACGTTATCAAGCGGCGGCCTCCCGTACCGCTTCCGCCGTGATCTACGCGCTCGCTTGGATGTCCTCGCGATACCCTCTACGAGCCTCTACGCTGTTATTTTCCGAGTCCGCTGTTGGTTAAGGCTAAGTACCGGAAAACTATAAGTTTGTCACTGGCTTCGCTGAGCGGCCTTGTCATCTTGTTACAGGCACAGAGTCTCTGCCGTGCGGCGTTGATGATGGACTAGGTACGCTTAGCTCCGGCAGGCCTGTGTGCGAATAGGAATACAACACCTTCAACTTAAATTTTTGTGGACGCATGGCTGTGGAGCCACCCCCGGTGCAGTGACATGCCACCGAGACCGCTCCCGTTTCCGTCAACGTGCGACGTGACAGACTCCCTTAGGCTCGGAACATCAACGTTTCAACGGGAGCGCTCATCGGAAGTTGCACACAGATACGGCAGACAGCACAAGGACGCGGGGAAAATACAACCTATCATTGTGCTGTACACCCCTTTGGGATGGTCAATCTTTGGGATGGACAATGGACGCGGTGGTGACCGCGTAGCTTGTCAATTATTCTGGACCTCACCATCAACTCGAACCGACAGCCCTGGCCTGAGAATACTACTCGATGGCAACATGACAGTCTTGAAGTACTCTTCGATCATCATCTGCGCTATGCCGGAGCGGACGAATAGTATATGTGGATTACTCCGTGATAGCACGCGCCCGAGGCGGCACAGTGCACAGATGACTCGGCCTTCAATAATTCAATCTTCAATCTTCAGTACTTCAGTGATGAGGCCCGCCGACACAGAAGTGACGAGAGGAGGCGTTCGGTGAGGCCCACGGGCGGGGACGATGTATGGACATTCAGTGCTCACAGTTCACACCCGTCAATCTGAGGTCGAAACGCTACAGCATGCACGACTCGGAGATGGGTAACGACAGTGTGGATGACTACATGTTGGTCTGAATACATGTTTACGAAGCGCGACCAGCGCGCCGTCGATGGAGGCATCAACGTTCCTCATCAAAGCCTAATGACATTCATTTGAGAACAGTCAGCGCACATATGCTTTTCGACATGATAAGTCAAACCTACGATGTGATGCCTTCATGTATCATCTCCGAGCTCAGACTCGGATGGGGCAGCTTCTTCCTCCGTTGGCCCGAACCTGACGCTGATATTGACACCAGCCTCTCCGTCGGACTCTCCGTCGTCCGATTGTGCGTCTAAGTTGATAGAGAGATGAGCAGTCGACTCGCCGTCACGGTAGGGATCGATCTCCGACGGCCGGATGTAAGCTTCCCACATCCGGGTCTTAGGTTTTGTCTGTGTCCTCGCCCGGCTGGGTTCCGTCTGCTCAGGCTGATCAGTGATGTCCACTGACTCTGAGTCGGCGATAAGGTTAGCTGAGAAACGAACACCATTTAGCAGCCATGACCAGCAAACTTGTGAGGACACGCACGGGAAGGCGGTGCAGGCTGGTCCCCTCTTCCTTCTTTCGCAGTCATGATCGTGAGTTCTGCAGTCACATACCCGACAAGCGGAATGATCGAGGATGGAATTGAAGAGTAAGTTGTCGACATATACTAATGAGCTCGTCAGTACTTACCTGAGGTAGTAGACGCCCTTCTCCGGAGTGTAAGCCGATAGAATCCGTTCTTTCCCTTCTTTTTCCACATATCTTGATCGCGCGCATTTCGTGATAAAGTCTGTGTGCTTGATGAGCAGGCATGACCGTGACGACCAATGGCGATTCCACCTACCACTGTCCTCCCGTTTAATCTGAGTGCACGCTGCAAGAAAAGGGAGACGTCTGCATATCGTTTCATGCGTCCCATGGGTCCACCCTTGATATGACGTCGGATTTGAACAAGCCTGCGCGGTATTCAATATTGTGCAGAAGGTGAGGAGCTACGGAAAGTCTTACTGCCCGTATTGATACTGAAGCTCATCGTGAAGGTCTTCGTCCATGATTTCCTTGGATTCCTCGAGTAGGCGTAGTGTCAATGCCTGAGCCTTGTCACCTTGGCGCAGTGCAAGCGAGGGTACGAAGGGTCCGACGACCTTGATGAATAGCTTGTACGATTCACTGAGTTCTTGGACGCTGTCGCACGCAGGGAAGCTGGGAGTATAATCTGAGGACATATGGACCGGAATTCAGAAAAGGAATGGTAGGTGGTGTGTATGAGTGACGGCGCAACACACCGACGGTATTTCAGGCTTTGGGTTGGTGGCGGTGCGAAGACCGTCGTCCCACGGCCTAAGTTGACATGCTTCAAGTTCCAGAAAACTTGGTTGGACAGACTCGACTTCGAAGACTAGCCTCGCGTTGGGACAATAACAATTGCCAGCCTAGGCATAGCATCAATTACTGGACCTGAGGACTGCCAGTCACGGAAGCTCTCTTCACCTCATAAGACAAGAACAAAAATAAGTTTATAACCCCATGAGGTAATCTTTGTACGTACACAGGCGGCGGCAGCCCACCATCGTTGACACATTCGACTGCATCTTCTGCGTTGCTAGCGGAAAGACCCGCCCGGGTACTATGGCGCAGTGTCCGAACCAGCTATCCCAAGCAACTGCAAAAATAGCCGTTTCAGCTTCATATGTTTTATTCTGTTGTTCCGTGGACAAACGTCGTTGCATGGAGTGAGGAAGAGTACTCACCGTTGTTTACTGCCACGGGATCCTGACGGGAACAAGGAACATCAGATGAGCGCTTGACAGGCGCCTACAGGTGTTCACAACACGAGCGTCGAGCGCCCATGCGGCCGCATTTCCGCACGGTGGCATGATGATCGTAGTGAACAATAAACACCACTTTGATCCCGTTTCCTCGCCTCCAAGTCATCGAGCGACTCATGCTGCACGCTTTACGACCTCTCTAGTGCTCCCCGTGCCCCTTGACTGCTTCGCAAGTCTCGGTCAAGATGACGGCAGACCCATCGACTGCAGATGTATCACCCGCGTCGCGCAACCTGGACGGCCTGATGAAGCATGAAATATACTGGCGCGATCGGCAGCCATGGTTGGAAGAGCATGGATACATGTTGCGCCCGCGATATAGACCAGGATGGAAACCGTCCGAGAGTGGAGCAAACGAATCCTACACATTCCACGAAGATAGTCACTGGTCATTAGTGCGTCTCCTACGTGTCTGACGTGCTCGTCTAATGCCTCTGCTAGGTCTCTTCCATCATGGACGCCACCAAAGTAGCTGATGGATCCTTGGTCACAATGAAGAAAATCAAGTCCGACACTCATCCGCACGAACTAGAGATCGGACAGTTTCTCTCGTCTGACCAGATCACCTCCGACCCACGCAATCACTGCGTGCGCGTCCTGGACGTCCTAACTGATCCATCCGAACCCAATGTCTCTATCATAGTCATGCCTTATCTCAGGGATTTCGACGATCCGGGCTTTCTGACCTTTGGAGAGGCGGTTGCTTGTTTCAAGCAGTTGATTGAGGTGTGTTCTAGAACTCCGGAGAAAATCCTAGCAATGCTAAGCTTTGGCCCAATGTTCAGGGATTGCGTGTCATGCATGAAAACAACGTCGCCCACCGGTATGAGGACTCTGAGTCATGCGCTGCCTTGGACCATTCGTAAGACTGACGTACTGTTAGAGACATTTCTACCATGAATGTCATGATGGACGCGGCCGCGATGTATCCTGACCTATGGCACCCTCAGGTACCGAGCTACAAGTACGATTACTCTGGGATTGCAAAACACTATAGTCGAACAGAGCGACCACCCAGATACTACTATATCGACTTCGGGCTTTCGCGCAAGTACGATCCCAGTGCTGGTCCCCCGGAAGAACTTCCTATTATTGGCGGCGACAAAACTGTCCCTGAATTTCAGGGAGAGGGTTACGACAAGCCTGCCAATCCTTTCCGTACGGACGTCTACTACCTCGGCAATCTCATGCGAACTAAGTTTGTGGATGTACGTCTCCCTAGCCATCCAAAGACTGCCCGTTTCGTCTGACTACCATCGACTCACAGAAATACCGAGGATTCGAGTTCATCCAGCTTCTGGTCGCAGACATGGTGCAAAACGATCCGGCGAAGCGACCCACCATCGCCGAAGTGGAAGCCCGATTCGACGAGAGCTTCCAGGGACTCTCAGATTGGAAGCTGCGGTCGAGGTTGGTGCGGAGAAACGAGAGTTTCATTGTGCGGGCGATCTACGGCATAGGACACATCTTCCGGACAGCGAAATACGTCGCGAAGCAGTTGCCTCCTGTACCCACTCCGTCTTCATGATCTACGTGCTCGATTCGATCTCGCTTGGATGTACTCACAATACCCTCTACACTGTCGCCGCTTTCCGAGTCTGCTGTCGTTCAAGGTTTTGGGACTTTATTTTGTCGCAGGCTTCGCTGAGTAGCCTGTCATCTTGTTATAGGCACAGTGTCATTTACACCCGCCCCCGGGCCATCGATACCCGTCGATGGGATAGGTACAGCTCCGTCGTGCCTGCATTAGGCTCAGCGTGCGAACAGGAATACAACACTTTCCGCGCAAGCTTTTACCGGAAGCATGGTTGTGGAGCCACGACCGCGCTACCCAAAGCCGGCGACATGGCGGCAATTCCATTGCTCCCATGTCAACATGCAATGCTGTGCGATGGACCAGTGATTCGACCCCTGGAAACATGAACGGGAGCGTTTTTCAGAAGCTGCACACAAATACGGCATCCAGGACAAGGGTGCGGACGAAAGTACAACCTACTTCATCACAAGCGCACAACGCCGTAGGCCGGAGCGGACGAATCGTACACGTAAATCACTCCGTGATAGCACGCGCCTGAGGCGGCGCAGATGAGGCCTCCGAGCACTGTATGTGATTTTTTGTAGTCGATTTGTGCACTGCAATGGATGACAATGCAGGGTCACAGTCGGTGCGTCGACTTCTCCGCGTGGTTGCTTCCTTTCTGAGATCAATGCTCTCAAGCTGCATGCCGTCCTTGTGTGCAGGTACCGAGGCACGCTCCGTCAAGATGGGCCTGTTGCCATGGAATTCGTTCCATCCCTACGAATGCAACAGCAATGGCAGTCCATCATGTCGCCACAAGTTATTCGGTACCGCTCCACAGCCGGCGACGGACGTACCAAGGCTTTTGCGGAAGGTCTTGTACGGTATATGCTAGCCGCTTCAAGTTGGCCTGTTGCTGCCCAAAGCAAGAATTTGTACTAATGATGACATATGACATTGCGCTGCTATGCAGCTGCTCCCGGCGCGATGCGGCGACTCGGAAACGGTGATGCCGCCTAAGCTTGAGCTTCGTGCCGAGGGACTCGGAATGGAGGACGCTCATGGTGTTTACGCGAGAACTTGATACCAAAGTCGTATTAGAATGAGAATCATCGCTGCGGTTCATGCGCTTCCAGGCTCATGGTTATATATTGAATTGGTGAACAATGGTGGTGGTGGTGCGATTTCTCGAGCGCATTCGGTATTGCGGCCATCTCTACGTTCAACGGCCAACGTTCGTGTCCCTGCAAACAGATGTATGAGTCTCGCTGTAGTTGATGAGCTGACGCATTAGCGTACGTACCAGGCTGTCCAGGATGAAGTACGAGGCACTACTCGCTGGTATGTTGGTACAGTGTACTGCCAAGCAGCATGCGACCAAAACCTGGAGCACCGCTGTGTCCCAAATATAAAATTACTGCACATGAACGACCTTGATTCAGACACAGTAAGCGTACTAGTGGTCATTCTGTATGTTTAGAGACTCAACTCAGCCATGTACATTAGATACAAGTACTCTACGAGTTTCACGACCCTGGCGTGCCCGCGCGCGAATTTTCAGATACAACATGGCATCGTCTGGACCCATTCTTCCAGATGTAGGATGATGTGCTGATCGGAAGCCCCATTGTGATCAAATGCTTCCTGGTGTCCTATGGAATTCTCATGCATTATCAGGACACCGCGTCTCGAAACGTACAGGACGCATACCTTTAGCACCTCTCGATGACGATTCTTCACGGAGTAGTCGGTGAGACATTGGCATCACCACTATCTACAAAGGGATTCAGGGGAAGCACTACAGGCTGGCCTGCGTTCAGCAGTTGCATTTCGTATTCCGAGATTACGGCAGCGGGATCATTCTCGGTGACGCGCCCCTCTGAATCCAGGGGAAATATGCCATACACCAGCACTTGATCTGTGACGTGCTGTTCGTGGTCAACTGTGGGACTGGCTGTGGAGGAATACCGTGACGACACTCAGAGCCAGTCGCAGAGAAGTCGAGAAATGCACATACCAACGGTCGGGGTAGCCAGATCGCCGCTTGTACCGTTTCCACTGATATTTGGATTTGGTGAAGCAGACCCAGCATTGACCACGGTGAAATGATCAGACGGGGCTGCTGCTATGGCTCGCGCTTGTCAGTCATCGATGATACAAATCATCTAGTATGCAGGGCTTACCTATTGAAGTGGAGGGCGATGATTGATGAGGCCCTGATACAGAAGTATCTTTTTCTTTCGGCATCATCGCCTTGCTTCGGGCGCGTTGTGAAGAGTCCTGACGAAGTGCACACATTTGTCAATGATCTCAAAAACTGCCAAAGAGCTCGTCACGTACCACGGTAAAGTCCTTCAAATTGAGGGAACCAGCTCTGTACGCTACAATCTGGTTCCAGTGTCTCAACCTCCTTATGAATCCTCGCTTGATTGTAGCTCTCTCGTGCTTAAGCCTGCAACCATATCAATACCCATGTTACATAAAGAGAGGGGATCTGGTCACGTACGTTCTCCATTTTGCATGTATGCGAACGTGAAGGTTCCCTTCCATTATCGGCTGTGTCTGTTCAAGGAGCTCTAACGTTATAGCTTGGGCATCGTCGCCCTCCTTCAACACGGCGCCGGGGCTAAATAGCAGCGTGAGCTTGTCCAGCAGGTCGGCCCGCGCCTTATCGTCGTTGTCGAGTGTAGAAAGAACGTCGTCTGAAGACATCGTGCCTAGTAGAAACTAGAAAGGAGGCAAAACGGTAGGTGGTCGGAGTGAGGTGTTGAGTCTGGTGCACTTACGGTCTTAATAAGTCGCGGACGAGACCATGAGAGATAGAACACGATGGATAAGGCACTGTCCTGGATACTATGTCCTGTGCAGGGGACGGCGGTCCAGTGTATCCGAAGATCACGTCAAGGTCGGCTGTCCCGCGTACATGGAGACGGCCCTGCCAGAAGCACAAAACACAATGATTCTTGTCGTGACAATCTAGTCAATCCAAACTGTACTGCACAAGATTCTAGACGTTACGTTGGGCGACAACCATCATTTCTCGTCCCAATTTGTCTCTCCTTGTCTAGCATAAGTTCCGCACATGTTCCGCCAGAGCAGTGGCAACGTAATGATCAGATCCACCTGAGATGTACGTACTGCAGAATGAAACAAAAGAGGTGATTTCGCGAGTATCAGGGCGACGAGGAGGCAGGAAATCCGGAATGCGTCGCCCAGGGTTCTCCGGTGAAAAATAAGCATCATGGAACATGTTCAACCTGCGGAGTGGGCGTCGGGACTCGGCATAGGCGCCTACTCAGCCACCCGATCACGCGGCGGGCGCTCGCCGCACAAACGCCCACATCCGTGCCGTCACGGTGATAAACTTGAACAATGGGGACGCGAACAAACAATAACCTGCCCTGAGAAGACCGCCTGTGTTGTGTCCCTTCGTAGTATGCTGCAGGATCGCCGACATACTCCTCCCGCTCTTTAGGAGAAACTGATTCACCATGACGGTGCAAGCAACTGCAGTCGACACTGGCGTGCCGCCTGCAGGCCCTGCCATCCAATTGGACTACTTGGAGGGCGGGCTAATGGACCATGAACACTTCTGGCGCGATCGCCAGTCTTGGCTTCAAGAGCAGGGATACATGCTGCGTCCACGATACAGGCCGGACTGGAAACCTTCATGGCTTGGTACAAAGAAACACTACAGAGAGTGCGAAGACGGTCATAGCACGTTGGTGCGATCGGTTCTGGTGTCCGAATATGATAGTCCCTCATTATCTTTAGGTGGATACTATCTTAGACGCCACTCGACAGTCTGATGGTTCGCTGGTGACACTCAAGGCGGTCGATACTGCCGTTCACCCATTCGAAGTAGAAATCGGACAGTTTCTCTCGTCTGAGCAACTCGCGCAAGACCCGCGGAATCACTGCGCGCGAATCCTCGATGTCCTGCAGGATCCGATCGACCCCAAGATATCTTTAGTCGTTATGCCTCTCCTCAAACCTTTCAGGGAGCCTAACTTCTTGACGATAGGAGAAGTGGTTGCATTCGTCAAACAGGCTATCGTAGTATGTGCATCAGCCTTGCGCCAGTAGACTTGTAGCTCATTCACTTCCCAGGGATTACACTTCATGCATGATCAGCATGTCGCGCATAGGTGCGCACGCGTTTTCAATTGGCCCCTGATCGAAGCTCACCGAGATTGCTAAGGGACATTTCGATTTTGAACGTCATGATGGACGCAATACCGATGTATTCCGTTTTATGGCATCCTGAGGCACCGGTATACAACCGTGACTTCTCTGGGAGCTCAAAGCATTGCAGCCGCACGGAACGACCGCCAAAGTACTTCTACATCGACTTCGGTTTGTCCCGCAAGTACGACCCTGCAAATGTACAACCGCAGGAGTTGCCAATCATTGGCGGCGACAAGAGCGTGCCAGAGTTCCAAGGTGAAGGTTACAACGTGGCTTCCGATCCCTTCCGTACCGACATCTACTACCTTGGCAATCTCATACGACGCACCTTTCTGAATGTATGTGGCTTCGTTATAGGGTGTACCGTGTTTCCGTCACACTGATCCTTATGGATACCCTCAGCGCTACCGTGGCTTCGAGTTCATGGAACAGCTCGTGACGGACATGGTGCAAGACGATCCAGAGAAACGCCCGACTATCGCGGAGGTGGAGTCTCGGTTCGACGAGATATACCGCAAGCTTTCATGGTGGAAGCTGCGAACGAGGCTGGTGGGCAAGTCTGAAAATGGCTTCGTGCGCGCAGTGCTTGGTACAGTGCACGTCTTCCGGACAGCGAAATTCGTCGCGAAGCTGCGGCCTCCCGTACCGATACCCTCGTTATGATCCATATGCAGCCGGATTGATTGGTCTCACGTACGCTATCGTTGCTCGCTTGCTGTCCATCTAGTTTACTGTTGGAAGTTATGACATTCTACAAGTCGCTGGCCTGACAGATATTGCTCCATTGTGACTGCGTCCATGTGCCAGACACTACCTACATGAGCTCGCATTTTTTGACTGGGCCGCGGCACCAATTAGCCGGGATGTGGCCAGCAAATACAATTCCTTCACGCTGGCCCACGGACATCGGAAAAGATGTCGCGCTACACTCTTCCGTGCTCCCCACTCAGCAGGCTGCCGACCTGGCTTTGGTGCTGTCAATGCATCGTTAAGTTTACCAGCATGCACCGCAACTCGGAGACGTTGACTACCCTCATGACGTGAAGCAGAAGGAGCGACTATTTCAAGATTACAATGAACGTAGCGACGCCCGTGTAGAGCTATTATTGACAAGAATTAGAAGTACATTACGAGTCACACATGCATAGCGCGCCCGCGCGCGAGTATCTCAGTCCGTCCGCAGGCTACAAGACAACGCAGTGCTCAACCATGAAGCCGTACATAGGTCAGCCTTTAATGGTTGAGTGACCCTTGCGTGCTGCAGCTTATAAGTCGGAATCTTGTACTAGCAAGGATGGGCAAGGCACATTACATACCTTGAGCCCTCTCACGCGGGAGTTGTTGTCGAAGCAGAGGCCACTGCATTACCGTCCCCAAAAGGATTATCGTCATCAAGCCTGTCAGAAATCTTCACTTGTCCGCTTTTGACCATAGCCTTCAATTCGATCTCCGAGATGACGGACCCGGTGTCCCCGATGAGCTGCCCCTGCGAGTCCACCTGAAAAGCACCGTAGAGCGTTTGACCTGTGACATCTTCTTCAGCCTGAGGTGCAGTTGAAGGGTCAGATGATTCTTCGGCCTCGGGTGCAGCAGGGGCGTCAGCTGTCAACAAGGTGATGTTCAAGATTCATATGAAGCATGGCAGAAGCTGTAGACGGTACGAACCTAAGGACGTGGTAGGCGGGTTGCCACTTGCACTGTCTTCTGTTTCCATTGATTGAGCATTGCCAAGATCGGACGCAATCTCGTCTAGGGCGGATCGACGAGACTGCGCATCTAACAAAGCTCACAGTGAGCCGTGGACGGTAAGGAAATAAAAGCGGTGCAGTCCTACCTTCCTGTGAAGTGCCAGTGAGCGACCAATCTTGATCTGAGTGACCAGATCCTTGCGCAGACGTTTGGGCCTTCCTCTTCCACATCTCCATGCTTCGCGCAAGCTCTGAAGAGACCTAGCATCGTCGTTAATGACACGCCAATAGTGATTATGAAGGAATGATGCATACCACCGTAGCATGCCTCAGCTCCACGGTGTTGTCCCTGTACGTCACGATCTTGTTCCATTTCTTTGTGCGCCATGCAAGCCCGCGTTTCATATGGAGTCTCTCTTTCCTAAGGCTGAAAACATATCAATGGCCAAATCCAACAGAAAGTGTGCTGAGAAGTGTCGTACTCGTCGTATCGCTCGTGCAAAGAGTTGTGGATCGGTTTATCCATGAAGTCTTGCGTCTTTTCGAGCAGACGTAGCGTCATAGCCTGGGCCTGATCGCCCTCCTTGAGCACGCCTGCGACTCTCATGGACGCAGGGAGCTTCGTTAGTAGGAATCGAAGAGGCGAAGTTGTCGAGGTAGTGGAGTCGTTGCTCAGTTGGCTGGCATTGTCGGCCATGGTGGAATCAATGTTCAGCAACATCTTGCAGATGAGAGAGGAAGCGCTAGGTGGCTGGAGTTGTTGACGGGATCGAAGTATTCGGAGGGCGTATATACAGTAAATCATAGCTGAGGCTGTAACAGATAACGCATGGACCAAAAAAAGCCGGACAACCTGCATACTTCACGTGGGACGGTGTGCCTCGGACTACCCGAGGTTATCACGTCAACGATTCACTGTTTAGCGTGCATTGGTGCTTACCAGACCGTTCTCTGCACCACGAGATACAATAGCTCTTGTTGCGATGATGCACCCAGAATGGCACCAATCAACTTCTCTGACACAAAATCAGAGAACAACTGCCACGGTCCTTCTTGATATGTCCCTCCTTGTCCAACGAGCGTCCTGCGCGGCTGTTGCTCAGGTCGCACTGGATGGACGTTGCACGGCAGACTCAGGCTCGGATCGGCGAAGTCGCATACACGGCGAGGGGTCGATGTGACCGCGAGCTGCTGAGCATAGTGAAGATGGGCAGAGAGCACGTCTCCCCAAGGGTGTCAAGGCGCAAATGAGCGGGAACATGCGTCCGCTCGGGGACAAGTACTGGCAGAAGCCGCAGGAGCCTCTTTCGCCGAAAAGTCAGGCAACCACGGATTGAGCGCTTAAACGCAGGCGCCCGATCCCATGGGCGCTCGCGGTCGCTTGAACAAACAATAGCTGCTTGATACGATACTGCCGTGGAGGAGAGTGTTCTGATACACCGAGTCTGTGACCTCGCAATAAGCTGCAACATCGTCTCAGTGTCCCACTCGCTCATGGTAGAGTCTGTCTCGTCATGACAGTACAGCCTTCCGTCGATGCTGGGATATCGGCTGTGCAGCTCGACCGTACAGACGGCGGTCTTGCAACGCACGAGCAGTTCTGGCGCGATCGGCAACCTTGGCTCCAGGAGCGGGGATACATGTTACGCCCACGATACAGGCCAGACTGGAAGCCCTCGTGGTTGGGTACAGACAAGTTCTACAGAGATTGCGAAGATGGCCAAAGCACGCTGGTACGCTCGTCTTTTGCGGACCCCGGATGTCATCTCACTCTGTTCAGATGCCGACCATTTTGGATGCCACTCGACAGTCCGATGGTTTGTTGGTGACATTGAAGAGGGTCGATACTGCCGTTCATCCGTTCGAGGTTGAAATTGGAGAATTCCTGTCGTCTGAGCAACTAGCACAGGATCCTCGGAATCATTGCGTGCGCATCCTCGACGTGCTGCAGGATCCGATTGACTCCAAGCTGTCAATAGTTGTCATGCCTCTCCTCAAGAGCTATCATAAGCCAGAGTTTTTAACGGTAGGAGAAGCTGTCGCTTTCTGTATACAGATGATTAAGGTATGCGTGTTACCTTCGCTCCGACTCGCTTCCGCGCTCATCTACTCCCTAGGGACTACACTTCATGCACGACCATCTTGTCGCTCACCGGTGCGACAGCACCACTTATTAGACTTGGTAGCGAATCTCACCTCGGTCCAAAGGGATATATCAACTCGGAACGTCATGATGGACGCAGTACCATTGTACTCAAAGAAGTTGTGGCATCCTGAATCACCTAGGTATACTCGCGACTTCTCCGGAAGCGCGAAGCACTTCAGCCGTACCGAGCGACCGATGAAATACTTCTACATTGACTTTGGATTGTCACGCAAATACGAGCCGGAAGATGAGTCACCACGGGAGCTGCCAATCTTGGGCGGCGACAAAAGCGTCCCGGAGTTCCAAGGAGACGGCTACGATGCGCCGGCGGATCCCTTCCGTACCGATATATACTACCTCGGCAATCTTTTCCGGCTCACGTTCTTGAATGTGCGTTTCTCAGTGTTCCGTTTGTGCTTCACTGACTCACATTGGCTGCAAGCACTTCCGCGGATTCGAGTTCATGGAAGAGCTCGTGGCAGACATGGTACAAGCCGACCCGGGGAAGCGACCGACCATTGCTGAGGTGGAGACGCGTTTCAACGACGGCTATCGCCGCCTGTCGTCGTGGCAGCTTCGGTCGCGGCTAGTGCATAGAGGTGAAAATGGCTTTGTGCGTGCCATACTGGACACGATGCACTTCTTCGTGAAAGCGCAGTCCGTCGCCAAGCGGCGGCCTCCCATCCCGATTCCCTCTTCATGATCTACCTGCCTCGGTGGATGCAATGGTCGTACTCTCCACGCTATCGTCGCTGTTTTTCTACCTGTACTTTGCTGGATGCTATCACAGTTCTTGATTATGGATCGAACATCCGACCGTATACCCTGTTCCATCCCTGTTCTCACTGCGGTGCGAGTCTTGCCATGATCGTTTCAGGAACACATGGATCCTGAGGTCTGTACCACGGCCTGGGTCATCAACGCTAGGTTGCAATTGTTGCACCTTCCTGCGGCGGACCTGACCGACAAACAACACCTTCCACTACGGGCATGGTGCACCTATCGGCTGGCAAGATGGTTTGTACGGTGCCGGACATGGGCGCCGTTCCGCTACATAGTTCTATTCTTATGTGTCAGCCTCAGATGCCATGGAACCCCCTGGCAACAGACACCCTAGTCGACGGAGCGCCCTTCAGTATTCGCACACAAAGACGGCACGCAAGCACATAGCGTTAATATGGAAACATGGCCCGCATCCGCGCTCAGTGATCGGATCCTGCAATTTTCAAGGCACTAACGAAGGGCTTCGGAGATGGGAGCTCGCGCAGGATTGAAAAAATCTGAGGCTCCCATGGCTATGGGACTGTTGTTCTCGCCATGAATCGAGGTCCATCATCGACAGTAGCGACTCATTAACGAAGTGCAAATCAAGGTTAGAACATCCGAGGCCTGTGTTGTAGAGGGCCGACTATGTGGCCCATGGCATCGCCCACGACAGGCTGGCCTGCGCGCTGACCAGCGCAAGCCACAGTGTGAGTGAAACTCCAGTCCCAAGAAATCATATTCACTGCACCAATGTACACCGCAGCCCAAGCCACGCGGACTCAGAGTATAGGTATAGGATTCTGCACCATAAAGTTCCGCGAGCAAACTTTCATGGACTTGACTATCCAGAATCCTACGATGCTCTTCTATTAGTTGCATCGTCGTAGCCTGGGCTTTGTCGCCTTGCCGCAGTGCCCGTAAGGACCTGAGGGGCCCAGCGAGCTTCGCTGCAAAGGATTTACCGCCAACTCTCGTGGTGGAAGCTGCGAGGGAGGCTGGTGCATAAAGACGAAACTGTTTTTGACCGAGTCGTGCTTGGTACACTGCACATCTTCCGGACAGCGAAGTTCGTCGCCAAGTGGCGGCCTCCCGCACCGATACCCTTTTCATGATCAACGTATGCAGTCGGATTCCGAATTGGTTTAACACTATATTATCGTTGCTCGTTTACTGTCCATCTAGTTTTCCTTTGAGGTTATGACTTTATCATGGTCGTCCCCCCTGAGCCCACGCGGCCCACGCGCGAGTCGTGAATTCAGCTTTACATGTGCTCGGAATTTTCGACTCAGCTGTGGCACCAAGTTACCAGGCTAACGCAACAGCTTCCGCACTGGTTGTAGTATGCAGACAGCACCGGAATTCGGCAATACTATCTCGCTAATACTCTTCAGCGCTCCCTATTCAGCGGGCTGGCGGCCTGACTTTGGTGTCATCAATAAGTACATCGACTCGAAAGCGTTGATTACCCTCGTGGTGATGTGAAGCAGAAGGAGCGACTATTTCAAGAGTACAACGAATGTAACGACGCCCATGTAGAGCTGTTATTGACAGTAATTACAAGTATATTACGAGTCAGCGCGCCCGCGCGCGAGTATCAGTCACCGAGTTCGTCCCCGGACTATAACTCCACGGAGTACAAGATCCATAGACCCATAACTCCGAGTCAACCTTGGTTAGATGCGATCGAGCGACTCCTACAGTCCTATTGCTTGTAAGTACGCCATTACAAGAACATACAAGTCACCTACCTGTGAATATCCCATGATTGATGATTCTTCACGCTGCGTCTGGTGATACAGCTACTCCACGGCTATCCGCGAATGGATTACTGTCATCGGGCGTCTCGAGTACCTCCTCGAGCTGTCCGCGTTTGATCATATCCTGTAGTTCGATCTCCGAGTGGAAGGAGACGGGGCCACCAACGGGCTGCCCCTCCGAGTCCGCTTCAACAGCGACGTAACGCGGCTGAACTGTGATAGCATCTTCTGGTGCAGCTGGAGGATCAACTGTGCAAGAAACTATGGTGAGACTTAGAGCACGTAATTCCTATAGAGAGCACCAACCAGGGGAAGTGGCAGGCGCATCAACATTTGCACCGAGTTGGCTCGTAACTGGTGAAGCATGGTCAAACTCTGCCAGCGTTTCATCCACGGTGGATTGACGAGATGTCGAGGCTGGTACGAATCATGAGTCCAAATCGGAACGACACAACGCGTGGTACAGCTCACCTGCATCGTGTGACGGTCGATTGTTTTTTGGCGAAGACCTGTGACGTTTATGCTTCCACAACTCCTCGCTCCGTGCGAGCTCTGAAGAGACCTGACATTGCCGCCATCAACAATGAGGACTGCGCCATCGCCAGTCCATGATCGTGACGAAAAAGTCGTGCTACGTACCACGGTCAGCTTCTTCAACTTGATAGATCTATCCCTGTAGACCACAATTTTATCCCATTGTTGTATTCGCTTGATGAATCCGTGCTTCATCTCGAGCCTGTTAGTCTTCAAGCTGCAAAAATGACATCAGTCATGTTCAACAGCAGAGGGAGTCTGAATGCCGTACTCGTCGTATCTTTCATGTAAACGGTTATGAACGTGTTTATCCATGTAGGCATGCGTCTCCTCCAGTAGCTGTAGCGTCTTCGCTTGTGCCTTATCGCCTTCCTTCAGTACGACTGAGGCCAGGACGGACTCGGGCAGACTAAGAAGGATGAATCGACGAGGCTTGTCTTGAGTTTGACTGGCGTTGCCGCTTCCACCGAGGTCACCGTCGGGCAGAGACATTCTGTCAGACGCAAACGAGAGCAGATATCTGGAGGTAAGTGAACTAACGGGTTGACGTGCTTGGAATGTATTTAAACCGCGGCAGAGGCTGTGGAAGATAACGCATGACAAAAATGGCTGGACGCCCTGGATACTGGTCGTTTCGAAAAGGGTCGCCTGCCTAGGTACGCGGGCATCACGTCAAGATCCGCTGGTCTAGCGTGCATGGATGCTTCCCAGGCCGGTGTCAGTGACATGCGAGACTTTCTTGTTGCGACGATTTTCCAATGGAGCCACGTAGCTTCTCTGACGTACGGAGTCGAAAACAAGGATTTTCCACCCGGTATGTACTTCCTTGTCTGGCGAGCGTCTCGAGCTGCAAGAGTAGGACGACAAACTTGTGCAGTGTAGTAGCATACGATGCGGCGCCTTGAATCGCGGATTCCAATGTGTCTGGTGTCTGGTGCAGAGCCCACACGAAGTATTCTGAAGGTCGTCAAACGCGGTATAGGCGGTAGGATCGCGCGCTGCCGGCAGCCACCTTCAAAGTTCAGATTGAAGTCAACCAGGTCCACAGGGAGTCGGCGGCGAGTTGGCGGCGACGGTCTCACCATAGACGCTCGATCACATGGGCGCTTGCGTACAAACGCCCACATCGTGACCGTGACAGCGGCGCCTTGAACGAACAAACAATAGGACTTGGAGAGGATCCTCCAAGTCTGTGCCCCGCGCGGTATGTTGCGAGACTGTCACCGTATACTCCCCGCTCAATCTTGACGGAATCTGGGTCTTTATGACCGCGCAACCTTCCACGGCCGACGCTGGTATGCCAGCTGCCCAAATACCCGGCGGGCTCGCAAAGCACGAATACTTCTGGCGTGATCGACAGCCATGGCTCCAGGAGCGCGGGTACATGTTGCGCCCACGGTATATGCCAGATTGGAAACCTTCTTGGCTAGGTACGGACAGGGACTATGAGTTATGCGAGGACGGTCAAAGCACAATGGTACGCTCCTCCGGCAAGTCGTTCACGGTCTTGTCTCATTCTGTCGTCAGGTAGATACCATCCTTGATGCCACCCGGCAGTCGGATGGTTCGTTGGTGACGCTGAAGGCGGTCGACACTGGCGTTCACCCGTTCGAGGTGGCCATAGGGCAATTCCTGTCATCTGAGCAACTAGCACAGGACATGAAGAACCACTGCATACGCGTCCTCGACGTATTGCAGGATCCAATGGACCCGAAGAAGTCGATTATTGTCATGCCTTTCCTCAAGATCTTTGACGAACCGGAATTTTCAACAATCGGAGAGGCTGTCGCGTTCTTCAAGCAGGCGATTGAGGTATGTACATGAGCCGCGTTTCATTTACTGCGGTGATTGACCCATTACCTAGGGACTACATTTCATGCACGACCATCATGTTGCTCATCGGTGTGCAATATTCTCATACTGGCTACATTGCAAAGCTTAGAGCCGTTCATCAGGGACATCTCCATCTTGAACGTTATGATGGACGCCATGCCGATGTATTCAAAGAAGCTATGGCACCCTGAAGTCTCAAGTTTCACTCGAGACTTCTCCGGCAAGGCAAAGCACTGTAGTCGCACCGAGCAGCCACCAAGATATTTCTACATTGATTTCGGGTTGTCCCGAAAATACGAGCCTTCGAGCGGTCCGCCACAAGAGTTACCGGTATTTGGTGGCGACAAGACCGTCCCCGAGTTCCAAGGAGAAGGCTACGACGTACCTGCCGACCCTTTCCGTACCGACATCTACTATCTTGGCAATCTCTTACGAATAACCTTTTTGAAAGTATGTTTTTGACCACTCGTGCGATCTACACTATTGAATGTCGATTCTCAGCCCTATCGTGGCTTCGAGTTCATGGAGCAGCTGGTGCAGGACATGGTGCAAGACGACCCGCAGAAGCGACCGACTATCGCAGAGGTCGAAACTCGATTCAACGAGATATATCGCCGGCTTTCGTGGTGGAAGCTCCGGACGAGGCTCGTACATCAAGACGAGAGCGGCTTCAAGCGAGCTGTGCTTGGTATGCTGCATGTCTTTCGGACAGCGAGGTTCGTTGCCAAGCGGCTGCCTTCCGTACCGATTCCTTCATAATCTGCACGCTCATACCCATCCACCATACTTTGCGCTATCATCTGCTGTCGATCTACTTACTGCTGGAGGATATCACATTATTTGGCTATTGGCTTGACTCGTCACCGCTGCGCATCTGTTGTCATCATTCATTCTAGACACCTGGGCTCTGAGACAGCACTACGCGCGGCTCGGATCAATGCTAAGGTAGTGTTCTTGCGTCTGGCTGCGCTGGACCTGGCCAACAAACTATCCCTTCCATGGGTCGTCTGTCATACTGCTGTCACTCATGTGGCAAGGCGGTACCGAACATCGGCGACATTCCAATACAAGTTTTATCGCGTGGCAGCCTCAGATGCCACGAATCCAGATAGCAACGTTCACCGACGGAGCGCCCCTCAGTAGTCGTACACAAAGACAGCATACTACAAGCACACGGCGCTGATATGAGAGCACGGGCAATCATGCGCAGTGATCGGCTACTGCATTTCTCTGCCGTAAATATCAGGCACTAACGAAAGAAGATGGTGGCTTGCGCCAGATTGACTATCATGTACGCTCTGCGACATGGCTATGGGGCTATTTTCCTCGCCGTCGATCGGGCCTATTGGAGGTCTATCGGCAGCAGAAGTGAAGGCCAATGTTTGGGCAGCCTGTGTTGCAGGTAATTGGCAATTGCAGCCGTTAACTGATGCACCTCCGAGTCAGGCTGCGCGTAACAAGGATTTCGCTGTGAGGAGGCTAGTAGCGCGCAGACTATGTCACCCATGGCACCCATGCCAGTCGCTGGGCTGTACGCTGACCAGCGCAAGCCACAGTGTGGGTGAACCTCTAGTCCAAAGAAATCATACTCACGGCACCATTGTACACTGCAGGCCAGCCACGCTTACTCACTGGCAGAGTATGAATATAGCATTCTGTACCATAGTGGGGTCCTCGCTATGGGCTACTTCAAGTCGCATCTACTGGTCATTACTATTATATCAATCCAAAGTAGCCGGATTGGAAGATACACAAGACTCGTGCATTTGTGGCGCGAAAAGGACATCCATTGAGGTGCCGGTGTGTTTGCGTCAGCATCGTCTCCGGGAAGTTTGACCTTGACCCCGACTGATACTTGCAGCTCCGGCTCCGAGAGATCAGCGAAAACGGTGTGATCGTTGAAGATGCCCTCCAGCTTCAGAGCCGCGAAGAGGTCGCGTATCTCGTCTGAGTCATGTTCAGCTGCGATCGCCGATGACGCGAGAGTCGAAGAGATGACAGACCTAGGGATGTGTAGGGCAAGTCATCGTTCGCGTCAGCATCGCTCGCCGTGGACTGGGTGCTGACATTCGCTTCGTCCGCGAAGAAAGGATCGGTTAAAGAGGCTGCTCATAATATGAATGCTGCGTAATACTTAATAAAATGGGCTGCTATGCTCAGGCTCCCGGTGCCGCGATGACAATTCTGAAACGGTGATGCAGTACCAAGATGAGACCGTATTCGGTTCCGACAGGCGGGGAAGATGTGTGGACGCTGTTCAAATATTCACTGACCTCAGACAACAGCATAAGGTGGCAAATGAAATCTAGTGCGCACTTCGCTACCCAGAAGCATGACGCAGTAACGCATGGCGGCGTTCTCATCCTTATGTACTTATTATAGGGAGAGAGACGGTCGTCGGCTAGTATGCCAGGGCCCTGCCAAGAAGTAGTACTAGTACTAGATAGTATCTGGCAGTGTAGCCGCCGCCTGCGCGACTCCACCCGACACTACTGGTAGTAGTATTGACCGTCACGGTGGATATTGAACGATAATGACCGATGCAGTAGGGAGAGGGAGAAGAGCGCTCTAAGCTTGAGCTTGAGGGACTCGGAATGCAGGAATGCTGATGCGGCAGCATGATGGAGGAGGACTGCGATCGGGCACCTCCGATTGGCGCCGAGTGCATCCGGACAGCGTACGCAGATGTCGCGAGGATTCTGGACGATGACCGTCCTTTAGAATGACAAAAAGGTCTAGTTCAGACACAACGAGCGTATCCTTCCTCGTCATCGCAGGACATGATAATTTACAAAAGCTAAAAGCAGGCCACGAGGTCTATGTAGTCAACGCGAGTCTACGAGGGCACACACGATAGATAGATCTTTCAGCCTATGTAGACGATGTTCACTGGTGCATCCATTGGCAAGAGGTAGAAGCAATGGTCATCTGATGTTCGTAGCAGTGTGAGATTACAAATAACGAATATTCTACAAGTACCATGTGCAATGGGCCAGTTCGCGCCCGCGCGCCGCCGGTTATTGATAGGAAAGTCCATCTTCGAACTAAAAGACAACTCTGGGGCTGCTGCCTCCGGGCGAGTGTCCTTCATGCACCTGTCATCTGCCCAGCAACCTCGCCGCTATCGGCAAATGGGTTGCTCTCCGAGTCATCCTCGGCAGGCTCAGACGTGAACTCTATGTCTCCACGTTCGACCATTTTCTGTAACTCGATGTCCGTCAAGACGGAGGCCTTGTCACTATTGATTAGGAAGCCCTTCGAGTCCAGCTCACAGATCCCGTACTCGGATGGTCGCGTCGTGTCGTCCTCTTCGAGTTCATGTACGGGACCAACTAGCATTGAGGGGACGTTGAGAAACAGTGGACTCGGAGCAAACATTGAGAAAAGTACGAACCTGAGGAGCCTGAAATATTGTTTACGCCATCTTGATTTGCACTGTTAGTCGGCACGGCATCGGCCAAGGCTGACCTAGCAAAAGCGTAGTCTGGCTGGGAGGCTGCTGACGGTCAATGCTGTAGGACGAGATGGGACTATGACGCAGCCCCTACCTGAGTTGGATGGAGATAAATGACTGGCTTGGGCCGGTGAAGACTCTCGAAACTTGTTGTTCCACATCTGCTTACTGCGCGCAATTTCTGACGAGACCTGACGTCATCATCATCAGCAAAGTCAGTCGCCGACAATGATAGCAGGTGATACTACATACCACAGTAAAATCGCTCAGCTCGACAGACCCCTTCCTGTACACCACGATTTCATCCCATTGTTTGCCCCTCGCGAAAAAGCCGCGCTTGATTGACAGCCTGCCTTCTTTGAGCCTGCAACCACATCAACGACTGTATAAGATACACATGGAGGGACTGAGTTCATACCCATCGTAACGCTGGTGCAAACGGTTGTGAAGGGGTTTGTCCATGTAGGTTTGCGTCTTCTCGAGTAGCTTCAGCGTCACACGTTGGGCCTTATCACCTTCCTTCAGCATGGATGAGGCCCTGAAGGACGCAGGGATGACGCTGAACAGTATAAACTGTGATTGCTTCTGCGAGCTATCAGAATCCGTGCTGATTTGGCTGACGCTGGCGTCGTTCAGAGACATCATGTTGAAAGCAATGCAAACGGGAGTGGAGGCAACGTAGATGGTTGGGGCAACTTGGTAGCACTGCAAGCGTATATAAATCACGGCTGACGCTGTGATAAATAAGGCATGTCAAAGAAAGGTAAATGCCTTGGATACGAACGACTGAAAACAAGATGCGTACCTCACATCAATTTGGAAGTCGGCTGTGCGTATAACTCGGATCCTCGCTCTGAGGCCGAGCTCCACCACGGTAACAATAGTCCTTATTGCAACGGTGCGCCAAGATGACAGTTCGACAGGACGTCTTTTACGTTGATTTGGAGAACAATGGCTCTTCGCTGGCCCATTACGTCCCTTCTTGTTAGGCCAGTCCCCCGGAACGACACCATAGGTTCCCGGCGGTCACATGAAGATGGACACCCAAGGCGGCATCACTTGAGGACTGGCAACGAAAAGTGAACCAAACAGCGAAGCACGACAGGGAGCTGCCGCAAGACGGGATGCTAGTACATGAATATTAGAAGACATGTCTCGGAGACAGCTGTAGTAACCTGTGCCAGTGGTAGTAACAAGACGGTGTGGACACGCGATCAGAGAGTTCCGAGTCTTGCCGCGTCGCCGCCGCCCGATCGCATGGGCGCTCGCCGCACTGACGCCCACACCGCCGTGACTTGAACAACAGCATTGGCTGAGACTGTCGTGCAGGAACCCCCAACTTGAAGTCTGTCTATCTGCGAAGTATGCTGCAACGCTGCCACTGTACTCCCCTCAGTCTACTTTGACTGATAACGGGTTGTTATGACTGCACAACCATCCACGACCGACGGTCAGGCTGGTACACCGGCCCCCAAAATCCGTGGTGGGCTCGAGGAGCATGAATACTTCTGGCGCGATCGACAGCCGTGGCTTCAGGAGCGCGGATATGAGCTCCGCCCACGTTACAGGCCAGACTGGAAGCCTTCGTGGTTAGGTAGCGGGAGGCCCTACGTCCTCTGCGAAGACGGCCAAAGCACACTGGTGCGCCCATACAGCGAACATCTCATGGTGTCATCTCAGTCCCCTGTAGGTGGATACCATCCTAGATGCAACCCGGCAATCCGACGGCCTGCTGGTGACATTGAAGGCAGTCAATAATGTCGTCCACCCGTTCGAGGTAGAGATTGGAGAGTTTCTGTCGTCTGAACAGATGGCACAGGATCCGCGGAACCACTGCGTGCGCATCCTTGACGTCCTACGAGATCCGATGGATCCGAAGGTATCTATCATCGTTATGCCTCTCCTGAAGCCATTCAGGGAGCCTCAGTTCTTGACAATCGGAGAAGTGGTTGCTTTCTTCAAGCAGGCCATCGTAGTGAGCACACAAGTCCCACGTCTTTGTTCATTCTCAGACCATCCAATTCCTAGGGCCTGCACTTCATGCACGACCATCATGTTGCTCATCGGTGACTACATTCTTCTTCTGACTCGGTTGCGAAGCTCACCTCATCTCCTAGGGACATCTCGATTTTAAACGTCATGATGGACGCAGTACCAATGTATTCGGAGACGTTATGGCACCCTCGCATGTCGGTATATACCCGTGACTTCTCGGGACCCGCGAAGCACTGGAGCCGCACCGAGCGACCAGTCAAGTACTTCTACATCGACTTCGGTCTGTCGCGCAAATACAACCCTGCAGACGCGCCACCGAGGGAGTTTCCAATTATGGGTGGCGACAAGAGCGTCCCAGAATTCCAAGGTGAAGGCTACGATGTGGCTTCCGATCCCTTTCGCACCGACATCTACTATCTTGGCAATCTCATGCGAACTACATTTTTGAATGTATGCTGTCTCGCATTTACAGTAATCCTTCTCAGCCACGCTAAATCGCACAATGTCCTACAGAAATATCGGGGCTTACACTTCATGCGAGAGCTCATATCCGACATGGTGCAGGACGATCCGGAGAAGCGCCCGACTATCGCGGAAGTAGAGGCGCGGTTCGACGAGATATATCGACGCCTTTCGTGGTGGACGCTACGAGCGAGACTGGTGGGAAAGACCGAGAGTGTGATCGTGCGTGCGGTGCGTGGTACGATGCACGTCTACCGGACAGCGAAGCTTGTCGCCCAGCGGCGGCCTGCCATACCCGTTCCCTCTTCATGATACACACTCTCATACCATTCACTACACTACGTCGTCATTGTTGTCTGCTGTCGATCTACTGTTGCCGGAGGATATCGCATTGTTTGGTTAATTTTTTGATCGGAGACCGTCGTTGAGTCGTCCTCATTGCTGCGCATCTCTTGTCTTCATTCTAGCAAAGATTATGCTCTGACATACTACTGCGCACGACTGGAATCAGTAGCAACATCTAAGTACGAAGTAGCCAATGTTTGGGCGGCCTGCGCTGCAGGCAAGTGGAAATCCCAACCGTGACTTGATACAATGTTCAACTTACATGATGTACAATCTTCAGGCTGCCAGTGCGTGTGACAAGTTCTTCGCTGCGCGAGAACTCTGCACCTGCCGAGGCTGAGCTCTGTATTCAATGGTCAGTGCTCAGCGCTCAGCAATGGGCCTCGCGAAAGCCGGTTGCACAACGTACAGCATGCAATGGTAGTCACCAGATTGGTACCGACACTACAAGACATATTCCGCCAGTACAAGACGGTAGTTCTGGTTGCATGAGAGTACCTTGGACGATCATGCGCAGTATTCCGGGACATACTGGCCCCACTAAGTATGTTCCTCGCGGCAGAGATGGTTGCTCATACTAGGCAACCGGCCCACTAAGCTCCCAATAGAGCATGGCTGAGGGCTGGCTGGGCGTTGAAACGTTGAATACTGATGCTTCTCGCCGGACAAGGAGCCTGAGAAGCGTGTGTCCATTGAGGGCAATGTCAAGCATTGACATGGACAGGACACCGAGGATCGGAGCTTCCCGGATCGCAGGCACCGCAATAAGCGTGTCCTAATCAGATGTACGCATTCAACTTTCTCGGTGCGGTTAAGTTCATACCGACAACACAATACGCACGACCCTGGACTATCATTGAGCAGTAATCGCAGCACGTACAAGTTGCGTACAAGTATAAATACAACGCACTTTCATCCACGTGTATCAGGTAGTAGCAACGCAGCAGTCACATCATTCTCCAAACTTCTCTTTCAGGTACTCCTCAAACGTCGTCCTCTTCACCTCCGGGAACAAATCCCAATGGCACTCCCACGGCGTCCGCCTGAACGTGCCCGACCCCTGGAGGCACTTAACCACGAAGTAGAAGTCGACGGGGATCGCCGAGCTCTTCGCGATCTCCTGCGGCGCCGCGCTCGCGTCCGCCGCGAACCGGTGCGCGTCGTCCGCCGAGAAGTGCCGGACGGTGACCTTGCGGCCCTTCGCGCCCGCGTACTTGCGCAGGAGCTCGACCATCGCGTTCTGCGAGATGGTCTCGCTTGGGAAGTTGAGGACCGCGTTGGCAGAGAGCGCGGGCTTGGCGAGCGTCGCGACGACGTAGTGTGCGATGTCTTTCCTCGAAGACCAGTCCGCGAGGGCGTCGCCGTCGCCGACGACGGGGACGTCGTACGTGTCGACGTCCTGGTCCCAGGGGCACCAGAAAGGCTCGGGTGGCTAAGCCGATGGTCGGAATTAGCACGGTGTGATTGTGAGGGTGGTCGTTCGAACCTGATCCCACACGTCGCCGGCACCGACGAGCGTGTACTCCAATTTGCCGGCTAGGACATCGGGATGCAGCTTCAAGTGCATTATGAAGCGTTCTTTCTCGTCCCAGAGCTACACAGATAAGTAGCGTGGTCAAAAATGTGAACATGCTCCATGGAGTCTGTCACATACAGGAAGAAGGCGCGACCCAGCGTCGCCCGGTGCACGGTAGAGGTTATGATGACCATATTCCGAGGGATAGAACCGCTTGACACCTGGGGGACGGCTACCATAAGCATAGGTGTGAGACGTCGAATAGGGTAAAGCACGAACCGGCTTTAATGGCTGCATCAAGCAGAATGTAGTGCGCCGCGTATCCACCTCCGTTGAGGACACTGACGAGCGCATCCACGCCGCAGAGATTTTCCACGAGGTCGTCCCCTCCTTTGGGATAGTCGCATTGCACGACCTGCAGTCGCGCATGATGCTTGTGTCTGTCGCCGAGGGAGTTTCCGGCGCGCATGAAGGCGAGCACTTTGGGCTTGTACCCTTGGACGACATCGTCCAGCAAGGCGTCAAGGAACGTGCTCCCGAGCATGCCGGTCGCGCCGAACAGCGCGACGGTGTCGAGAGGACCAGTTGCGCGAGACATTGGGTAGCTGAGGACCGAGAGGCAGTGATGTTTGTTCGCGAAGCTGCTGCGAAGACAGTTCCGGACACGGTCCTTTTGAAGTATTCGGAATCGCCCTCTGGTGTACGTTACGCCAACGGGCGCGTCATCGCTCGTACAAGTGGGGCGTCGGGCACCCAAGCCTCCGATCCCATACAAGCACCATGCATCAGCATCCCATGCTAGCCGTTGCAGCAGCTCGAGCAATATGGCGCTGAACGCTATGCTCGGATAGGATGCGACCCACTTGCTTCACCGAGTCTTGCCAGGCCTCGCGCATCGGCGACTCGACTCGTCCGGGATCGCAACCACTGCGAAAAAGATAACGGCATAAAACCAATATACTGGCTAGAGTCTGGGCAGTTCGGCAAATGTGCCCAATACTAACGTCCAGTACCCCCACCACGGTAGAGGACGGGTGAGATGCTGTTCAGCTTGAACACACAGGCGAAGACTGTAACCACGCTTAGTGGTCTATGCGATGCGCCTCGACTGATCGCGCCGCATCATAGAGTACGAGAGAAATGACCAAGGAGGAACCAAGACGCAGGCATCCCGGCATAGCCCTCGGTCGCACAGTAGCACCGTGCATCATATGAATCGAGGGACATACCATCGCACAACCCGTCTCCGTGAAGCAATCCTCGCTTCTAACAGCGCGTATTGCGTACCATATTCGCCCCACGCTCACCCGGGAGAATCCCATACGTGTATGTCGAGGCCGGATACTGCTCGTGGATGAGCGGAAGTGAGGACTTGGTGAGAGTAAGTACTGGCCCCTCCGGCCCGGGTAGCCGGGAATAGCAAGCAGTTTTTGAGTCTACCAATTTTGTTCCCACGGTCACTGAAACTCACAGCTCCTCTGTCTCCACACTGACGTTACCTTGGCCTCTCTACATTGCTACGCTGTAGATGCAACATGCTCGCCGAACCTACGGAAAGGCACTGCGGATCGCCCAGCATGCCCTCCGGAAAACGTCGCTGAAGCCCGCCTTGCCATTCCGGCCATGCTCGGGCCAGTACGTCGCGTCGTTCTCGACGAACTCGGGCGACAAGGATGCTACCAATCAAGACACACAAGAGCAGTCGAAGGATGACAGCGGTGCTACGACGTCGTCAGAGGGGCCGAGGGTGGGCAGACTGGATGAGATGAAGCGGAAGCAGTGGACGTACACGGTGCGTGCTTTGCTCGGTGTCGCTCTTGCGGACCTAGGCTGAGTGCGGCGAAACCAGTTGGAAGAATTTGAAAAGTTACAGGAGATCCTGCCAAGGGGTTCTAATCAGCCACAGGACTACGCTGTGCTTGATTCAGCTGCCGCACACTCTGGTACCACTGGCCTTTCACCCTTTGCACGCGGCGCTCGGACACAAGTACTCAACACGAAGGATGTCCGGTTGGCTGAGGCCTTCGCGTCGAGCATCGTTGGCGAAGATCCGTCACCCCAACAAGGCGAGCGGGATCAGCGATCGGTCACAGTCGCTCAAGCCCTTCCGCCGTTCCCGGACATACCACCTTATTCGCGAGACGTCCTCACGGACGAGCAAGCCCAGACCTATCTCGATCCGTTGTACGGTCGAGGGTGGTATGTCTCCTCCACTGCTGACGCGGAGGGCAACAATGAAAAGGTTCTGACAAAAGCGGGAACGTTCAAGACCGAGGCCTCGGCTCAAACTTTCATGCTTGACATGCTGCGCGCTTGCCACAAGGAACTGGTGCGTACTGCCTGCTGGATCGTCACTTCCTTGCTCACTGGTAGCAATGTCCTTGTTTGTTTTAGACTGCTGCGAAGGAGCCATTGAAGGCTAAGTCCTTAGCGGAGCAGCTTATGAACGAGGTGGTGCACAGAGAGTCGGTGCGTGATGCCCACTGGATCGTCACTTAGATTCTCAACTAAGGCGAGATCAACTCGCGGTTCAGGCTGACACGAAGTATACTGTCACTCGAGAAGGGCAGAGCCTCACGTTCAAGACCTACACCGCGAACGCCGTTATCCCAGGTGTTGCGACCGAGGCTCCCGAGCCGCAGTCCCAATCCAGCGTCACCCTACAAGACGTCCGTCTGGCGCTTATCATCGAGCACATGTGGGAGCTGCAAGACCGACTCGGCTTCACGAAGGTAGGTTCCTCGGAGCTCGCGCACGACCCCCGGTGGAACCCCTCGTCACTGGTCCAACCTTCGCCTCCATCACCGTCACCGCCCGCATCGAGCGCCGCCCCTGCCACGTCGACCAAGAAACAGAAAAAGCCTAGGTGCTTCCGATGCAAGGGTCGTCATCACGTCCGCGACTGCCCGGAGCCTCAGAAGCCACCCACCTGTCTGGCCTGCAACGGCCTCCACCACATCAACAACTGCCCCCAACGGGCGACGGCGAAGCCGCCGACTCCATGCTGGAGATGCGGGAGCCCGGACCACTGGTCCATCGACTGCACCGGAAGGAAGCCGGCCGACGGGGAGGGCCGCGTCCAGCTCGCCAATCGGAAGTGCTACATCTGCGGCAGCGTCGGGCATGGCCCGCGGGACTGCCCGGAGCGCGCCACCCGCCCGCCCAAGCACCCGTGCTCGCTGTGCCACAAGGACCACTGGGTGTATGACTGCCCTGAGCTGAAGAACCGTCCGGACTTTCTGATCAGGGATTGCTCGTATTGCGGCGGTTTGCACTTCGTGTCTCAATGCCCGCGCGTGCTGAAGAACCGCCGGAAGAAGGGAAAAGCGAAACAATGATGTGGCGTTCGGCATGTGTCGACCGATGGGACGCTGCCCCTGATGTCGGTACATTTTACATCAGCCCTCGTCCGATTCTCATCTTCGTGTTTTCTCGGTAGAGGCCATCGCTGGTAGACAAGCACGACGTCGTCTCCTCCGTTGCTTGTGAGAACCGATGTACTGCCGAGGAGGCTATTGCAGGGGAGACTCCCATGGTCAGCCACCTCGAAGCCGGCTCTCAATGAGAGGATGAGCGTTGGGAATGCATCTTGAATCGTGATGCGGGGCGATCTATGTCGACATACTCTGAGACGTACAACGATGCATGTAGTCTTATGCTGCCATCAACAACTTACTATCCCCCACACACATTTTCGGAAACGAAAAGACAACGCAGCTTCCATCAGGACATTGCCCACATCCACCCCGACACCTCATGCACCCACAAGAAAAGTACAAGCACGCTGCGTCGTCGCGGCGCGCCGCGGAGTCAGAATTAGCGCACACGTCCCGTGATCGGCGCCCCGCAATCTGAAGGCCAATCGGAATGCTGATCGGGCGTCGGTCCGCGTGGTCGGCGAGTCGCGCGGACCCACAGCGCCAAACACGGCGCAACACGCGGGGACAGGCGCTTGCCAGGCTTCCTGCAAATCTTGTCCCTCCACTGTGCTGCCCATGACCATCGTGATCATTTGGTGTCGTACCGTGCTGAGACCTCGCAGTGCAAGATGATCTACTCCTGAAACCTCTTTCTATGATCGCTAAGGTGGCCGATACACATCAATTCAATCTGGGTCCCGATCGCCTGCAAGTCGCCTGGGTGGATCAGTGCTGCAATCTTCCTGCTGGGCGTATACTCTTACTGTTGTTATCGGAGAGTAGGCCTTATCACACAATTGGAATACAATGCAAGCCCTTTATACGTTCCGCAAGCGACGTTTGACTACAGCATCAACAGACCGACGACCCGGGAGCTAGACAAGATCCATCCAACCCAGCCGAGAGGCTATCCGTCAACGACCGGCCACTTGCACACACCATATCAGCCCCTCTCCCACTCCGTATGCGTTGAGACGACATACCTGTGAAGCACGACAAGAGACGACAGTCGAAGAGCGTCTACTTGCTCTTGGGGGGCTCGGCGCAGCCGCAGGCGGGGTAGGTGCAGGAGCCGCCGTTGGCCTGGACGTTAGCGCAGGTAGCCTTGTCCTGTTACCCCTGTCAGCCACAGCCTGGATCACCACGTTGACCAGAACACACTCACAGACATGTTGTTCGAGAGTTGGGTTGGAGAGGTTGGGTTGGTGAGTGGTTGTGTAGTCGAGGACTGGGGATTGCTGGTGCTCACGACCGCCTTTTATAGACCTCGACGCGCTTCCAAGGCGGCCGGTGTGGTGACTTCGCCCGTGTCGAAGCTGACGCGGAGTCCGTCGAGCTCACAGGTTGTGGTCCAATGGCCGAGCACCATTTGGTCACGATTTCCAATGCACTGCCCAACATAGGACGACACAGGTACATTTGGCCCCAAGACGTCCCAACTTCATGGCGATGCTCGTAACGGCACCGTTCTCATTTGCCAGGAAACTATAATCATGAGGTAACCTCCCCGCAAACCGTGCACATCCAGGTACTCACGTCCCGCGGCGAAGTATGGCGGTGCACGTCTTATCGCCGCCTACCACTCTCGAAGTCGGAGTCACAGTACTTCTTGTGGTCTTTCAGACGTTGTGAGCGACCTTCCTGTGATTGATACTCTGCATGCTGTAACATTTCCGTTACTCAGGCCTCTCCTATCATACACGTTGCTATTGTCACAATCATGACTTCCCGTGGCTCGCGACGGCGATCACTCCTTGGCCCATTTGGGAGGTTCGTCCTTGCCCTCGTCCTCCAGCTTCTCGCCTTGTTCCAAAGTATCGTGAACCGTGTCTGCCTTGTGCTCTGCGGGGGCATAGACCTACGTGGGTGCTGTGGTGAGCTGAGTACACTGGGTAGGGTGAAGTGACATACAGTGGTCACGATGAGCGGCGTTGGTCCGATGTTGACGAACTGGGAATTTGATGTCAAGTGAGTTCTTGTTGAGTCTCGCCGACGCGTCGGACTCACGTTGTGCAGCGTTCCGGCAGGGATTACGACGTGGTCGCCTGAGGCGATGTCTTCTTTCTGCCAAGGCAAATCAGCAGGTCGTCCAAACTGGGATCTTCGCCGCGCACCTTCTTCCCATCCGTGATGACTTGTGCAGTGCCAGAGACGAAGTAGAGGTGCTGGTCTACACTATGCGTCTCCTATTGACAGGGATGCATTTAGGCCATGATTCATGGGTATCGGCAACCTGCGTACCTCGCCAATCTCTCCGCCAACAGGTACAGTCATGATGACAAGCTGGCGAGCGAATCAGCTCGATATATGCGGCCGAAACGACATTTCAAGGCTACCTGGCTGTGTTTTCCGGTGAAGAGGACCCTCCTGAACTTGTCACTCTCGGCGGCGATCTTCGGAAGATTGTGGAGGACCAAGGCACTCCTGGGCGGCTGAGTGTTTGGTTTTGGGAGCGTCATCTTGCAGCGGAATTGGATGCGGGCAGGGAGAGGAGACGGGCAGAAGCAGGGCGGGCAATGAGGGGAAGAGACAAGGGGGCATGGCAGGGTGCCCGCGCTGTCGACGGTATATACCAGAGCTCGTCACGACGTGTCTGCCTTCACGATGTGCGCCCGTAAAATGGAATAATATCATTTTCCGACCAATCTGGCATGCCCAAGTTGACGTTCAATACGCATGATGTCATCGAAGCGAGTGCAGGCTCCGCACGCCCGATCGCGAGTCGACGGTGAAGCGAACCAGCTCAGCTCGCGTAGGGAAAGTAAGAATACAGCATTGATATATCCATCTAAGTGTGAGCACCCCGCACAGTAAAATCTCAAATACAAAATCACTACGCCTTCGGCAATCCATCCGCACCCAGCAGCGCCTCCTCCGCCCCAAGTACCTGGGGCCGTCGCCGACCCTCGTGTGGATCAGGTTCTTCACAGCGCCCACGCCGAAAGGCTTCGCCACTGCAGCGTTGAAGTCTCGACGACCTTGCCCTGCACACCAGCGCACCGAACAGCCCGAAGGGGTCCTTGAACGACTCCGCCTGGGGGAAGTAGTTCACGATCAACTCGACGATCTCCTTCAGGTTCTCCTTCGGCGCGTAGATGACCGCGTTCGGGCCCGCGTCGTACGTGTACGCCGCCTTGAGCTTCCCGCCGGCCGCGACGGCGACGCGGTTGTACTCGACGACGAGCGCGATGATCGCGCGCGAGACGTCGTTCATGTAGAAGATCGGCGGGTCCGTGTCGAGCGCGACGGCGTGGAACTGGTTCGAGTCCTGCATCGTGATCCGCGCGAACGCGTCGAAGTCGCGCGCGAGGATCGCCTCGCTGATCGCCTTCATGCGCGCGGGCACGACGTGCTTGATGCGGTGCTGGAGCAGCGCCGAGGTCTCCACCGTGCGCTGCATGCCCGAGGTGGACGACGTGCCCTTCTTATCGTCTGAGACGACGCAGATGAGGGCGTGGATGCTGGCCAGTGCTCACGTGGTGCGACCTCAACGGCGAGCGAGTCGGAGCCGTCGGCCTTTGAGCCCATTCCCAAGCTACGAACCGCCGAAGAGCGAACGACAGGCAGAGCCGGAGCCCTGGCGCGCGATGAGGGAGAGTTCAGAGGGGGAGGCGGGGAGTTGGTAGAGAGCAGCGAGCGAGGAGACGAGTGCTGCAAAGCCCGAGGCTGAGGAAGCGAGGCCTGCCGCGGTAGGGAAGTTGTTTCGCGAGGAGATGTGGACGGCGTACGTCGAGAGCTGGACCGCAATACCAGTTCACTATCTCAACGTACATTGGAAGCCTACACACACGCACCTTGGGTAGACAGAGTCCTTCCCCTCAACCTCTTTCCGCATCCGCTTCATCTCCCGGATGCACGTCGCAAGCCGGCCCACCTCCTTAATCTCCTCCTCGACGCCATTCAACCACAGCCTATCCTTCTCAAACGCAGGGTCCGCCTCGAGGTCGTCGTCGAGCGTAGGTGGTCCTGGTCAAGCGTAACCGAGAGGGACGAGTTCGTCGGAAGGATGAGCTTCGTGTCCCGCTTGCCCCAGTACCTGTCCGCGCCAGTCAGTATCGCATACGCACCCCTATCCACGCACAGCAGCTCACTTGATGCACGCAATGTTCACGGGGGCAGACGCAGTCGCTTGGTAGACGGCCATGGCAGATGCGGGGATGGGGGGAGACGGCGAGGAGCAGGCATGGCTTTTGTACGGGCCTCAGGCCATTGCACCATGTCTGAAATCTCGAATCGTACGGCTACTGGGCGCCTACGCGCTCGTCTCTGCACTTATCTGATTCGGGCGTCGAGCCTGCTCATACCACACCGCCGGTGCACAGTAGCCTAGTCAATGAACAGAGATGTAGGCCTCGGAGCGCAGACTCGGGCGAGTGTCGGAGGTTTGAGAAGATTTCATATAGTATAGGACAAGACGTACACGCACATGCTACAGTTTGCAGGGTGTTCAACGCGACACGACACGGACGAGGACCGGAAAGCAAAGCAGAGACAGAACGGACGTGGGATTCGGACAGACGACCAAGACGAGGATGTACGAAGCTCAAGACACAAACAGACAAAATGCAAATAACAAGAACAGTAATGAACATTATCTTAAAGAAGAAGGGACACGGCTTATCACACGGAAACGCGAAGGATACGCCCTGCGGCATATTTACAAAAAGGAAGTATATGCAGGGAAGATGAAAGAGGGCGGAGGTGGGATGTACGATGCAGGGTATGTGGTGGTGCCATGATACCCCCTATGCGTGTGCTCTTGACGACTCGGGGAAGACGGGTGGAGGGCGAGCAGGCTGCGGCTCTTTCGGAGGGCGTACGCGGAACTCGGAGACAATGCACAAGTGGCTGCGGGAACGGATCAGCTCACAATTTGTAGGTTCCAGATCATATGTACTCACTCTGACGGGAAGTGGGCGTTCGGGAACCCGACGACCTTCTCCAAGTACGCATTGTCCACCTCTCCGAGGACGGCGTTGACAGACAAGTTCGACATCGAATACCAAATGTAGTCGATTGGGCCCTGGAAGCTCGGTGTGTAGTTCGTCATCGGAGGCTCGCCCGTCGCCGCATATGCGCTCTTCAAGCCCAGTCGATGCCTCAAGCCTTCCGACGTGTACTTCCCGTACGTGTGGCCCATGAAGTCCGCATGGTTGTGTGCCACGGAGCCGTTCGACAAGAACTCGTACACGCCGCTAGCCGGCAACGAGTTGAAGTCACCACAGATGATGAGTGGGATCTTGGTGCCATCCGAGTACACAGGCGGTGGTCGCGACGACGCGTTGTGATCTCCTGCACCGGGGGTGTTCGCGCCGCCACCGGCTGATGAGGGAGTAGGAGGTAGACGGGGCGGGTACCTGGCGAACCCGCTCGCCATCTTTTCCAGCTCCTCGACGAGGAGAGCGACCTGCACGAGCTTGACATCGCGGAAGTTCGGATCCCAGTGGATGTGCGCGTTCGCGACGATGAAGCGTGTCCCGGTGTGCTTATTCTCGAGCAGACACACGACCGCGATGTGGTCCTTGCCCAACACGCGATTGAACATGTCGTCCGTCTTCTTGAAGTCAGAGCGTTGCATGGCCGCCGCGCTGAACTCGACGAGGTGCTTTTCAACGAGTGTGTACCTGACCCAGCAGTCAGAAACATACAAGCAAGCATTTAGTCTGATACTCACTTTGACGCCTTGTAGAAGGTCGCACACCCATCAACAAGCCTCCTGTCCGCCTCACTAATCGTCTTGTACCGCGACTTTGGCCAAAACACCCCCTCGTAATCCCGCTCTGACATGTTCGGCGTGAAGTACTCCTCGAAGTTGGCGATATCCACCTCCTGCAAGCACACGAAGTCGGATTCGTGCGAGAGAATCTCCGCGAGGATAAGCTCCTTCCGGTAATCCCACTCCAGCGCCCACGACGGGGTGTACCCGTAGATCCGCTCTGTGGCAAATCGATCACAGAGAATGTTGTAGCATAGCGCAGTCACCGTCTCCACATTCGGATCTGCCTTGTACGCTTCCCGCTCCGCTGTACTGATAAGATCCACCCATTGTCGTTCTGATGGTGGGTTGGGACTAGGACACGAGTCGCGGAGGTACGAGATCAGTGCGGGCGTGCCGTCCTTCTGCACGATCTGCTTGTACGACGCGTCCAGCGGATTGCCCTCGATCCCGAGTGTCTGCAGTTGGTGTAGACTACCGAGCTCGGACGGGATAGTCGTGAGGTGGTTGTCGAACAGATACAACTCCTTCAGCGACGTTAACATGCCGAGCTCGGACGGGATGCTGACAAGGTTATTGCCCGACAGGTCCAGCAGCTCGAGGTGCCGCAGCTTCGCAATCTCCGGAGGTATGCTTGACAGTGAGTTATGGTTCAGGTACAGGTTGATGAGGAAGGTGAATGAGAAGAGACCAGACGTCCGCGGTATGCTCTTGATGTTCACGCCGCCCATGTCCAGCGAGCTCCAAGTGTTACCCGTAGGCTTTGGTGCAGTGGGACGGGACGCCTCTGCAACGGGGGCCACAGTAGCTGTGGGATGGTCGGCGCCGTTTGCAGTCGCATTGGAGGCCGCCGGCGATGCCGCGCTCGCGGAGGTCGTGGAAGGAGATGCAGTCGATGCACCGTCGGCATCCTTCGAGTGGCCATTGGTCTCTACTATCTTGATGGCGTTGGGATTCGTGATGGGGATCGCGGCCTTCTGCACTGTACGAGAAGCCATAGCGCTCGCGCGCGCTCGATGGTGAGGTGAGCGCGACGCCCGACTCATCTGACATCGAGTCAGTCTTTGTTCTGCGCAAGTAGAAACGAAGTTGCAGACGAAAGACAAGTAGGTCAAAAGTGTAGGTCAAGTAATACAATAAGATGCGAATAGTCATTCGAGGAAGGGCGAGGAAGGATATCTCACTTCCGCTCGACCGGCCTCACTAGAACGCTACCTTTAGATCATCATTGACGCAGCGGTCTGCGACAACGGACCAAAGCAAGAAATAATGCAGTGGAAAAACGCATAGCTGTGAATCGAACTGGAAGGAACTACTCACCTCGCACTTCAACAACTGTTGCTGCCAGTGAACGGTCATCTGTGGTGCCGCCACGCTCCCCGGAGAACCCGTCTGCCCCAAACCATGTCCAGGCATCCCATTTCCATTTGGTGGTGACGGAAAATGCGTGTGCGAGAGCGAATTCTGGTGGTGGTGATGGTGCGCGAGCGGACCCGGCATGTGCGCGTGAGGATGGTGCTGCATAGCGCTTAGTGCGCCATTAGTGAAGAGGGGGTACGCCGGGGATGTCGGAGGCTGTCCATGGCCAGGAGGCCCTAGCACAGGGTGGTGTTGACGCGACCAGGGTGACTGATCATGGACGGGAGGATGTTGATGTGCAGGGAGCTTGTGGGCAATGCCCGGGGACTGTTGCGGATAGTACATCGCATTGGAAGCGAGGGTCGCCACAGTTTCAAAACCAGGAGGATAGGTGAACGAAGGAATGGTCGTGGTCGTGAGGAAATGGTCGTGGTCGTCGTGAAAGACAGCGAGCAGATGGTGGAGAGCAGTGAAGAGAGGAGTCGGCGAGGCGTAAGCGTCCGCTGACTCAGCAGGCCCGCCGCTTTTGGCAGATCAGATCAGGATCTGAGCAGTGCACCGCGCTACAAATTCGGAAATGCGCAACATCAGGCAACATCGCAGTTTCTCTGGCAGTGACACACGACGACATCATACGGGTCCTCTACTGTGAAGGCTTACTGCATATGCATTGATGTTGCTTCTAACAGCATGTGCCTGCCCCAAGACTCGATGGCATACTTGCAATCCCAGCCTGTCACGGTACTAGTAACTTGAAGCACCTTCCGTCCTTCCGTTTGCCCATCCGCAAATTTGGAGTCCACTTGATCACATTTTCAAGCGGTGACAGTAATGTGATCTGTACGGACAAATTGACTCGCTTAACATACTGTTTGCTCATTAATGTAGCCTCGGAGACGTTTCGCCACTGACAGGGACCAATTTAATGCACGTCGATTATCACAACCCTGCAGTCCGTTGATTACAATGTAAGTATACTGGTAACCTGTGTGCCCAGCGGTATCATTCCCCCTCATGACGTATAAAGCTCAGCACTTGTGTCGCCGGCGACATCTTTGGTGTTCCAACCTAGACGTCTGGTTAACATAGGCTTAGCGGACTTCGAGATGCACGACGACAGACATACTCACCCACTACTCGTGAATTTCCGACATACTCCTCTGTATGACATTCCCGGGAAACGCCTCCGCAAAGGGCATGGAACGGAGGACGATCGATTCTTCGAGATTTCTCGGTATTAGTGCTACCTGGAGCCGAGAGTTTTCACCGACTGCCGCCAAGTCGACGGTTGATACGATGATCGCCGGGTTGTTGTGGAACGGGTTCAAAGCTGCAGATGCGGCATAAACATACTGTTCGCTTCCACTTCCGCTAGCAGCCGCCGTCGCCGGCTCTCCTGCAAATCCATCGAGTCAAACAACAGATGACTTACAGCAGGCTAGAATGACTACTTGCCGCTGGGGTCACTGAATGGATCATCTCTTACATTCCCTTGACCTTCATTGGAAGAACCGGCATTGGTAGGCGAAGTCGGCAATTGTGCTACGTGTTAATGATGTCGTGTCAGGCATATGTACAGGAGCGGCGTTTAAATCCGTACCAGAAGAGCCGGAAGCCTGGGGTCTGGAGCTTGTCCTCGATTCGCTTGTCTTCTGGACGCTGTTCTTATCCCACATTGTCAGGCTACGAGCCAGGCCTGACGATCTCTGCAGGAACATAAGAGCCAGGCGACGACGATACACTTAATTTTCATAAGACGTACTATGACGTCCATGTTCAAAACAACGACAGATTCCTCGTGCTCCTGATGACGGCGGCGGTTAAGGCGCCCCTTGGTTTTGCCGTCATGCACCAGGATTTCTCTTGCGACCACAAGTCTATCGCCCTGACATCAGCTCAAACATAGGGATGAAAGCAATCGCACTCAAGCTCACCTGTCGTATCTTTCGTGCAATTCACTGTGAGTCGCGGTATCTATTTTATCTTGATGATCTTCTAGTAGCTTGAGTATGTCGGCTAGGATTGCATCAGTCGGTGCTAAAGCAGTCTCCGCCTTGGAGGGGTGGGGTTTGTTTGTACGCTTGGAAAGGAGGACAATCGTTTCCGCTATCGTGGCAATATTAGCTCCCACCTGTAGGAGGCCACTGGCTACGGCGACGAAGGGAGACATGGTGTCGAGTTAGAAGTGTGAATATCAGTGAAGGATTGTTCCGCTTGCACCGAATCCGTCCTGCCCACAATATATACACGCGGAATGTGTGGGAGTAGAACTATCATAGGTGGCGGTACGGAAAACGTACATAGTTACCAGCTGCGTTGTAGATGCAAAGACGTTTCAGGAACGCTGTAACGTACGACGCGATGGAGCAAAAGCTCCCATCCTTGTTCTGCATCGGTCTTGATGTGAGCAACTGCCCTTAACTTCGGTGACATGAGGTCCACACCGCCCGTTTGACGGGGCGCTGTACAGCTCGTAATCTCTTGCGATAATTGTGCACTTACGTGATGAGTAGACAACGTCCACTTGATTGAGACCTCAGGCCTCCGAGTCAGGTCCGGCCTTCTCGATTGAGGCTGTCTCCATGAGGTGATGCCCCGGCTTTTGTTCTCTGAGCGAGATACTAGTCTCGATGTGCACCCCACGACAAGCCACGACCACCGTGTTACACGCACAAATGTCAGAAAAGCTTGTACCTCCGAGCCGCGAAGGTCGCCATTTAGACTCGAACAGACTGGATTGCGATTCAGTCTAATCGCTGTGTTCAAGTTCTGTGTCCGATTTTAGGCAACGCACTGGAGACAAATAGTCCGAAGCAGCTATGTCCAAGCTAAGGTTCGGTCGTCCAGAGCAGTTTGAAGCAGGCCTGGTTCGTACGCGTATGCCAGGCTACGCTCGACCTGGGCGGAATGGCATCAGACATGTGCTTCCGCTCCTCGCACGCTACTTTCTGGGCGCTCATCAATGACAGTACTTAGCGCCGAAAGGTTACGTTGAACGTTGACACGGCGTTTTTGTCGCCCTTTGTTGTGAGCGTGGGTACATCAGTCTTGCACGGAGACAATTCGTTCGGGGCGGTTGGGATGCACACCCTGTCCCTGTAGTCCAACAACACGACTCCCTCACAAATCTCACCCGACCAGCACCGGCAGACCCATCCCCGAATGCACCTTCCATGACTAGCGTGCCCTCAGAAATGGCGGAACCGCCGCCAACTCTTGACTTCCGTCATGGCGGACTCAACGACCGTGAACGCGCATGGCGCGATCGACAACCCTGGCTTCAAGAGCGCGGGTACATGCTCCGACCGCGCTATAGACCGGACTGGAAACCATCTTGGCTCGGCACAGACAAGTCCTTCATAGGGTGTGAAGACGGACTAACTATTCTCGTTAGTCTTCACTTAACGCTCAATCTTGCCTCTCTCATGATCAGGCTCCTTTCTGTAGAGCGGCAACATACTTGATGCCACCAGGATATCGGACGGCACGTTAGTGATGCTCAAGCAGGTGAACTCTCGTGTTCATCCTCATGAAGTGGAAATCACACGGTTCCTATCCTCTGAGCCCGTTGCCTCTGACCCGCGCAATCATTGTATGCGTTTGGTGGACGTTCTTCCCGATCCAAGCGAGCAGGATGTCTCCATTATTGTGATGCCCCTTCTGCGAAGGTTCAACAGTCCTGACTTTTCAACTGTGGGGAGGCAGTCGCTCTGTTCAAACAGCTCATCGAGGTGAGCCAGTTGCCTGCCGTTGCCGATGTTATTGCACTGACCGCTACTATTTGCCCAGGGATTGCAATTCATACATGCACAGCATGTCGCTCATCGGTAAGCTCGAGCCATTCACGCGAGTAAAGGAATGACACTCACTGCTCATAGCGATATCACCATTCTTAATGTCATGATGGACGCATCGGCAATGTATCCAAACATGTGGCATCCCCAGATGCCTATCTTCAACCGCGACTACTACTCCGGATCCGTGAAGCACTACAGCCGGACCGAGAGGCCACCGAAGTACTACTACATCGACTTCGGGCTCTCCCGCAAGTACAATCCGGAAGATGGGCCTCCTCGTGAGCTGCCTATCCGCGGCGGAGACAAGAGCGTTCCCGAGTTCCAAGGTGAAGGATACGACAAACCGTGGGACCCATTCCGCACGGATATTTACTACCTGGGCAGTTTGATCCGCGAGGCGTTCTTGGAGGTGAGTCATCTCCCGCTACGTCTAGCGTGCACGCTCACAGCCGCTACAGAAGTATCGTAACGTGGATTTCATGCGGCCGCTTGTCGACGACATGGTCCAGGACAACCCAGACAAGAGGCCAACCATCGACGAGGTCGCCTCAAGATCGGAACTGCTCTTCGGTCAGCTTTCATCGTGGAAGCTACGAGCCAGGCTCGTGGAGAGAGAGGAGACGGCGTTCACGCGGACCACGCGTAACATATCGCACCTTTTCCACACGGCGCGACACATCGTCAGACGTCTACCTGCTGTCCCATTACCATCGAAATGATATCAGCTATTCCGTTCCTTCTGCTTCTAATATGGTCTTCCTGGTATTTGGTCTGCATTACTGAAGGTCCAATGTATCCTTACCTGATGCTGTGATTTTGTAGCCGCCGTCTGACATCTGTGGGTGCGAGTTGGACAGTCATATGAGATTATATTGGGTATGTAATGCGACCAGCGGTAGTACATGAATACGATATAAGGATACAACAATAGCAGAAGAAGTGAAATATTTTAGTCGAGTCCTCCGCTCGTCTGAGCAGTTGCCACAATCATTGGCGTCTGTCTGTACGCGTACAAACAAGCAGGATCCGAGACGGCCGGTTTCCATTCTTGTGGGTTCTGGGAATTAAAATGCGCGCCCGGTTAACAACCATAGACTTAAAATTACCGACACTACGTACCCGTCACTCGGTTCGTCCAGTCGCATCTCAATGTATCACACCGCCAGGGAATGCTTCAGAAAAAGACATGCTTTGGAGGATGATCGTCTCCTCAGCGTCCAAGTTCCTGGGCATGAGTGCCATGTTCAGCTGATCCTCAGCGACGGAAGCCTGCAAGTCGACTTCTGACAAAACAATCGCTGGCCGATCACGGAATGGGTTCTCGTCGGGCGTTGCGAGGTAAACATGCAGTTGAATTGGGACATTGGTTGCCTCGAGCGGCGTTCTCGGGATGTCTATGACATGCGAATTTCAACCAAACCTATCGAACGATGAAGCGAATGTCTACTGACTGCTTTGATCCGCAGGCCTTCCTGCGTTGGAATCTGACGGCAATTCGTGGCGAGTCTCACGAGACGTTCCTGCCGAGAGCAGTCAGATGATATGATACACAGGCTGCAAATGATGGTTACCATTGGGGGTTCGTCCAGCGTCCGGAGGTCCAGATCCATTTGTGTTCCGTTTCCTGGTTTCCTTCACATCTCGCATGTGTGCTTTCCTCGCGAGTTGGGACGATCTCTGTAAGTACAGTCACATAAGACTTCGGCTAGCAAATAGTAGGCTGACGGTACTTAGAACCGTGGCATGTCAGTACACGTACCTTAGTTTCCTTATACAACTGAACCGCTAGCTTTCTGAACGCGTACATCGCATTGAACAACATTTTGAGCTGCTTGGGGTCTTGCCGCCAGCTAAGATTCATCCGCTCTCTGGTAACGAACAGTCTGTGTTTTGATTCAGCGATACGGCTCATTGTCACACCAAAGCACACCTACTCCTCGAAGTCGCTCTGCAGCTTGTCATGAGTGTGTATGTCCATGATGTCTTTCATGTCGTAGAGCAGTTTCTCCGTCTTCTTCTGTTTTGCGTCGGCTTCCACGAGAGCTCCAAACGGTGTCAAAGACCCAGTAATCTTGCCTAGACAGAGAAGCGGCTTCCCGAGTCCACCAGCAATGGTGGTGAAGTTAGCTCCTAACTGTGCAACGTCGGTAAATGTGTCCCAGCCGGAGGACATGTTGAGCGATGAGTATGATCGAATCCCTTATTCTTCGTTTCTCCTGGATGATATAGAAAGGCCAGGCGCTCGGATGCAGCGATTGTGTACAACGTGCACCAGCTAGGGAAAAACCCTGGCATCTGGTTACCGTGTACATCCGATGGAAGTCGGGAAGCGAACGTAAGCTACAAGGATGTCCGATCAATAAGTCTTGTTGTCTTGAGCCGCCACTGATTGTCAGCGTACGTACGGTAACTGACAGACGACCCCTCGGATCTGCGTCAAGACTTGAACAAATTCTACACCGTTTTGATAGACACATACCATGGTATCGGCTGCAAGATTTGCTCTCAATTGCGGAAAAATGGACAATGGATTTTGCGCTGTGCCAGTACTCTTGTAACACTGTCATGTGTTCCTGTCAATCCGTCCGATGCACACTCGCATGCCGAGGGGATCATCATTCCAATTTCCCACCAACCTGAGAGGACTGACCGTGATAGACATGATTCGGTTATTGAGGGCATGCACTTCAGGCGTCCTAAGGTGGACCTGAACCCTTGAGAAAAGAAGTGTCCCGAGATGGGATAGACAAAGGCGGCCGCGACACGTAAGTATTCACGCAGCACCGTGCTACGCTGAGGCGGTGGAACAGCCACCATAGGAAAGCGAGTGGGCGCTCAAGCAAGCGCGCACGGACCTTGTTGGCCCATCACTGTGAGGATCGCAACAGGTACTGCTTACAACGCGGACCGTGGGTATGTATTGCTCTGAGACTCGACTTGGACACAATGAGCTCTGACTCAACTATTGTGAGCGCATCCATCCCTTCTCTTCGTCCCCGGCGCACAGACCTAAGTATCACTTATCACCTCAGCAGCTCTGAGCACTAGCCCTCTACTCGTAATCGTCGAATGTACGCGCGATGACAACTCAATCCTCCGATGCAACGCCTCCACCTGGTCGTCTCCACGGCGGGCTCAGACCTCACGAACATTTCTGGCGAGATCGCCAGGTTTGGCTCGAGGAACACGGCTATATGCTTCGGCCGCGATACAAGCCTGACTGGCAACCATCCTGGCTTGGAACCAGCAAATCGTTATTATCATGTGAGGACGGCCTGGCCATCATTGTAGGTCTTCATTGGGTCACTTATACCGGAACATAACGACTTCATACCCTCTGCAGACCGGCGGTGTTCTGGATGCCACGAGGATATCGGACGGCGCGATGGTTATGCTCAAGAAAGTGGACACCGATATACACCCCTACGAAGTGGATCTCGGACACTTTTTGTCGTCTGAAACTATGACATCAGACCCGCGCAATCGTTGTGTTCGCACGTTGGATGTCCTTCCTGACCCTGTGGAGGGTAATATTAAGATCATTGTCTTACCCCTCCTCCGACAATTCGATGATCCAGACTTTGCCACCGTCGGCGAGGCAGTCGCATGTCTACAGCAGGTGATAGAGGTACGTTTGCTTCTGTGTCTGACCAATCTCTCTCGGCTTATCCTTTCGTCGGTATAGGGACTGCAATTCATGCATGAGCAACACGTTGCCCATCGGTGAGTTCGTTCTATCCATGAGGAAAGCAATGTTTGATACCCGGCAGTGACATATCAATCCTTAATGTCATGATGGACGGTACGCCAATGTATCCAGACATGTGGCATCCCAGAGTGTCTATCATGAAACGTGATTACTCTGGGCGCGTGAAACACTACGCCCGAACTGAGCGACCACCGAAATACTATCACATCGACTTTGGCCTCTCTCGCAAGTACGATCCCGACAACGGACCCCCCCGCGAGCTGCCTATTTTCGGTGGAGACAAGAACGTACCGGAGTTTCAGGGTGACGGTTACGACAAGCCAGCAGATCCATTCCGTACGGATATCTACTACTTAGGCAGCTTCATTCGGGAGGGTTTTCTGGAGGTGAGTGTCTCGCCGTGCTTCAGCGCTCAGCACGCTCACGTCTGTGCCCTGCAGCCATACTGTAACATGGAGTTCATGCGATCTTTTGTCGCCGACATGGTGCAAAACGATCCAGAGTCAAGACCGACCATCGAGGAGGTCGCCTCTAGATCTGAGAAGCTATTCAGCCAGCTCGCGTCGTGGAATCTGCGGGCTCGGCTGGTCCAGAGGGACGAGAACGTGCTCGTCCGGACTGTACTTGGAATAAAACACATCTTCCGGACGGCGCGATATCTCGTCAAGCGATTGCCTGCCATCCCGACTCCAACATACTGATAGCTCATCCCTGTGCTTACATCGTCGACGTCTGCTTTGCTCTGTTGCTATCTAGTCACTTACACTACTACATACTCCCCCGGATGATTATGGAAGAGGTCCTACGATCTCGTTGTACCTTCAAGTTCGTGAACCTTGCTGCGCGGAACCTTCGCGGAACCTCCGGTATGTATATGATCATTGAGTCGTAATTGTTCCGAAACATCCTCACGACAGCTAGTACCGCGTTGCCTATTCATATTCCAGTCATGGAGTATGTTGGGCACAGATGGGGACAACATCTGGACATCGGTTCCATTGCGCAAAAGGCCAACGAAGCGAGCACGCGATTCGGAAGACGCCGCCTTGCCGTCACCCTGGACCAGAGCTCTCGTCTGTCGGTCCGTCGATTCATCGCCTTTCGTCTCAGGCCTCCCTCCTCAATCGTGAGAGGCTTCTCGAAATCAATTTTCACCTTGTCACTGACAGACCTGCGCGTCAACTCTCATCCACCGACGCTTTAGCTCTGAAGAGAGGCGGGAAATGAGTGAGCCGGATTACCTCCGGACCTGTGCATATGCACCGAGGCGAACGCCGTTTGGTGACGTTTCAGAGCCGTGCGAGCCATGGTATGCAGGGGTTGCCATTGTTCAACTTGACCCCAGAAGGAAACCTGAAGGATTGCGTCTACTGGTAAGGTCGCAATTCTCGGCTGTACCTGACAGGCTTTGCAGTAAATACAAGACACCGCGGCTATGAATGGACGCACGATTCTAGTCCCGGATGCACGGCTAGAACAATACGTTGGTCGCTGGCATGCTGTGTACGGGCCCCATTCGAACCGATGTGCATACTAGCCTAGTCACGGCATTGGCGCAGTATGGTCTGTGCCGTCGGCTGCTTCGTGTGATCGCTCGTGTTCTTCGATCAGCGCCCCGGGCGAGCATGTCGCCTTTGTGTGCGAGCTCTGTATGAGCGCTCCGTCCAGGTATCTGTCGCTATGGGACTCTGTCGCACCTGGAATTGACTCATCTGCACAATGGAAAACCCACTGGCACTGAGAAGTACAGTGATGAACCGATGTGTCGGTGCTGTATCGCGTCCGGATCCCGCGCTACTCAGAGCGGCAGAGTTTCGTATTTGTGAGTGTGTATCGTGACTGTAAGATATCATGCAGAGAGCTCGTCGTTCACTGTCTCAGGTTCCGGAGCCATCGGAATAGCAACCTAGGGACGGGCCAAGCATCGCGCCTTATTCAGACTTGGATGGTTCGGACTTGGTTCGGACAGTACATAGTTGAGTATTGAATATTGAATACTCAGGCTCTACTTACTGAAAACATGCCTCTGTGCGTCAAGCACAGGGACCAGCCCGGTGGTATCGAGCGAGTAAAGAGCGTAAGAAGCTTGTGGCTACAGCAAAAGATGTTGCACACTTCGTCTTTCGACGTACAGATACAAGCTGCTTGGTTATACATGGAACATCCGATAGCCGTAGTGACGCAGCTCCTCGTCCGTGCTTTCAAAGGCTATGAGCATGAGACTCCTTGTCAGTCTTGGAATTTATCTGGGACCCGGTCACCCAAACACTAACCGTTCGAGGAACCTACTGAACATAGGCTGTCAAGCTACGTCATCCGTCTGCATGGGGCGATACTGCAGGACAGAACCGTTGTCTTGTAGAGAGTCGGCGTCATGCGTAGTCGACGACTCGAGATTCGTGAGCGGGATGTTCACAGTGGATGGATGGTTTCTAGTCAACCGACCCTGGGCCAGAGACTGCCGTTGCTCGGTTATATCAATGCTGTCTCGCGTCCCGTCTGACATGACATATGAAGGTTTGCACTTCGAGGTGTAGGTGATTGCGAGCGTCAACATACCTGCCGCAGTACTGATCTCATTGTCGACGTCTTCATGGATAACGAAAGCTTTATGCATAAAAACGATTCACGCTCAGGCCAAGTGACGAAGATGCGATGGAACGTACCGGTATGTGCGCTTTCTGACATATGCAACTTCGCCCAGATATTATCGCTTCTCGCTATCTGGGACGAGATCTAGCATTCGTTGAGCTGTGAGTACGTGAACCATTTTATGATACTGGGCTCAGGCTTACCGACATCCTCTTCTGTAACTCTTTCGCGTTGTGCTTGTACTCACGTATAGTGGCATACTGGTCCATGTTGAGGATTCCTGTGATCTTGCGAAGCGACTGTCCTTCCTGGAAGATACTGCGTCAGTATACTTTTCATAATTTCTCCTTGGGACGGTCTGCAGAGGGACAACGTATCCGATCCTGCCACCATCGTGGTGCTCAATTAAATAGTGACGAATAGCCCCGTTCGCTTCTAAGTTCGCGGAGTTTCCTTGCTTGTTGTCCCATGCCCCACGTACTCCGAGATTGCGCTTGGTGGACGTTCTTCCGGATACGTCTTCATGCTTGCGGACACTGTCGTCGGTGACGGTGCCGTTGTCTCCGCTGCAGACCGTCATATCGTGTAAGCCAACGCGTGGGATGCGCATTCAGCAGCCCGATACTCAGAGTTCTGTTGCATATGATACATTATTGGATACAACCCGTCAAGCGAGCGACTAGTCACTATTACACACCCAGCGTAAGCACCCTGGATTTGAAGACAGAACACTATCTTGCCAACATATATGCTCCGGGGATAAGAAGATGCGTACATACGAGTAACAACAGTCATGGGGGCCAGCCCCTTGGTTTCGATCGAGTCCATGCTCAAAGTGCTAAGTTACGCCTATTCACGTCATAAGTTGCAGCATGCGCTAAAGCGAGTATCTTGTTGAGCATTTGTGAGCGTCGCGGCTATATGAGCGATCGCACATAAGCTTACCTATGTTCATCAAGGTCATCAGCTCAAGGTCACGTCTAGCATTCAAGCACATACCTGCGAGGTCGTCGGGGCCCGGGCATGGAACCTTCATCACCTGCCCACATTGGGCGGTGCTGCAGAATGGAGCTGTCGTCCTGTATTGAGTCGATGTAGCGTCTCGTGGAAGTCTCAAATTCGCGGAGTGGAATGCAAGCGGAAGATGGGTATTGGTTTCCCAGTCGGCCTGAGCCCTCGGCTAACTGTTCCGTTATGTCACGCTCATCCGCATCCTCCACTGCAAGGGTTATCAGCAGACCGCAATGATCAACAGGGGCTATGTACCTGTCGTGAGGCCGGTACAGTGGTGATTGTCCGCGCGCTGGGATTCAAGACCTACTACGTGGACAGTCATGTCATGACATACTGTCGCCATGCAATATAAATGAGACGTGCCAGCCGCAGTCGCGCAATTCGTGTTATCCATCAGTTTCCGTATATGCAGGCTTCTGGCTTGCCTGGAAGAGATCTAAATAGCGAAAAGACAATGAGGATGTAACATGCACGGGGGGTTATGAGTGGACTCACCGCGGTATCCTGGTAGAGTACCTTGGCGTCCGCCTTATACCGCTGGAAGTCTTTGTATTGCGACCAGCTAGGAATGCCACCAATGCTACGCAACGTCTGTCCTAAATCGAAAAGCCTGCCGTATCGGTGGCCATCTGATGAGACGCGAATCAAGGACGGGATATCGTAAATCGTGGCTTACTCATCATGTCGATCATGGTACTTTCGATGCAGCTTGCGATCCATGTAACCGCGCCCCTCGTCCAGTAAATCAAGGGCAGAAGAAAGACGCTTGTCGCCCTTGCGCAATAGCTTGTATGGCCATAACATGCGAACGAGAGGACCGATGACTGTTTTATAGGCAGTAGATGAGTTGGCAGCAAAGTCTGCGGTGTCCAGGAAGTCTTCGACGGTGATAGGCATTGTAGGAAGAGGTATCTAGAAGTCCGAGCTGGGAGAATACCTTGTGGATTGTCGCTGCGGGCCTCATATAGGCAGGCATGCGGGAGAAATGGAACAACACAAACCTCTCCAAATCCTTCGCCCTGGCAACGCGGATGCCTGGTCATCATAACTTGAATCTGTGCCTCCATCCACCCTCATCACGTAAGAGATACTCCGAGATCAGAGATATTCAAGAGCGAGTTTGATTCCTTATCTACCCTCGTAGCTTATTACATCGCCGTCGTCATGCTCTGGATGTCAAGTTAGGAACAAGACTTTGGAGCCGAACTGAATCCTCAGTCGCCTCAGAAGCTATACAATGCCGTAAAAATGTGAAGCCGTGATGAGGTCACATACCACGATGCTCAGACCTATTATAAGGACAACACCGCCTATATGTAGGCCTGGACGTCGCCGGATTCCGTTCTCGAACGCTATGAGCCATCCACTGACTTAGTGTCGTAACCGTTCGCAAACTGCATACGATGTTGTTCGTTTGTACAGCCTGTTAATCGGGCTTGAGGGTGGTGGATTCCACAATAGTAACCACGGTTCGCAAATTGCCTTGCTTGGCACGGAGGTGTTAAGTTACAACAGCCAAACATCTGCACAGAAATTAGTAAGTCACGCCCAAGTATCGAGTCACGACGTACCGACGTCTTGGACAAACATATGATACGGTTGATCGTAACATACAAGCACCATTCAGTCGTACTGTTCACGCTGTGCGCGGGTAGTACATATTGAGCGCGAGCTTGAAGCGTTGTCGTTTCTGTCCCTGGGGTCACCATGCATGCATATCCGATTCCCAGCTAGCAGGATCATAGCTCAGTACTCAGTACTCAGCACCTGGGCCAATGGCGCAGTCGCCGATCCGAGGCTGGTCTGAGGTCCATGGCAGCCTGAGTGTCAGCAAGACCGGACAAGCATGTTCAGAAACCATAAGCGTTGTTCAAGTTCTCCCGAATTCCCGCGGCCGGCGGGTCGCATCTGGCAAAGACCTAAGTGTTGAAATTCAACGAAGACGAGTCCAAGAACAACAGCTGCGAATCCAGGAGGAGGAGTCTATGGGCGCATCTGGGGCGCGTGCCAGCCTGTGCCAGCGCGCCGCGGCGTTGTTGATGGCGATACAGGACCCGACAGGCGCCGGCGTCTCCCGACTTCGTGTACCCACGCAGCTCGCCGGTTATTGTCTGTTGTTGTTCTTGCGTTGAACCATGGCCATGTATACCGTTCCGTGGTCTCTCTCGTTCCTTAGCTAGTCTGACTCCCTCAGCAAGCGGTATAGCTCAGACTCCTGACATCCACATTCAAGGCTCGACTACCACAATGGTGCGTGGGCAGCTTACCGAGGACGAAATAGCCTGGCGCGACCGACAGCCCTGGCTTGAGGAACACGGGTACATGCTTCGCCCGCGATACAGGCAGGATTGGAAGCCTTCGTGGGAGGGGACCACAAAGTCGCACCTCTCCTGCGAGGATGGACGTATGCTACGTGTGCGTCTTGTCCGTATATACGAATGATGCTTCGGACTAATGCGCATTAGCACCCTCATATTATTGATGCGACACGCATTTTGGACGGAGCTCTTGTCACGCTCAAGATGATAGAGCATTCTGTGCACCCATACGAGGTGGAAATAGCTCGAATGTTCTGCGAAGAGCCGATGAAGTCGGATCCGCGAAATCATTGCGTGCAGATCCTCGAGGTTCTGCAAGACCCAATAGAGCAGGATATCTCCATTATCATAATGCCCATCCTCAAAGCTTACCACAGACCTCGTTTCGACACTGTTGGCGAAGCCGTTGATTTCTTTCGCCAAACATTGGAGGTGCGTCTAACGCTCAACGGCAACAAACTGTGTTGAATACGAAGACTCAGGGCCTTCAATTCATACATCAACATCGCATCGCTCACCGGTGAGCAGCAGTGCTGGCGCATGAAATCCGTATAATGACCATATTAACCACAGTGATATTTCGATGCTCAATGTCATGATGGATCCGTTGCCACTGTACCCAAAGTTATACCACCCCACCGATGATACTATGACGCGGGACTTCAGTAGGAGTGTGAGGCCATACACCCGTACTGAACGTCCGACGAGGTACTACTTCATCGACTTCGGCCTTTCCAGGAAGTACGGTCCGGAAGACGAGCATCCACTGGAGTTGCCAATATTCGGAGGCGACAAAACTGTGCCGGAGTTTCAGGACGATGGGTATGATAAGGCCAGTGATCCATTCGCAACCGACATCTACTATCTTGGGAACCGTTTTCGCGAGGAGTTCTTGAAGGTAGCCTCTGTTCATTGTTCCGTCTGGCCGTATGCTAATATCGACATAGATGTACTCGGGGCTAGAATTCTTGAGTGACCTGGTCGCGACGATGGTCGCGACTGACCCCCAGAAACGCCCCACTGCAGACGAAGCCGTGAGCCGCTTTGCGACTATCCAAAGCAAACTTCCCTGGTGGAAATGTCGCCAACGGCTGGTATACAGGAAGGAAGGCCCGCTAGGTCGGGCTTTCAGGGGCATTGGACACTTGCTTCGGACGACGGCTTACATCCTGCTCCGTAAACCTGCGATACCTACACCCGCTGTTTCTTAGGGTATTGCACGGTGCACATCGGAATTTGTTATGTCGTTACTCACATACCCAGATCGTCATTGCTCTGCTGTTGTCTTGGTTTCGCTGCTTTTCCGACCTTTCGAGCACCGTGCTTTCATTTAATTGGAAACCTGGCGTCTTGCACCTGTGAATGCAGTCAGTCGCATGCCACTCTCAATAACGCGCGCGTCGCGCGACGATGATATTAGATTCGAAGCGAGTACGAATCGGAGGCAACCGCCTTCAGCTTCAACCGGTCAGCCTGGATCACTCCTCCTGCCTGTAGGTTCGTCGACATTGTCTAGCGTCTACCTCCCTCCTTCAAGTTAGTCGTAAGATGCTTCTCGGAATCATTTTTCATCGTGTCACTGACAGGCCGGTGCATCAACTCTCATCCGCCGGCGTATTGGCCTTGAAGACAGGCGAGAGATGGATGAGCCGCATGAATACCTCCGTGCGCGCCATGGTATGAAAGATTACCATCGTTCAACTTGACCCCAGAAGGAAACATGAAAGATTGCGTCTAGTAGGTCGCAATTCTCGGCTGAACCTGACACACTCTGTAGTAAATACAAGGCACCGCTACTGATGGAGGCACGATTCTAGTCCCGGATGCACGGCTAGAACAATAGGTCAGTCGCTGGCAAGCTGTGTACGGGTCCCATTCGACCCGGTGTGAGCGATCAACTCTGTCGTCTGCGTCTACTAATGGCATAGGCGCGGCGTGGTTCTGTGCATCGGCTGCTTCGTGTGGCCGCTCGTGTCCTGCGATCAGCGCCCTCGGCGAGCATGTCGCCTTTGTGTGCGAGCTCTGTAGAGCGCTCCGTCCGGGTATCTGTCGCCATGGGACTCTGTCGCACCTGGAGTTGACACTCGCACAATGGAAAACCTTTTGAGAAGTATGATCCAAGTCGGTACTGTATCGCATACCGTGCTACTCGAAGCGGCAGAATTTCGTCTTTGTGGGCGTGGATCGTGACCGTAAGACGGATGGGAGAGTCATGCTGCTTGTCGCTGGTCCGAAGTCAGGTGCTTCTGACGCGGTGCCATTATTGCCTATGCAGTACTGAGAACGGGAGTAACCAGTGGAGCCCGAGGCAAATAAGAACACAAAGACCTATACTCACCAATATTAACATGAAGGGAGGCATTAGAACGGCTAACTGTCGTCCCTACGTATTTTGGACGACGTGTGTTACATTGAACACAGCACGTACAAAGCCATTGTCTACATTTAAGACCGCAATAACGACCGTCAAAGCCCGCAGGCCAGCCAATCGAACCGCAATTTCATCCTTTCGACGGTGGGTCGCTTTGCCGGTTTCATTCTGAGTCTCCTTCGATGGAGTCCGACAAGTAGACCGGAACCGACGTGCAATCGCCATGTGTGTTCGCGGGCACGGCGGCAAGTGACAGTCTGGACGATAGGAATTATCCAATGTCAATCATGAACCTTGGCATGGACTTAGTTGGTATCACCGCGCCGTCGAACGGTCGAGAAACGACCATCGCGAGCATAGCCTGAGTGCCAAAGTGACTGGACACAGAGGTGAGCTAACGGGAAGTCATCAAGATGCCTTCGTACCAGGGCTGGCCATGATCTTCGGGATCCACAAGAATGCTCTTTGTGCTCAGCTTGAACTTGAAGGATGGTCAGGCTTGTACAGGGAGCATACGTATATCAGTTCAGTCATCCCCGTATCAGCAGCCTGAAGCCCGTACACGGATGGGTACGATCGCGAGTCTACCAGATGATTGAAGGTGGTACAGCTGCAGCTGCGTTACAGTGTACATATGGGTCAGCGTGACACGTGATGGTGTCACTGTCCGACCGGTCGCCGTAGCGTGAATCGTGATGCGGCCTGTTGTCGTCCACGACGGCCTGCTGCAGCTCTAGATATCGCGTTTGCTACTATGTTCTGTCATGAGCCTCGACCACTGTGGCATACGGTAATATGCAACAGGCTCATTGTCAAACCCGCGAAACTAAGCCTCACTGGCATGCGCCGCGGGGTCGACTCACTCATGCGCAACGCTACTGGCGGGACCGGCAACCTTGGCTTGAGGCCTGAGGCCTGAGGCCTTGAGGCCTTGAGGAGCATGGGTACAGGCTGCGTCCACGATATAGGCTGGACTGGAAGCTGCATAAAAGGATACGAAGAGACTAGCGTTGACATGCGAAGCCGGCTGGCTAATTCGTGCACGCTGTAATCAGTGTTTTCAATGCCGCTGCAGACTGACTACCGTGAGCATGCTCACATCTCGACGCGACGCGCCTCTCCGGCGGAGCTCTGATTATTTGGAAGACAGACAACTCAGGGCATCGACGCAAGGGACTTTTTGCGAGGAACTCATGCCAGTGAAGTCGAATCCATGCATTTTTGAAGATGTAGGACAAACTTCACTTGGAACTGTTGACGAGGCAGTTAAATTCTTTTCTCAAGGACTGGAGGTGCGCACGGTGACAGTCCGTAGACGACGCCAGAGCCGAGGTTGACTTACTGTATATCTTCAGGGCCTTCGATTGATGCAACACAATCTCATTGCTTACCGGTAAGCCTCGGCATGCTAGCGGTATCACCGCCAGCCTATTAATGAAGCAGGTCTCAGTCCCGCTTAACGTCATAATGGATCCTTTGCCGCTACATCCGACTTCATACCACCCAACGACTCATGGACGAAGGACCGTAGTGGGCAGGTGAAGCCATCCGCACGGACCGAACGCCTGGCAAAATAATGCTTCATCGACTTCGGTCTATCGAGGAGGCCCGGGTATAGCCTGGATGACGACCATCCACTCGAAGAGCACATACTCGGCGTCGACAAGAGCGTTCTGATGTTCCAAGGCGACACATACGACAAGGCTAGTGATTGACCTTTCCGAACTGACTTGTACTACCTAGGAACCCATTTCCGAGAGCATGGAATTCATGGACAATCTGGCCGCCGCGATGGTCGCCACCGAGCCCCAGAAACGACCCACTATCAATGAACCCGTGAACAATTTTGCAACTATACAAGGCAAACTTTCTCGACGACAGTGCCGTCAGCGACTCATTTCGAGAAAGGAGAGCCGGCCAGGGGCTTTGGACACCTTCGGACAACAGCTTACACCCTCCTTCGTCTGCCTGCCATTCCGATACCCACCGATGCCTAGGGTGCCCACAACGCGGGCTCCTCAAAATCGATATACCCGAAGTCGGGTTATTGTTCTCCTGGTCACGTCGACAGCTCGTTCCACGTGTGTTTTTGCTTAGTGCGCCACTGCCACATACGTTGTCCAAACTGTAATATCCGTATGTCTCTGTGTGTGCCTGTGTGCCTCATCGTCGCGGGCGCGCATAGATTGGAACCGACCGCGCGAGTAGAGCTGTGACAATGACAGCTGTATGTTCGTTGCAGCGATGCTGGCCGCACCACAATAGCCCTGTGCCAGAAGCTGTCATCGCTGGTTTCTAAGGCCTCATACCATGCATCTTGTGCAGCGGCCGGGCTTGTTCAGATTTGCGTACCTCTGAGTACCTCTTCCACAGGTGTCCGTATACATATTATGTCCTCTCCGAGTCGTTAGTTCATACCAGCAACCCTCTCTTCCTCCTCAGCACCTCACAGCTATCTCATACGCTCAATGTCTTCAGATCACAGGTCTGCCGACTTCTGCAACAGTGTTCCGCAGGCGGAACACGCATCAGACGTTACGCAGCCGTTTGTGGCTGCGGTCTTCGCCAAGCTTGCTGCCAGACAGCTGAAGAGCTCTGTGGTGGTACGTACTACATACGAGCGAGTCGGCTTGTAGGACCCCGTCTGACGCAGCACATCATAGTATGGCGCCAGACCGATAAGGAACCAGCTGGTCTTGAACAAGATGAAGAACTCGGGATCCCCTGTGTCTTCGGCATTCAGCGCCAGTAAGTGACATGTCTTTTCGCGTTGAGTTCCTTCGTTTTGAACCTTGGCCTACAGCACCGTCGCCTGATTATCATGGTGAGGACGAACATCGAGTCGGCGACTCGGAGTCCGACGAGCAACCCACGCTCCCCACCGGTAGGTACTAGCTCGTCTTGAATACGTCTTAACTTCATGTCGTCCTACGCGCAGTGGCTCGGACTGGCCGAGAGTAGTGATGCAACCTGGATAGCCTGGTCAGTGGGATGTTTCCCTTCTGGCATCACATACTAACGTTGCGTAGACCGATCTCGTGTGATTCCGTGACATTGTGTCGCAGAAGAGCTGCCTGTTGTACCGGGAACCCAAATGGACTGATATGGACTGACTTGGGACTGACTTGGACGTTGTTTAGTTTGATGGCATATATGGACTCGCATGGATACGAGAATGATATTGTAATTCCAGCCCGATCGAAATCATCCGACTGGGTTCGTTGCAGCGACGCACACAAAGTAAGCCTTTGTCCTTCACATTGCTCGCAAGGGCACCGAGTCCATATGATCCCGACGCGATGTTGGGGCCTGCGTGCACAGCAATAAGCATGACCATGACAATTTCTAGTCGAGCCATGATCGAGAAATAATATAATCGCACAGCGACATATATTGACAGTAAAAGCGAAATCAATGGACGCACATGAACAAGTGTGTCTCATGAAGAAGGAATTGGTACGGAAGGCAGCCGTTTGGCGACGAGCTTCGCTGTCCAGAAGAAATGCATCGTACTAAACACGGCTCGCTCCAAGCCGGTCTCTTCTTTGGCCACTAGCCTCGTCCGGAGCTTCCACCACGAAAGCCGGCGGCATATCTTGTCGAACCGGGTCCCCACTTCTGCGATAGTCGGTCGCTTCTCCGGATCGTCTTGTACCATGTCAGCCACGAGCTGCTTCATGAACCCGAACCCGCGGTACTTCTGTAGACCGATGCGAGTGCGGATTAATGTAGCTCTGACTACACGGCACGAATGACTCAATGAAACACGTACCTCAAAGAAGGTAGTCCGCATGAGGTTTCCAAGGTAGTAGATGTCGGTACGGAAGGGGTCAGAAGCTACGTCGTAGCCGTCTTCTTGAAATTCCGGGACGCTCTTGTCACCGCCCCGAATCGGCAATTCACGCGGTGGACCGTCCGCAGGATCGTACCTGCGTGATAGCCCGAAGTCGATGTAGAAGTACTTGATGGGTCGCTCGGTGCGACTTGAGTGCTCCGCGCCTCCAGTGAATCTACGGTTGTAGACTGCGCTTACAGGGTGCCATAATCCCTTCGAATACATCGGTGTCGCGTCCATCATGACATTCAAAATCGAGATATCCCTGGAAGCGAATGAGCGCTGCGACATGCCCCAGCAAAGCACTCTTATCGCACCGATGAGCAACGTGGTGATCATGCATGAAGTGTAAGCCCTGGAGCTAGGATTCAGGGTTTGTACGGACACGAAGGCTGAGCACTCACCTCGATCGCCTGTTTGAAGAAGGCGACCACCTCTCCGAACGTCTGAAATTCTGGATTTCCGAACCGCTTGAGAAGGGGCATAACGATTATGGACTTCTTGATATCAATGGGATCTCGAAGGACCTCAAGCATATGCACACAGTGATTCCGCGGATCGTGCAGCAGTTGCTCAGAGGACAAGTATCGTCCTATTTCCACCTCAAACGGGTGAATGACAGTGTCAATTGCCTTCAACATCACCGGTAGACCATCGGACAGACGCCTAGCATCTAGGACAGTAGGCCACTGCCGAGAGAATGAGACGTGACTAGGAATGAATGACTAGATACACACCTACTTACCAACGTAATGAGGCCATCTTCGCAATCTCGGTGGTACTTGGCTGTACCTAGCCAGGAAGGCTTCCAATCTGGCCTGTATCGTGGTCGCAGCATGTAGCCCTGTTCCCGAAGCCATGCCTGCCGATCGCGCCAGTGATATTCGTGTGTCGCGAGTCCGCCGTCCGCGAGTTTGAGTCGGGCCGCCGTAGTACCAGTCCCAATTATACATGCTTGAGAAGTCATAGCGAAAGCAATTGCAGCGGAGAGAGAGGCAATACCACGTCATACTAAGGAGGGTAGCCAGGTTTTGAGGTCGGTGATATCCCATGTATTGTGCAAGTCTCAGAGTTCAGGCTATTGTGGAGGTTGCCAGTGTACGGCCAAAACCCCGCATTGTCACGGCGCATCTGTAACCCTGCTTGATTGTTGACTAGTCCCCGTGCGCAGAGTAGACGATTCTCTTGAACCGCAGACAGGACAAGGCTCCGTAGCAAGAATGGCCGATACAGTTACAGCAATAGCGTAGTAATGCCCTGGCTTACTTCATAGGCAGGATTCGATGGTCATGCTGCAGCCAGTGCCTGTGAAGGAATGGAAGAGGAGGAAGAGGAGGAGAATGACGATGACCGTAGGACGGTGGCCGCGGTACTGGCGGCAAGCGGCGGCGTTGGCGCCTCCTCGTCTTCGTGGTCTTCCTCCTCCCCGACCTTCGTCACAGCAGCTCACATCAGGCAATAACCAAATCCGATTTCAACCTCATCTGGCAATCAGAAATATTCACTGACAACACCACCCGCATGTTGCGTCTCAATCATGACTCCGAAGCAGCTAAATATGTAAACCTGGCCCGTAAACCTGGCCCGCAACGAGCCGCAACAATAGCCCAGTCGGAGGAGGCATAGTTGACTCGTCCTCTGAAGACAAAATAGGGGAAGTTGATTGCCACGGAGGCTTTTGTTTCGTCCTGTTCGAGCGCACGGCTACAGCGTCATATTCCTCCTACCCGTTGACAACTAGGTCGAACTGGAAGTCGGACCAAAACCCCTAAGTGGGCTCAAGCTGTGACTTCAAATTCAGCGTTCAAGACGCACGATGAACTCAAGAATCATGGACATTTCTGGCGCGACCGCCATGCGTGGCTCGAAGACCGGAGTTCCAGGATGGAGGCTACGACGAGCCCGTAGATCCATTCCGCACCGATATCTACTATCTGGACGGTTTTATCAGAGAAAGCTTCATGGAGGTGAGTACGTGGCTGTGATTCAGTGCGAACACTACTCATCCACGTATCCTATAGACGTGCCGCAATATGGAGTTCTTACGACCGCTCGTCGCCGACATGGTGCAGGACGATACCGACTATTGAGTGCTAGGTCAGAAACGATGTTCGGCCAGGTAGCGAAAATGCGAGCTCGGCTGGTCCAGAGGGAAGAGTGTGTGTTGGTGCGGACTGTGCTTGGTATAGAGCATGTCTTCAGGACGGCGAGATATCTCCTTGCAGTAAGCGCTTCCTGCCGTGCCATCCCTGTCGCTGACATTTCATCTGTGTTAGTCCCCGTATGTATGACATGCTATCTGTGTCGACCTTATGCGATGTGTCCCACCTTTCCACTTACTCCTCGAGGTACTTTGGCTGGTGCATCTCACTGGCAGTTTGATCAGGCCCTGGACTGTAAAGCCGTGGAACCACGCTAACTCTGTAGGAAGGCTGTGGCCTCCAGTTTCTCCTTGTCGTCTCGTATCCCCGGGCTGTGCGGCCTTTCTCATTATCACTGCCTTTCTATGCTCACTTTCCCTGTTCGTAACCCTGCACAGCCTCGATTCACGTCTATGTGGTCCATCTTGATTATCGATAAGCGTTCATTATGCTAAGTTCAAGGTTCGGACACACCTGCCCGCGCTCTCACCAGAATGAGGTGCACTGTATCCAAGGAGAGTAATCCTCTGTGTGCGCTTCTCGTACACTCGCCGCTGAAATATTAGTGACGTGAGTATTGCTTTTCAGAGGTTTTAGACCGTAGAGGGCTATCCTCGCTGATCGGCTGCGAACAGCCTGGATCCCATGGCGTCCACTGTGGAAAGCAAAGAACCGGCATCCTGTGTCTGTATTCGACGCTTCTATACGCCCCAGCGAGCGAGCGCTACGTTCAAGTTCAATGTAATAATGCATATATATGCATCACCTATCATCATTGCTTTCGCTGTCCCTGGGCTCTCCCCCTCGTCCAGCTTCAAGTGTTTGCAGACCATACCAAGAATTTTTGAACGTCCTCACGAGGTACGGCACCGCTTTTGCCAGCGAATTTCTTTACTGACATTGTACTTTCCTTTCAGCGTCGCGCTAGCACCTCGCGAACCGACGACCAGGACGACACATCTTGGTTTTCTCTGGTAGCCAGTATACATACCGGAAATCAGGTACTGTGTTATCACATCATCCTTGCTTCTGGAGAGCTGTGATCTGAGACAATGTCAGTACTAGTCAGGTGTCTTCACCGTTGAGGCCTGAGGATCAGCGTGGTCGTCGCACACGAAACCTTGCCACTTCCATCGGCGGCGCAGCTCGATCACGATTCACGTCATCGCAGCGTGTAGTCCACTTTGTGGAATGGACGAAGACATGTCGATGTAAGTGTCACCGTCCGGACGCGGGTAACGTGGTTTACACATGTAGAATATAGTACAGTCGCAACGTCCGAGGGATCCTCTCATGGTCCTTCTATCCCGCGGCTTCCTGTGGAGGTCTGTGAGCGGATTATCGACCACATGGCTACGGGATTGGATATCAGTTTCAATATCATAAAGGGCGAGCCGCATCTGACCGCTCTCACATCCTGCGCGCTCGTATGTCAAGACTGGTACTCCCTGACTTGGTACCATCTTCGTCAACGCATCCATCTACGAGACCGGAAGGATGTCCTCTCGCTCTCTAAGACACTCCGCGCAAAACCTCGCCTCCGTGAGGTCATTCAACAAGTCGTCATATCGGGTGCTCTTCCCGGGGAGCGTCAACCGATCCGACACCTAGGGACGTTTGCCGTTATGCTCGCCGGCAAGGCTCCGAGGTTGTCGAGGCTCACCGTTGAAGATGCTGAGTGGACCATCGGCTCGGTCCGAATGGAGGACATCGGCTTCCTAGGGGTGTTCAGCTACATCGACACTGTACGCATCTCCAATGTCACCTTGTCGAGCGCTGCCCAGCTGTCCCAGCTCGTCTCAACACTCCCGCGGCTGAGGAAGTTATGGTGCTACAATGTTGACTGCCTGCAGGAACAGAAAGTCTCCCCGGCCTCCCTCCCACTGAACTGTGCAAATCTGGAGTATCTCGATCTGCGATGGGTTGCACCAGCAGTCGAAGACTTCCTCGTACAGATTAGCCGGGCTTCTCGAGTGCGCACTCTCGTTCTTGGGGTGGACAGCGAGTTGGATTCATCCTCGCCAGTCAGCAGAAGCCAGGCTTTGCTGGAGGCGAGTTCTGCATCGGCAGAAGCGGTTGAGCTCCATATCGACCCTAGCTCTCCTGTTCGTGATGGTGCAATTAATGCCACAGTCGGCAAAGATTCTTAGTTCTCTCTCAAGTCACTCCGCTGACAAAATTATGCTTACAGAGCGACATTACAACCTGTCACACCACGACCACCTGCGAAGGTTGGAGATCTGGCTGTACCACCCCTCCCCGTGGTGGCATTGGGTCTCGCATATCCTTTCTCGCATCGTCTCGAAACATCTCTAGGTTATGTCTGTTATGTTATGGCTTCGGATGGACCACACGACCGATGACCTGGATGCCATCTTGACGACACTGGAGCAGGACAATGTCCTGGCGCGATTGGACAGTATACTGCAGGAGAGGCGCTTCTCCGGTACTGTTGCCTCACGCGGCATCTGTATAGGCACTCACGATGACAACAACACTTGGACGTCTGGTAATGAGCTTATTGGGATGGGTTCAGCACTACGAGAACGGTACGATCGGTTGGACGAGCTCGTCAGACGGAAGATGCCACACTCGCACGAACGAGATATATTGAGGTGCGTGGTACTATGGACTTGGTCAAGTTGCGAAGGAAAGCTGAGTGTCCTTGGAGTACTGTGCATAGCTTTCAAGAATTCGCCAGCTGGAGGCAGGACGTGGACAAGGTACTCCTTCACAGTATGCAAGTTGAACAGAAGAATACCGCCGAAGACGCCGAGGGTCCTCGAGGCAGCAGGGATTGACATTTTTGCGACCCTGCATCCTGGCTCGTATGCATGGAGTTCGTGAGTAAAGGACCATCATCATCAGGCCGCTTCGCTAATTTGTTGTGCGGTCTCAACGTACAGAATGATCCCTCGGCCGCAACGCGGGTCGAGATGCTGCAGCACGCATGACCATTTGTTGGGAATTGAAGCTTGAGGACTTGGAGGGACGGCAGTAAGTTATGTCGGTTATGTGCTCGAGACAGACATTCGCTTGTTCTAGGTAGCATGGGTTTTCGACAATACGGGGTGTGGCATCCAATTGTATTAGGGCACGGGCACTGCGTGTGTCAATAGGACACTTGTGTTTCGTCTTAGTCAACCCGCAAGCTCATGGTCGCCATGAGCAGTTGAATCAATGGCGTAGAGTCACTAACGGGTCAAGTAAGTATCGGTGACGTGCGCGTGCCAGGCCTGTGTCCGGTAACGTTGCATGTACGATGCCTGTGCCCACTGCACAACTCCGTAATTCCTGGCCCCATCTCACATGTGCTGTGTCCCCCTTGTCCATTGGCTCTCCCGAATCTCCAACATCCACCGATGGCCTACATGGCTGCAAAGCCAGCGGCACTAATTCGCAGAGCTGATGAAACTAGCATGGATTGTACGCATATCCCAGAAGTAATGTATGAAGCAATAAGTTAGCTATCGTCTGACAAGAGCGCGGCAATAAGATAGAAATGCATAAAACCGGTCAGTTGTCCATGCCCATGCTTCCTCGATGATACCCTCGAATTCTGCCTCGCTCCATGGTGACTGCGTCCGGCTGTGTTCTGTCAAAGTGAACCGTAGCACGTCTTTAACAGTTACCAGCCCGATCAATTCCCCACGGTCTTCGACAAGGATGACTCTCGGCCTAAGTACTGATGAGTAAAGGTAAAGTATTGAACAAGAAGGCGAAAACTTACCCCATTCGCTTGAACATCTGCATAGCAATCTCCAACGGGAGTTGAGGCGAGACAGTGAATGGGGTCTAGTGCAGCTACTGTGAGTATCGTCATCGGTAACGATGACCAGGAAGCACAAACTTGATTGACCCAAGGCCAGAACTTCAACACCCCAGGAGTAGCGGTCGTTTCCAGAATTTCCATTGATATGTCCTCGTCGATCCCAAGAGCAGGACCAGTTGCCATTCCTGGAAAATCAACCTGGAATTCGATCTGTATATGGTCATCCTGGTCAGATGCGAACGAGCATGGCGTGGTTGAGGAAATATTCTGCACTCGACGTGCTCTGTCTGTAGACGGATTAGCAGAAGGTTCCAGACTAAAGCACTTGCACATACCAAGCACGTATACCAATTCCACGCGGTCGATGTAGCCTAACAAGATATGATTTCCATCAGCAGAGACTACAGGGAATCCCTTGACATCGGTAGTCTTTAGTCGCTCCTCTGTACCAATCAGTACACACACTGGCCGAGGAATGCATTACTCACCGACATCACGAATGCAGATGCCAGACGCGGGTATGGTATGCAATTGCGTCTTCATGACTCTCGACACTGCTAGCCATCAGTACTTGTGACCACGAGCACGGAAACGCGACACGCACCAGGTACATCGTAAGCCTCGTCATCCCTCTCGAGGAACGGATAGCCGTTGAAGCGGATCATCTCATCTGCAATACCGGTTGTTCCAAGGAAGTCGCCGACGGCCTTCGTCACAAGTAGGACGATCTGCGAAGAGCCGTCAGAATGCGTGAGACCGGCTTAATATGACCGCCTACCATGGTCGGCAAAATGTACGTCAAAGCACCAGTCAGCTCGAACATGATGACAACAACCGTCACTGTTAACCTCATGACTCCGCTATATGAATCAATGAGCATGGGTACTGTGCAGATCTTAACATGGGGTCCCACCTGAGAGCTGCAGCAGCACCGAGGAATGCATACGTCCCAGGGGTGATACATTGCACGTCGTGCTGGCAAACGGCGAACATACTGGATTCCGGGAAAGCTCTACAACTGCCGTCAGCGTCATATATACAAGTAGGCTTCAGATGTACGTGCCTATACAGAGCCTTACCATGATCCGAGCATGCGTCCGAAGTAGCACCGATCGCCATGAGGGGACGAAGATACCCGCAGGGACCTTGCAACCATACGAGATGACCACAAGTCCAATCCGAAGGATCGTCGCAAGGAACAGAGAGTTGACCATCGGCCACTGTTCAGATGTCCTGATGAAATATTAGGACAGTTTGCAACAGCGTTGCCCGAGAAACGTACTGGCAGATGTTGTCGTAGTCGCCCTCCAGCCCTTGACATTCACGGAAGAGATGGACATGCTTTCCGTCATGTCAATCCGGACGAAACGGTTGAAGTATCCGACCATTGCCGTGATGGTTGCTAAAATGACGGCTTCGGAGACGGGGAAGCTACCCAGGTGCTTCCGTCGGAAAGCAGCCACTGTAGATTAAACTTCACCACAAAGCTCCATACAAACCCTGCGACCCTTGAGTGGCGTGTCAACGAGGAAACCACTGTAGACTTACGCCGAAGATACCCAAAATGACGAAGAACATGACTTCGAAGAAGTGCCAATCGCGATCGTAAGTCACCTGGAACAATACCAGTTTCCCGCTGCGATACGGATTCATAGCCTGTGGTGCCGAAGTGCATTGAGCGACACTCTCGAACTGCCAATAGTGACTCACAGATAATGTGACTGTCGCCATGAGCGCACAGAAAAAGCTTCTCCACATCGTTTTGATACTGAAGACGCTGCTCATCTCCTACAAATTGGCCGTCTTAGCACCGGCAGTCGAGTTGGTGATCTGCACCTACTTCGATCGAGAAGAGTACTCCACCGATCGGGGAACCGAAGGCGACCGCGACTCCAGCCGCACTGGACGCGGTCAATATTTCCCTCATTTTGCCTACGTAAAGGTGAGTTGAGATCACCAAAAGGGACACTAGTACACACACCTTGGCTCAGGTGATAACGCTTGAATAAGCTAGCAACGAGGTACCCTATGCAGCACGCGACATGCACAGAGGGACCCTCCTTACCAACTGAGAGACCCGAGGCAATGACTAGAGGCTATGACTGATTGATAGGTGACGATCGGCGAGTAGTAAGACTACACACCAACGTCATGCTCTTGATGAAGAACGTCCCGAAGCCCAGATATCCCTTCATGATGAATCCGCCGAGAATACACTTGATTTCTGAGATTCCTGACCCCGCCGCGTACTTCGCGATCGACCGTACAAGATGGGCGGCGGTAAAGCAGAATGTACCCTAGAAGGCACCTGAGCTGCGATGCGCTGGTGTTGCATGACATTATGCTTACAGCGAAGATCACGTAGATGGTCCACCGCACAGGCAGCACAGTGCTCCACCTGTGCCAGGAATCACAGCCAGCATCGTCGTTCTCTATCTCCCAGCAGCAGAACTGCCTGTTCAGCCACCACCCGTCGTGGCAGTAGCCCATTTTGAGGTCGGATAGCCAGGCAGTGATAATGGATATCAGGCAGCATTGACCCCAATGCAGACACCTGTAAGGATGCACCAACGTCAGTCGGACCTAAGGCTTGAACATAAGGCAGCGCAAAGCAGGTAGGTTGCTTGGTAGCAGTTCATTGCGCTAGGTCGCCGTAACGAAAAGGCATGAACTCCCGCACTGAACTCACCAACAACGGCGAGACTCAAATGCCCGATTCCAGGAAAACAGCTGGTCTAGAACCATGCAGCGGACGAGCCTTCCAGAGTACAGTCTCCCAGTATTACCGCGATGACATGAGGATCCTGGCATCCTCTCAATCGCTGCCAGTATCATCCCTCCCATTTCGACGCCATCGGGGGCATGTGAAAGACAACTCACCGACTAGGCTGACCACGAACCAACTCTGTGCTGCATCCGCAAAGATGGAGGACTTCGACCACGTCCACGCCCATGCGACCTCCCATCTCGACCCATGCCCAATATATGCAGAATGTAGCTTGCGTGTGTTCGGAGACGTCTGTTTCGCTCGACGATCGCATCCTGTATCCAGTCTACGACATCGTCGATTTCAGTAGGCCGTGCCGCCAAAGGCTGCGCACCTATTGTCGTGAAGTCTTCATACTTCCTACAAGGAGCAATGCGAGTTAGCTGGGAGCGCAAGAGCCACGGAAGCCGACAGCAGCTGACTGATTCGCTCGTATCTTCGTCCCGTTCGTCCGGGGAGCCATTGTGGTACTCGGCGCTCGTTCACGCGACATGCATGCCTATGAGCTGGTTTTCCGTTCAAAGATAGACACTCGCACGACCCGTGTCTTCTGTGAGCAGTGAGCTCAGAACCGAGGACGAGACGTATAGCGTGTCACGGTTGAGTCGCAAGCGCCTGCGCAGCGACCCCTTTGAGGCGCAGTCATAGCCTCAGCGTTCTGACCGCACGCGTTCAAACGCTCAATTACATAGCATGTAGTAAGTACACGAAACAGATAAACATGTAGTATTCATTCTGTAGCATGCAACACTCTGGAGATGAAGTCACAGCTAAGAAATAACCGTCGTCCACTGGCAAGTCCTTCGTGGCTGAGAGTGAAGTAGCAGGTATGTATGCTTGTGCGCGAGCAAAGTTATCTACCGTCTGTTTGCTCATCCCTGTACTGCCTGTCAGATTGCCCAACCTCGCACACACAATGCTACTCACCTTCGGCAACTATTCTGTACTCGATGAACAGCCAGTCCACCGCTGCTCGGACGCCGGTCCTTGTGACGGAGTCAACATCTCGCACCACATACAGGAGCCATACTCACCCTTCCAGTGCGGATATGCCCATTACATCGAGACTCGCCATCCGGTCTCTGCGGTGTTCTAACTCAATCTCATCCCCATACCTCCGACGAGCCGCATCCTGTTTACTCCGATACCATTCTTCGTAGTCATTGCGGATCTCTTCGACGGAGAGGCTGTGCGGGCTGTCCTGCTTGTTCGCGAGCAGCAGCAACGGAACACCGAGGATCTTGGGATTTGAAAGGACGTTGTCTTAGGACCCTTGCTCAGCATGAGCACACAGCAACAGTCGGGGCAGCGATGCGAAAGACACGTACCGAATACTTCCCAGCCTTCGCCCAATCTCTCTCGGTCCTGGGCGTCCAGGACGAAGACGACAGCATGGCAATCATCGTAGTAACGGTGCCATATGGAGCGAATACCCCTTTGACCGCCCAGGTCCCAGAACTGCAGGATGGTAGACGGTAACGTTATCTTACCCACTACACTGCCAACGTCACTTATGCCACCGACACTTGCGAAGTATATACGTACTGTTCTGACCGACTGTCGGCGCGATCTTGTCCGAAGGAAGGCCTGGAGTGTCACTGTATAGGGTCTTGATCTTCTCCAGCAATGTCTGAGGAATCTCGTTAGGGATTTGATACGAGACAAGTGTGGTAAACGCGTACTGTCTTGCCAGCGCCATCAAGGCCAAGGATAATCACCGAGAACTCCTCCTTTCTATGAGGTTTAAGCTGCAGTTTGCGTTCACGGAACACACAGCACGAACCTAGTGAAATATTCGTAGAACCCTTTGAGGAGATGATACATGGTTACATTGGTCTCTGCAGACAAGCGCGGCGCGAACATGTCCCGCCACAAGCGGGACCCAGCGCTCGCAAACGGCCGAACTATGCACGTGCCCTGCGGCCCTCGTCACCGCCGGCGAGCACAGCGACCACCACACCCTTTGAACGCTGCCCGCCACGATGGGCGTGTTGACTTCATACTACACTTATGGTCTGCCAACCTTTTGGTGACTATAATAGGCCTCTACCTTCTCTTCACTGGTGAGTACGCGTATCGCAGCTGTACCGCGAGCGGTGCTGAGCATGATACTCAGGTTCCGGTGAGGCCTTCAATGTCGGCCGTTTCTTGGAAGAGACAAGCCCATATGCTTGGGCGGCGACCGGCATCGGCCTTTGCATTGGCTTGAGCGTGCTGGGCGCTGGATGGTGCGCTCGTTGTCTGATACTTCGCAGTTGGGCTCACCTTACCTCGCCTCGTAGGGGTATTTTCATTACCGGGTCGTCCATCCTTGGTGGGGGCGTTCGGGCTCCCCGGATCCGAACTAAGAACCTCATCAGGTATGCAATTCCATTCCGATGGACGACGCAGTCGCCTGACTCACCTGTCCAGTATCATCTTCTGTGAAGTCGTGGCCATCTACGGTGTCGTAAGTTTGCTTGCTCGCAACATGATCCTGTCCCTCTCCTTACACCACACAGATCATTGGCATTGTCTACTCCGCGAAGATTACGAACGTTCCCGAGGCGGAGCTCTATACCCGCGAGAACTACTTCACCGGTATGATCTCGTGCATTGACACCGCCCGTACATTCTCTAAACATCCGCGGCCCATCTGCAGGCTATGCGCTTTTCTGGGGAGGGCTCACCGTAGGCGCGTGCAACCTCCTGTGCGGCGTCTGTGTGGGCATCACTGGGTCGACGGCTGCACTGGCCGATGCCGCCGACCCGGACTTGTTCGTGAAGATCCTCATCGTGGAGGTATTCGGGAGCATCATGGGTCTCTTCGGGCTCATCGGTACGTCTCCACCACTCCTTGAATTCGTCTTCTGAGATGCTTACGTGTGTATCCCTTGCAGTCGGACTGCTCATGATTAGCCAAGCGAATGAATTCAAGGGCGGAGGAACCGTGCCAGTGGCGCCCGCTGTCGCATCGCCCTACGTGCATCGATACGTCGACTTGTGATCACTGTCATAGGATAACTTAATGGAAGGCTGACAATCAATGTCCTTTTGCGCGTCCTCTCCGGCAACTCAACTATGTGCGGTGGGAATTGGGAGTGATACACCGCGACATCTTCTGACAGAGGTAGACGTGAGTCTCTTGATTCATGACCGCGGGAGAACGACAGTAGATTCCGGCGTAGGGTTGTATCCGGACCATGAATGATACAGGTTGCGTCTATTACGTGGTAAAGAAAGGTATCGAATCAAGACTCAATGTTAACGATACAGATGCCTACTACAGGATGTTACAGTTAAAGAATTTGTGGTTTGTGAATACAGTATCTTCCAAGAGGGTAGTGAGTGTGTCGTGAGCAGAGCATGATAGAGCGTAACGAGAGCTATATGACAGCGAGATAAAAACCAATGTTTCATGCAAAGTGAGTCTCCAGTCCAACACCCAGAGAATTCGTTAATACTTGACGCCCTCGAACCAGTTCAAGGGTGGCGTCCTGAGCGGAAACCCTTCAGGCGAACAAATGATAGGGCGATCTGTAGTGTTGGCGCGAGAATGGCCATATGGTTGCACGACGACAGATGCCGTCTCCACCGTGCAATCGTCCTTGAAGAGATCCTCCTCGTCCTCAATGTCTTCGTCGTCATCCGTGGGAGGACTGGTCGACGATGCGAGGTCGCTCGTCATGACTCGGAGCGCCTCAATGTCCTCCCGCGTGAATAGCACCGGGAGTCGCTCGCGCGGGGCCCGCGACTGCAACTGAGGCTGGCTTGCAGCACGTCTAAGGTCAGGCACGGGGCGGAACGGAAGCGGTAATACGGGGTTGAGCTGCGACTGCGTCGCCCGAATGGGATCCCTGGGTCCGCGAAGCATGTGCGTCTTGCCACGGCTTAGGAGATGAGTGGGAGACGTTCGGTGCATCGTGAACGACGTGTCCACGAACACTTGGCTGTGATCTTCGACAGATCCCACATCGAGACCTGTATAAGTTAACGGATCAGTGACTAATACGAATGACGCTTCCAAGGTAGGACCCTGACCTGTGAGGGAGACGTTGAGACCTTTCAGGGCATCGTCGAGCTTTTTGAGGAAGGCAGGAGACGTAGACAAGTCCGCCGAGGGTGGAGAGGACTGCGGCGAGGAGTGCGGTGTAGGTGGGCCGGGCGAGAACTCTGACAGTTCCGACAAGTCTGATTGAGTTGAGCGCCGCTCGTATGCACCACGTCTCTGGGCCACACCGCCCATATGCTTTCCGATATCCGCTGCCCATTGGCCAATGTCGACCCCTTGCTTCTCAGACCTCGGAAGGATGGTTTCATTGGTACCAGGACCTGAGGATACCTGTCGGATGCCTAGACAGCGATGCACGGTTGTCAGGCCGATGCTAGACAGTGGCAACATGACGGAACACGGCGCACCATAATTCTCATCGTCAATCGTGGTTTCCCATGATGATCCGTGTGGTTTCGACACGGAGCCAATGAGAGCCGCATGTCTGTCGGAAGAGGCAAGGGGGAAACGACTGTAGGAGGACGAAGACGAGGAAGAGTTGCATGCCGGCGGCGAACCGCAGAGTTCCGCTCCGGCATAGTGGCCCTCGGCGCGCTGCTGTGAACGGCTATGTATAGCCGAACTTCCACCTATCAAACACCGAGGTTGTGAGCATCCGGTCCCTGAGGTGGAATGGGGGGCTGGACGTACACGGAAGGCTGTCAGAAACGTCTGCGTGTCTGGTGACTGCCCCTCGTTGCTCCGCGTGCCTGTACTCGGAAGCTCTCATCTGGGCGCTCTCGATACTGGCCCGGGAGCGCCGGACGACCTCCTGCATCGATAGTGTCAGAGTCGAGTCGCAACGCAGTGCCGAGGTGCTGCTCACCCTCACTTCCGAGTACAGGGACTGGGCGCGAGACTTGTATCGGGATGCTCGTGAAACGACCTCAAAGCTCAGCCTCTCCGGGCTCTGGGCAAAGTCCGAGAGATCGTCTCGTTCCACCACAAGCCTGTGGAAAAGCAGGTGAAACTCGGAAGTCGTAGTATCGTGTGAGCTCAACGTACCCGTCGTTCATGGTCTGCAGATCCCATACCTCTGCGTCGGAGAGTAGCCCCCGCTGCGCACGCATGCGAGCCAGTGCGTCCTCCCTGTACCTCTCGCCTTGCTTGAGTGACTCTTCGAAAGTCGCTTTCCAAAAGTCCCGCAGGTCCTCGATGGGCGAGCGCGCGCTGACTGGCGATTCACTGGACGCTGTACGAGAACGACGAGGAGAGGTGGGGAACACGAGAGTGCTGAGGTATCTCTTGAGAGCCATAGTCTCATGGAAGAGTGAGGAGAGCAAAGGATCGCAGAGGCCGGCCTGCTTTAAAGAGTATGATGGAGCATCATGATGTCTGTGCTTCTAATAGATGAGTAGGCCAACTGAGGTCACACCTCACAGCCACGACACACGTCAAGTCCGTTGTCCAGGCCATGGTGACCGCGTAGCAGAATACAACGGGAAGGGGCCCGGCGACGCCACGTTGGAGCCTGCCGTACGTTAGCGTGATCCAGTGTAGGCGAGTATGGGTCCCATCGTCGCCTCGGAAGAACGTTCCTGAAACAGACTCAATTTGCTTCCGCGAAGGGTCGGGGTTTCGATCGACGGGCCTCGTTGTTCAGAGCCGCCCCGTTGTATGGGCCAGCAAATCAGAACGGGCGCATCGAAAATTGCTCGGTGTCGTTCGCAACGAGGGCCCCTTGCAAAGAACAAGGATGCTCGAATCAGGAACACTCACACAATACGACTTGCCAAACTGGGATTCGTGAGATATCCACGGCCGAAGCGGCAGCACGGTTGTAGTCACATCGTGACGGGCCTACGCCGTACAGTGACAAGTGCGGCCGCGGCGCTGTGCTACGACTCCGCTCTTCCACGAAGTTGCGTCGATTGGCAGCTCGAAGAGCCTGAACCGTGTGCTGAATCTCAGTCCGTGTCAACTGGCTGGCAACCTGGAAAAAGGAAATAGCTGCCTGCGTGCGCGTGAACCTTATGCGACTCGGACCTGCGTTGCTTCCAGTGCGAACTTGGCGGACACTCACCGGACCATGCATGCACGTAGAACGGAACCCACGTTGGCGAGCCGTCGATTGAGGCGTTGTGAAATCTCTATTGGAGCGTTAACAACATCGCATTAGACAACGGTAGCATTGGGCCATACTCCCCAAATAGTACGTGCGAATGGACCATTGCGCCATGCCTACGTACCCGCAGGCTTTGATATCACGACCGTACTTGCACGGAGCAACCGACAAGGGGACTCGCGTACCTGCCACGACCCTTGCCATCGACCCGTCGGGGTAAGACCACGAGGCAATAGCTCGGAAGACCCAAGACTATCACGGATGTGCCTGACGTTCACGCCGCCTTATGCCTTCCTGACAACATTCACTTCATGCATGCCGTATGAGCTCGGACCATTTTAAAAAAAGGATTGACGGGTTTCGATTATGGATTGCAGAGGGCGACGGCGGCTCGGCGGCGAGTCTAGAAAACGGCTGATAGTGGACGACTGCGCGCGGCACATCGTAGTTATCAGCGTTTACAAGTACTCGCCCACGGAAAGGAAGCAGTGACCGACCTTATGTAGCCATAAGCCAAATTCCCTGCGAGTCGCGTCAAGTTGGCCCAGTCAATACTACACTGGCAGTGGTACAAGAGAGGTGAAAATGCAGTCGTATCAGTAGCAAACAGTCTAGCACCTCGTTATTTTTTATACCCAGAAGTTAGGGATGGAAAAGTCGGAAGTGATAGGTCGACGTTGGGTCTCGGACGTTGGGTCTCGGACGTCTTGTTCACGTTCAACGTTCACGACGACGACGCGTCCCTGACGCGGTCCGTCACGCGTGACCTTCTTGTGACATGTCGCGTTCTGTCGCGTTTCCCTCCGAGTCGGGCCCGTCTTTGCTCCTGGCTCCGCCCGCAGTCTCCTTTTGCCATTGGCCTCCTCGAACCTCAGGCATGCGCGTCCTCTACCACCGTCTTCCTTGACCATGCATTGAAATTGCTGCAACGCCAAGTTGCTCTAATAAAGCCCCGCTAGCGGTACTTGTCCAGATCACATAGCAGAGTTCGTCTGTGGCATGTTGGCGAATTCTCAACTCTGCGACGCTCGCTGTTCAACGTCATGCATTGTGCTGCGGTGTCCTACTCCTTCCTGGCATCTCATTTCTGTCTATGTACTGCGCACGCAGCGACCCGGATACGGGCCTACGGATGTGGCCCAATCCAAAGACAAGCTGAGCCAAATGATTACCGTGGCGTGTAAGTTTGCCTACCAGGCAACGTACCTCGTGTTCTCACTATCATTACAACGTTAGCTTGCTCCTACTCGGCGCCGGTGCCGGAAGTGTGGAGTTTGAACGTTTGAACAGCCACATGGAGGTACGGGTCTGCGCAATCGTGGGCTTCAGCCAGTGCAGCTGCAGTGTCACAAATGATGGGTCCTCAGTCAGCTCTGCTAAGCTGAACGTTTTGCGTTCACTTACTGATCGCTACAAGGCAGTCCCTATTAGGTCGCTGGTATGTTTACGTCAGTATTATGTTCAAAGTGAGCTTTGTGGTACTGATCATCAGTGTCCTTTAGTATGGCGGGCGTTTCAGGCGGTGCAGTAACATCTTGGGTGAGCAGCTGTCCCTGGTATACATATGTGCACTCGGTGAGCTGTGCTCGCCGCGAACGCCTGCGTAGTCGTAGAGCCACCAAAGAGCACAAGTGTTGTGTTTGATGTCAGTGGTGCGGGGCTGCAGGGAGACATTGTAGAGAGATACAGATACTCTGTCTGGAGTTTTTTTTTTCATCTTCAGGCGTCCAGTGCAGGGCCCATGCGAGAACCAGCTGCGTTTCGACCCCACGCAGATCTTAGTGAGTACGTTCAAACCTAATAAAATCATTCCTGCGGAACGCTGACTCCATTGACTACTGCTGTACGCGGCTGCGGTGGCAGGCCAGGTCGTAACCGCTGTCGGAAACATTACCTCTCCTGATGTCGTACAAACCACTGCCAATGGATCTCGGAGGTGATCTATAAGGTCACTTCGACATGTACTACACGCTTCACTCCGCATGAACTGGAGCTGCTGTCCCATTAAAGACGCAATTGAAAGGTACGTGGCTCGGTCATCCCTTTGTTAGACGTTGAGCACTACGACGTATGTAAACGGGACTTGGGTCAGATGTCTCTAGAGTACGCGTACAGTATGTATGCAACATCTAGTACGTCAAACTGTGATTGGCATATAATATAGAACACGTACACTCGCCGACCTCTTCAACGATTTGTTCGGTCAGGATTCTTAGGACTTCCCGACATGCCGACCTTGACCAAAGTGTAGATGGTAGCGGTAGTATGATATATGACACGTATAGTACAGTCATTAGAAGAATCATAAGTAAGTCGCTTAGGATTAGTATGCCAATCAATAAGTGAGTAAGTAACTTCGTTAGATGGTAAGTTAAGGAAGTCAGTGAACTACTGTAATAGTGGAACTCTGAGGCGGATCAATTAAACCGGTCACGCGTCACGGCGCGATCTCGCGGGAGTCGAGTCCGCGCGCTGCGCAACGCCGCGCAGACTGCCGCGCAGTCCGCTACAACACCTATTTGAAGCGATCTATCATTCTGCGCCGCCCCAAGCTTCACCTCAATCTACCACCATGTCGGGCGACGCAAGCTCCCAAGAACACCCAGCTACGCATGGTGCGGCATCTCCATTCGATCGCTGCACTGCAATGGTGGCATTGACGCGTGAAACATCCCGCCAGATGCCTCAGCAACCGCCACAGATACCTCACTCAACCTGGGCGCTGACCCTGGTGGAGACGAGGAGACTCCTGAACTGCCACCTCGCCTTGATTCTCGCGCTGAAGCATCCGTAGCTCCGTCGACCGAGCATGGTCCCGAAGCACCCGCCCCGACGGAGAATGAGCATCCGCAAGTCGCGTTGCTGCGAGGGATGTTCCCGGATTTCGATACTCTTATCCTGTATGCAACCTTCATGCTCGACTACGCGCGAAGCTCTGACCACTCGCGTGCATATAGCCAGTCCGTGCTCGAGTCCGTCAACTACGATCAAGACAGCGCGATCGATGTCTTGCTGGGGATGAGCGATCCGGACTACGTATCGTCCGCCACTCACGAGCAGCCTGTACGTTTTCTTCACTGTGGCTATGCTATATGTTCCTGATCCGTGTCGTGTTTCAGCAACACCACGACCTCGCCCTCGACGAGCAGCTCGCTCGGCAGCTTGCTTTGGAGGATCAGCAGCAGCAGCACGCGTCGGGCCAGTCATGGCCTCGGAGGAATGACGTGCCTTATCAACCAAGGCAGCAGGGACCTCAGGGACCACAGCAGCAGCAACAGCAGTACGTGACGGGGAACGAGCGCGGCGACCTCCAGGAGTTCCAGGAGACACTGGGCAAGATGGCTGAAAGTGAGTCCTTGATTTCTCCGTAGCATGTTCTAGTTTCATTTGCGACTGGTCGACTGACGTGCAACGTGCTGGGTAGGTGGTAAACGGACGTTCAGCTCGATCGTCACAAAGGCGAAAGCGAAGATCACAGAGTTGAACGAACAATACAACCAACGGTGCGCATACATTCAGCAGGCTCCTTCAAGTGCTCATGTGAAGATCAGGTCGGGCCAACCCCCAGTCAATCAGACCAGCCAGAGGGGCCCCGCTTCTTCATCGCAGGTCGACCGACACACAGCATCGCAGGCCGTCGCACAGCAATATTACGGCTCCAACAACCCTAACGCCCCGTACGACGTGCAAACACCGCCGGCCGCACTGTACAACCAGCAGCCCCAGTCAAGCACTGACGTCCGGGGATACGACGTTGGTTCTACTGGTGAGCCCGCCAACTGCATTATCCGTGATGCCGAATTGACTTGGGGGCACTTCGTAGCATCTCTACCTTCGACGCCAGGCGCCCGCACGTCGAGCCCACCAGCGACAAGCCGGATATCGATGTCTTCGCCCCGTCCCTCAGGTGAGGTCCCCCAGCCGCCGCGGACGTCTACCGGTAGCCCCATCGACGCAGGTAAGCCTTGTATTCCAGCCGTTCCATGCCGTTCTGCCCTACCCCTACCCGGCATGTCTTACACTCGCGCCCGTGCCTGTTCCTGAAAGCCACAAGAACGTATGCTCACAGCCGCGTGGCGTTGACAGCGAAACTCGGACTGCTCCCGAAACGCCCCGTGTCGCTGCTGATACCGCAGTCGACCACCGGCGCGGGGGCGATGCAGCGCCAGGAGAGCGAGGACGAGCTGGAGTATGTGGAGAACCCGTTTGAGGAGGGCGAAGGGAAGCGTTAATGCTGAAAGTTGGGTGGAGTATTTATGGATAATTTGAGATGGGATGGACTGCTGATTAGTACTTGTGTATGGAGTATGTGGGCGATGTTGTAAGATTGGCGGAATCTTGTACCGAAACTACATACTCGTCCGTGACATTGAGGTCGATACTGAGCTGCTCCACGTATTGTCATCGACTTGGATGCTACGCTACAGGCAGCCGTGCACTGCTGTCAGAACACATTGACACGTTGGAGTTACACAGAAGGTTGTACTGTCGTTGCCTCGACCTGTACTCATCAGCATCGAGCCCTGTAAATCACCTGTACAACCCACATCACCGTGATGAGGCACATCGTGCACTCAGAGTTCACATGCGTTGCATGATGTCTTACAAAAGGGTCAGAGGTGTGTGTAGTGGGTAGCTGTGCACTGGATCCATTTCGGTTGGGAAGGTCAACGAGTTGCAGTTCTTCGCCAGACAGACCGAGGAATAACACTGAGGGCATTGGCAAGCGCGGCCCGATACCCACGTCAATTGAGAGTGCTTGAGTGCTTGACGGAATGATGATGGCAAACTCATATTTCTTCCTCTTTCCGTAGAGCAGATGGGTACTGTACACGGGCATTGATACGTCAGGTTGGGCCACCGCCAAACTGTTTTTCTTTGAGAAAGAGGTCTTCTATTTGCCGACCTGTATCTTCAGGTCTATCCACAGTGTGTCCTATGATCCGCGGGTCATGGAATATCTCAAAGTCATTCCCACCCTGAGGAAAATGTTGTCTGTACATATGACTACGAGGGGCGACAAACGTCAGATCACATACCTCGTGCGTCTTGTCACCGAAGTAGTGAATCTCGCTGTACCCTTCTCCCTCGAGATGCCGGAGTGCGTAAGTCTTGTCCCATCCACGCGGGAAAACGTCAAAGGATGTGCGCCCTCCGATCGCGCACACAAGGTTGTAAGCAGGAAGCGCATCCTTGAGCGCTTGTATCATCTTGGTGCGTACTTGATGGACCTAGTCGTCGTTCGTGAGCTACAACGTGTTTGGCGATGTCAGCAGACAGCTAGCCTTGTCATACTCGTCGAACATGTCCTGCTCCTGTGTTCTACGACTAGATAAGTGACGGTACGCGGGTCTCAAATGACCCAACTCTGAACTGACGTCGTGTTGCGTCCCTGCGGACAGACATTGATCAGTCCATCGCGAAATTCCACAAAGGTACCTCTGAGATGTGGCACGCTGTCAGCAATTGGGAGCTCAGATGGTAAGCCGAAGACCACTGACCTCTTGATCGGTATATCGATATCGGCGATGTACCGCAGAATGAAATTGACTAAATTCTTGTAACGATCCTCGCCGATCAGATCGACGAAGCGTTCGTGCGGCAGTTTGAGTCCTCTCTTATATGCAATGAGGCCGCATTCAGCGAACACGTAGTCAAAGTCCTCTGATACTACGATCTCGTTGAGCATGGATTTCAGACTACATACGGATAGAAATATTCACCTTGAGAACCCAATTGCCAGCAGAGCTTCCTGTAGGTCGAGCCTCCTATAAATCCTACATCCATGACGCCGCGCAGCTGTCGGAGTGTAGCCATTGTAGATGGCGCAGCCACCTAAGTATCCGCCCAGTGAGTCGTAGGTGGCCACATGTAGAGTTTTCGGGGATAGACGAGA